TTCATTCGAATTCACAGCGCAATCCTGCACGGATCGAGAAGTAGGGAGCTCGACAGGCCTTAAGCCCAGGTAAAGGGGCGCAGGGGCGCATCCTATAGTTATGGATAAATGAATCAACCCAGAAGAAACGCGTTCCTTTTTCGTGCGCTCCCATGCGCAAAGCAAAAGTCCTCTTTAGCATGCCTGCGCGCAATCCTACAACTTTGAAGTCGGCAGCACATTCAAAACACATGTCCCCTCTCAAAAAATTCGGGGAACTGCCGTTTTCTGAGCGTTGCTGAGAATTGCAAAGGGTGAAACTGCCGCAGAGCGAACAAATGCGCATGAAAGGTAGAGTACGTACCCAAGTTAATACCGTTTTAAGTACCCTGCGACCGGAGCTTCGAAAAGCCCCCCGCATAAACGTTCCTGGCCTGCGTGTTTCACACAAGCTCCCCCGAGGTTTTCACCTCCATGTTTCTTCTTGGAAGTGAACAACAACACCCCCCAGGCCGATTTCTATGGGGTTTCCAGGCTAAGAATGAAGGAACAGCACCGAAAAGAAACGACCTAGAAGAAGCAAGGGAGATGATGGTCAGGGCTACTGAGACTTGCGATTTACAGCTTTTGTTTTTATTACGTATTTTGTTTTGTTTTTTATATGGCGATTTTATGTTGTAACCGCCCTAAGACCTTTGGGTATAGGGCGGTATCTATCTATCTATCTATCTATCTATCTATCTATCTATCTATATTTGTTGTTGTTGTTTAGTCGTGTCCGACTCTTCGTGACCCCATGGACCGGAGCAAGCCAGGCGCTCCTGTTTTCCACTGCCTCCCGCAGTTTGGTCAAACTCATGCTGGTAGCTTCGACAACACTGTCCAACCATCTTGTCCTCTGTCGTCCCCTTCTCCTTGTGCCCTCCATCTTTCCCAACATCAGGGTCTTTTCCAGGGAGTCTTCTCTTCTCATGAGGTGGCCAAAGTATTGGAGCCTCAGCTTCAGGATCTGTCCTTCCAGTGAGCACTCAGGGCTGATTTCCTTCAGAATGGATCGGTTTGATCTTATTGCAGTCCATGAGACTCTCCAGATTCTCCTCCAGCACCATAATTCAAAAGCATCAATTCTTCGGCAATCAGCCTTCTTGATGGTCCAGCTCTCACTTCCATACATCACTACTGGGAAAACCATGGCTTTAACTATACGGACCTTTGTTGGCAAGGTGATGTCTCTGCTTTTTAAGATGCTGTCTAGGTTTGTCATTGCTTTTCTCCCAAGAAGTAGGCGTCTTTTAATTTCGTGACTGCTATATATAGATATATATATGGAGGGCGCCACGTTGGCTAAGCTTGGGTTCGCTTGCAAAGATTTCGGGCCATGACTCTGGTTTCGCTATCGGGAGGTGGTGGACTCTCCTCCCTTGGGTGCTGGATGGCCATCTGTCATGGATGCTTTAGTGGAGATCCCGGTATTGCAGGAGTTGGACTAGATGACCGTGGATGTCCATTCCAATTATGTGATGCTATGATTCTACGCAGCCTGAGCTTTTTTCTACGGCGAGCTTTAGATGGCATTGAGTGTTTGCGGCATGCAGTTCAATCTTCCCTTCACTGGAGATATTAGTCGGGGAACACGTGTCCGCACACAGAGATATACGTCATGGTTATCTATATTCCCACGCGGGTGTGTCATTCCTTAGAAAGATGAAAGATGTAACCTTTCTGACCGCTTCGTACAAAAGCAGCCTCCCGAGCATCCTTCACACGTGATGGTGTACACGGGTGCGGGAAAACGTCACGTGTGAAATCAGTTACGCACACGTGATCTTTATTTCACGTTAACAGGGTGGCATTTAAATCGCCCCTCGGAGTGATGATGGCTCTTTTCTGAGCTAAGCACGCGGAGAGGTGGCTAGGAAAGCGGAATTTGGCTGAAAGCACAGGAAAAAAAGCTTTCTCAATTCAGCCTGCGGTGATGAATCGCTTTGGAGGAAAGGCGTTTCCCCGCGGCTGGCTTGGGTTTTTTTTGCTTCTGTCTTTGCTCCTCGCGATGAATGAAGGAGGCCGCAGGATGGATGGTCCAGAGTGTGTTAGATCTCCATCAAACTGTGAATCCCCTCCCTTGACTAATAATCTGTCACAACTTTACAGAACACACACTGAGAGCAAAGAGGAGCCTCTGCCCTGGAAAACGGCCTTCCCCTCCCTTGCCGAGGGGGCTTGATCCGGCCAAGGGGCGGCGGAGGGAAAACCGGGAGGAGGGAGACAAGGAGCGGACTCGTTCCCAGAAACTGCAGCGCAGCCCGAAAAGGTGCCCAGAGGCCTTCTTGGATCCAAGAAGCGCCCGATCCCGCCAACCCCATTCAAAATCCAGTCATCACCTCTCCCCTTACTAAAATAAAATAAAATAAAATAAAATAGCGATTTTATGGTCCCTAAAAATATGCCCCAGCTTTTCGTCGGCTTAATAAAAGGTTTTGCCCTGGGATCGATTTTGTTTTTGTTTTTCCCCGTTTCCCTTTTTCTTCAGCTACCTTTATTTTTTCTGCAGGATTTATTTGATGGGCATTTTTGCTCCTTTGACTCCGGGATCGTGACCATCCGCGCAGATTCGTTCCTCGATCTAGACTGGATGGGCTTAAAATCCAACGATTCCGGCTGCTTGGCTTGAACGGAATCAACCCAGACAATACACAAAAACGAAATGACCGAAATAAAATAAAATGCCAACCAATGCGCTGGCCAGAAATTAGTTTTTACACGACCCAATTCTTTTGCATGTAAGTTTAGGGAACTGAAGAGAAGCCGCAGTCTGTTTAAGGACCGCGATGGCTGGCAAGGGAATGCGATCCGGGAGGTTTTCCTCTGTTTGAACGGAAGAAATAAATCCAGTTTTCCGAAGAGGCTGGATTCAGAAACCTCTCTTCCGACGTCAGTACCAACAATCAGCCCGATCCTCAACTAGAAGGTTCCGCTGCAGCGCTGCGCTTGGCTATAAACCTCACTTGGGACTAGCTACTTGGAATCCTAGTTATTTCCGCGTAAACGCAGAGAGAACTCGCGCAACAGGCCGAAACGCAGATCGCCAAGCGCCTGGTGGAAACCCGCCTCCTAACAGCTGTTGACGTGGCATTTCGAGGAATTGTTTCGTTCAAGTCACCTCTCCCGTGTTGAAATGAACGTGTGAAGCCAGAACGCGCGCAAGATCCGCGGGGACGCCTTCTGCGACTCAAAGGCGGCGGTAGGCCTGGTGGAAGGAAGATTTTGCAGTCCATTCCGGTCATTGAGCAGCCTTCCTTCCTTAGGGGGGCGGGGAAGACTTATGTTCACCCCAAAAGAAAGTTGCCAGAGTTGTCCGTCTGCCGGGAAATGCGCCGGCCCCGATCCAACAATACATTTGCACAATCCGAATGAGATTTTTAAAAACGGGACCTTTGCAACGGAGGATATTTCAATGAGACAAACGGACGGCATATAAATAATAAAATTATTATTGCAATTACTCGGAAGCAAGTTCAAGTAACGGTGCCGAAGAGGAGTGCAGCGTCGGAGTCACAAAGCTTTAAAAAGCGTTTGCACGCTGCCTCGAATCTACAGGAAACTTTAATCGCTTTTTTTTTTTTTTACAGAGTGTGTGACCTGCACACGCTTCTCCAAAGTGGGTTTAATTTTTGGTTTATTTGTCTGCTCCTCGCAGACCCGCTATAGTGAATACCAAAAGACCAGCGCCCCGATGGATTTAATTTATTATATTTTGAATAAAAGCCGAGCCTTGCACGTTTTAATCCCGGATCCTCAATGGACTCCCCCGCCCATGAAACGGATGTAAACGTACTCAGATCCACTTTAAAATGCGGGCCAGTTAATATATTTAAAAATTTATTAATTATTATTATTATTATTATTATTATTATTATTATTATTATTATTTAAAATCGGCAAACCACTGCGTCAAGGGGTTCTGTTCTAGCTTCTCAAGAGAAACCCACGCTGCCAGAAAGGTTAGACTAGATTACTCTCTAGTCCCTTCCAACTCTCTAATTCTATGATTTTATAAAAGACCCGGGAAGCTGCGGGTCCTATCGCCTTGCAGTTCGTCTCCTTTAAAACAGCTTCTTTCTCGCTTTTCTTTTATATTCACCTTTCTCACCACCACACGCACACACAAAAAAAACCCTTGTTCTTTTTTCGACTTGTTTGTTTTAGGAGTTTTCATCATTTTTTTTAAAGACGAAAATAAATCAGGTTCTGTTATGTATTTCACACGCCCGCCCCACACGCCCGCCCGTTTGAACCCGGATTCCTCCTTTAGCGCCTTTGACGTCTCGTGTGAATGGCAGCCTTTTGTTTCCCTTTCACAGTCCCTTAGAGAAAGAAAAGTGGTGAAAATAAAAATTCTCCTTCAGATGCCCGGTCCCCGCTAACGAATCGGTTTCCGAAGGGGCCGGAAGCGAGAAAGCGAAAGTAGGATCCGAGGGGATCCGCGTTTCCTAAGCAGTTGCTCTAGTTTGAGTGGAAAATGCAGATCTCTTTCCTCTCATGGGGAAAGAGGTTTTTAAAAGAGCGAAGCCCAATTCTTCCATATGTCGGAGGTGAGGAGAGAATGCGCGGAAGAGAAGTTCAGCCAAAGGGATTTTTCAGGGAGCTTAAAATAAACGAATAAAGCCATGCGCGCGCTTCGCTATAATGCGCTTAGGATCGGGCCGTAGAAAGGCGAAAATAATAAAATAAAATAAAATAAAATAAAATAAAATAAAATAAAATAAAATAAAATAAAATAAAATGAAATGAAATGAAATGAAATGAAATGAAATGAAATGAAATCTAGGCCGGTATGTCTGCATTGTTAAAAAAAAACCCAAAACCATTTTCTTAAACACGGAGCCGGGTCAACTTCGGGGGGTGGAGGGAGAGAAACACAGGGCGATCTGTCAGGAATTTCCCTCCCTAATGATCATGCCGCGTTTGTTTGCGGACGTAACAATCGGATGGAATGTCTTTTGTCTTTTGTCTGCGGGGGAGGCGGGAGTCTGGCCGCCGCTAACGCGCTTTGGTTATCCTTCGCTACCTCGCATTCTGCGGGGCAAAAAGTGGTGGAGGTACAATGGATCTCCGGACAATTCCCCTGGAAAACGAAACCTGCTGCCAACTCCCGCTTCAATTATCCTTGCAAACCCCTCTTTCAAAAATAACTAAGTAAGTAAGTAACTATCCAGGTCCCCTTCTATTCTCCCACACCCCCAGATTATTATTTTTTTACAAAATATTAAGCGGGCTGCCTATCCGTTACTGGGCTTTTTAGGGGAATGAATCTCTTTTCGGTTGCTCTGGATCTTGGTTATGGAATTTTAAAAGAGATCTAATTTTTTTTGGGGGGGAGACCCCTCCCTAAAGTACTGAACTCATCAGGTTGGATAGACTTGAGGCGGCTTGAAAAGATACAGGGTGTTTTTTTGTTTTTAAAAAGCTCAGTGTCTCACATCGAATGTAACTGATCTGTAGAGAATACGACCTGAAAATACAGACCATGCACCTACTTTTGTAACCCAAGAAAATATTTAATAAATATTATGGTTGTTGTTATCTTAAAAAAAGAAAGCTCGCTGTTGCCAGTCGCTGGGAACTGGAAAGCTAAATTCCCCAAAGCACGACAGCTTACTCTTTAGCAAGCCCCGCCGAATCCCCTGAAACTAAAGGATCGCAGCCTTAAAAACCTCTGGATCGCTGCAGCTTTGCGCCGATCAGAGGAGAGGGCAATGAATTCTAGTCTTGGCGCTGGGTGGGGTGCAGGGCAGAGAGATGGAGATGCGCATCATTTAGTCCCCTTTCCAGGGGGGAAAAACAACCTCGAAGAGAAACCGCCCTAATTCTCCAAGGTATCGCCTTTTACTCTCTGCAGGGAAACAGCAACAACGACCCAAAGACCCAACAGCGGTTCCTGGCAGGATATCTGGAGATAACTTCTCCCGGAGCAGAGACAACATTTCTATTTTGACTGCGATAAGAGCAGAGGATGCGAGGAGGAGAAGACGACTACTTACATTTGAGGCGTGTGCCTGCCTGCCTTCCATCGCGCCCCGGCCTGCCTCCTGCGCTTATACATTTCTCCCCACAAACAAGTGGAAAATTTTGCATCCTACTGCACCATTTTATACATGATGAGCCGTCAGTAATAGGATTATTAAACAAAAACCGTCTCAGGCGCTGGCGTTAACCTTCTCTCTCTCTTTTTTTTTTAATGGCTAATTAGGTTTTGCACAGGAAAAAATTAGATTTAACATTTGCTTACATTGCCTGCATTTTCAGTGGATGCTACAATAATTTGGGGGGCCAGGGCTGGTAAAACAATTCGGAGAGATAATAAAAAAATTAACCGTTTTAACATATATTACAGGCTCCCTATCCTAGGATAAGGCAAAGAATATTTCCATGATCGAATATTTTATACCTAAAACTAATTATCTGGGGCTTCTGCCTTGATCAAGTCACAGCCCGGAAGAGAGGCGAGCGGTGCCCTCTAGCGGCTGAGCGGAGACATGCAGCAACCTGCAGGAGCAGGATCCGTTCTGCAAAATGTTCATAAGCAAATAACATGTAAAATGGACGTGAGTCTGATTATCGGCGCGCAGGAGTTGGAAAGCGATCGGAAACTCGGACGACCTGACTGTTATTCAAAATCGAGATGCGCTATAAATATAGACATATACCATAAGAGTGCGAGGCTCTGGTACCAGTGGTTAGATCCTATAACAATACCACCTCCATTTTGATTTGTTGCAGGGGCGCCGCACGGAGCTAAATAGATGGGCAATTGTTGTCGAGAAGATCTTTGAGGTTCATAGGAAGGGAAAGGAAGCCCCACACAAGCGGGTGGGTGGGTAGTTATAGGAAAATCTGAGAGAAATGGCATTTAATAAGGTGATCCTCTGAAGGTCTACTCAGAAGTAAGTCCCACTGAGCTCACCGGGATTTACTCTCAGGGAACTTTGTGCAGGAATGCAGCCTAAATGTAAATACTGGAGCAAACCAGAGCAACCGAACGTCTTTGAAACCACTAATAAAATTGCCATTTTTCCCCCTCTTCGGTGATTGTTCTCTATCCCTCTCCACTTTTAAGCCCGTTGAAGCTATTGAAATCATGGAAATTTACGTTCAGGTATATATGATGTAAACCTGAGCTGAGAATAAGGTCACATTGACCGCTGTGGGATTTTCATCTGAATAAACACTACATTCGTAAGCTTGCTGCCCAATCTATTGTGTGCTTCCTCCGAAGTAAACCCAGTTGATTTTTAAGGGACTTCTTATTCCCACATCAGCGCGTATAGGATTGCAAGCACATACGACCTTTTCATTTGCTCGCGATTTTGCTCTATAGCTAGCTGTACACAAAGTGACGGTATAATTTCTCTGATCTGTAGAGAAAATGGAAAGAGATGAAAATTAGGATATAGGGTTTTATCATTTCCTTTCATCATCGGGCTTGCGAGTAGATCAATACCACCTCTCAGAAAAGGCGGACGTCTGCTTTGGTATAAACACCAAATCCTACTGACATTCGTCCCAATTGCGCATTGATCCTCTTCAAGTCTTTGGCTGTTCCTTTGAGATCTGACCCGGATCTCCTTAAGAAGTCGCTATCCCCAACAACACATCTCCCTCTTTATGTGGGATGAAGGAATGGATCGATTAATCAGCGCGGGAGCATCCCTTGATGCGATGCAGATTCAAAAGGCGCGTGTTTTAAATTCGATTTATAATCAGCGCTGAGCCCCAGATTTATTCTGTTCTGTCCATGGCGATAGTAGCAAGAAGCAAGGGTAACTAAGGAGCTATTTATTTCCCGAGCTGGGAAATGCCTCTTCAAGAAATGGAGGGCCACTAGCATTAGGTCCACATTTTTATTTTTTCTGCCCAAAAGTGATGAACTAAAAAATTGCAGTGGAAGCACAAATAAAGCATACAGTGGTACCTCGGGTTACATATGCTTCAGGTTACATACGCTTCAGGTTACAGACTCCACTAACCCAGAAATAGTACCTTGGGTTAAGAACTTTGCTTCATGATAAGAACAGAAATTGTGCTCCGGTGTCGTGGCAGCAGCAGGAGGCCCCATTAGCTAAAGTGGTGCTTCAGGTTAAGAACAGTTTCTGGTTAAGTTCGGACCTCCTGCACGAATTAAGTACTTAACCCAAGGTACCACTGTATACCAATGGTGGAATCCAGCTGCCTTGTGTTTGCTTTTTTTTATTATTGTAAAATTTATAAATGGGACGTGGGTGGTGCTGTGGGTTAAACCACAGAGCCTAGGACTTGCCGATCAGAAGGTTGGCGGTTCGAATCCCTGTGACAGGGTGAGCTCCCGTTTCTCAGTCCCTGCTCCTGCCAACCTAGCAGTTCCAAAGCACGTCAAAGTGTAAGTAAATAAATAGGTACCACTCGGGCGGGAAGGTAAACGGCGTTTCCGTGTGCTGCTCTGGTTCGCCAGAAGCAGCTTAGTCATGCTGGCCACATGACCCGGAAGCTGTACGCCGGCTCCCTCAGCCAGTAAAGCAAGATGAGCGCCGCAACCCCAGAGTCGGCCACGACTGGACCTAATGGTCAGGGGTCCCTTTACCTTTACCTAACATTTCTAAGTCACATTTCTTCCAGGCAGCTCAAGGTGGCAAACATGGTTCTCTTCCCTCTCCATATTATCTTCCCATTGGGGTAGATTAGGCTGGGAGACAGTGACTGGTTTAAGCCCACCCAGTGAGCTGAGTTGGGGTTCAAACCATGCCCCTGGAGCAGAAATTGGGAGCCTGTGGCTCTCCAGATCCATGTGTCTCGAGGAACAATGAAGTGCGCGTCTGGGGGTGAAGTCAAACCGCTAAATTAGCATCACTAAAGTGACCTCCCTCAGGGTGCAAACCTGGGCAGTGTGTATGGAGGTCCTGGGCTGCCCAGATGACAAGACCCCCCTCTCAGCCTCGCCCATGTGGTCCAAAGGAAAGCAGAACGATACGTTCGGCACCAACTTGGGGGCAGGAGTTGCCGGAAGGAGGCCTACAAAGTATCGTCCAACCGTCTTAGGGACTTCATTCCAGATTTGTGTAGGATGTACAGTGGTACCTCAGGTTACATATGCATACGCTTCAGGTTACAGACTCCGCTAACCCAGAAATAGCACCTCAGGTTAAGAACTTTGCTTCAGGATGAGAACAGAAATCGTGCTCCGGCAGCAGCAGGAGGCCCCATTAGCTAAAGTGGTGCTTCAGGTTAAGAACAGTTTCAGGTTAAGAACTGACCTCCGGAGCGAATTAAGTACTTAGCCCAAGTTATCACTGTACTCCTTAGCCTTTTCTTCTCCTAAATGTATCCCACAAGGTAGCAGAGGTTTAAGGTCAGAGTTTCTCTTCTCCTAGATGGGCTACCTTCCAAGGTTGATGAGCCCCATCTCCTGCCCCCTCTACAGCACGTGCAGAAACCGCCTTCCAAACCATTGGACCCACTATTGGTCTCATCTGCTCAATCCTTCGGACTTTGTCTTTGCTTGCAGGAGTCCCTAACTCATTGAAGGCTTGAGACCCTACCCTCACCAGATTGAGCCAACCAGTCAAAGCTGTTTCCTGGTGTGTGGCCGCTGTCACATGCTGACAGCTTCTAGGAGCCACAGGTGAGAGCTGAGTGCAGGGTGGGGACCAAAGGTGGACAAACTACCCCAGAAGGAGCAGGACAGGTCCCCCACTACCCCCCTCCTAACACCCCATACACCCGTTGGTGGCTATGGCAGTCCAATAATATCTGGAGAGTCCAAGGTTGTCATCCATAACATCTGGAGGACCCTTGTGTATATGTAAATGGTCCATCATGCTCAATATTGTCATCAGGGACACCATCCAGACAGAGTTTGGAGCCACTCCTTATCAGCATAAGCAGGATGACCCTCAGGCACATGAGAGCTTCCCTGTCTTCTCGACCTGGCAGGGTCTCTCCAAGACCTCAAGCAGAGAGGCCTCTTGCCTTCATCTTCTACCTGCTCCTCTCAAGTGGCGATGCTCCTTAGCTGCCTTCCATCACATCTGCTCCTTAGCTGCCCTCCATCACATCTAATCTGCACACAGAACAATTATTTTTACCAGGAATATCTTCTCCTGAGTCCTGACTCTCCCACTGTCCCTTGGAGAGTCATACAGTCATACCTCGGGTTGAATGTGCTTCAGGTTGAGCACTTTCAGGTTGCGCTCCGCGGCAACCCAGAAGTAATGGAGCGTGTTACTTCTGGGTTTTGCTGCTCGCGCATGCGCAGACGCTCAAAATGACATAATGCGCGGAAGCGGCAAAACACGACCTGCGCAGACGCACCATTGCGTTCTAGTCAGGATGTGAACGGGGCTCCGGAACAGATCCCATTCGCATCCTGAGGTACCACTGTACTTCTGTGGCATTCTCTTCCATGCGCCAAACCATCGTTTCTTGAAAGTGAATCTGAATCATCTCCATGGGACTTCTTTCTGAGGAAGGGTACACAGAAATGTAGCCTCACCACTTTCAATAATAATAATAATAATAATAATAATAATAATAATAATGCAGTTAAAACCAAGGTGTGGGGGGGTCAGGATGGGGGAAAGTGTCTTAATAGCTATGTTTTTGACTGCAATTGTAAAGTGTTTTTTAAGATGAGGACATTATTTTGCTAAACAACATGAACTGGGAACCCATTTTCAGGAGTGTCTGTTGTTAATTAATCATATCTTTAAATGGGAGGGAGGGAGAGACCAGGGTATTCTGGTGGTTGCGTCTAATGCAATTTCACCCCAAGGCTATAATTATCTTCTAGAGCTCATATCTCTGCAAAGCCATCCTGGATTCTTTATCTAATCAATCATTTCCTTCCTTCAACGAAGGGTGAAAATCTACAACTGCCAAGGGAAGCGGCATGTGCCAAGGTAACCGGGAGCTGCTCCCTTTACCTTGAAAGCTGACTTACACCAGGTTGTAGAGAGGCAGGGGAGGTGCCCGTGTAGTGCAGTGTTGGACTAGGACAGGGGTTGGCAAGGTTTACCTCGCCTGGGCCGGTTCACTCCAGTGGGGATTGCTCCCTGGGTTGGAGCACGTCTGTGCAGATGCAATTTTTGGCGTCTGTGCAGATGTGATTTCTGGTGCTGTGGAAGCGAGTCCCGGCTCCGCGCTGTGCCGGTTTAGCACAGCGCGCGGGGACTCACCAAGTGGGCGGCTCAGTTGGGGGGCAGCTTGTGGGCCGTTTAAACGACCCTGTGGGCTGCTTGTGTCCCATGGACCGCAGGTTGCTGACCCCTGGACTAGGACCTAGGAGATAAAGGTAAAGGTAAAGGGACCCCTGACCATTAGGTCCAGTTGTGAATGACTCTGGGGTTGCGACGCTCATCTCGCTTTATTGGAGAGGGAGCCAGCGTACATCTTCCGGGTCATGTGGCCAGCATGACTAAGCTACTTCTGGTGAACCAGAGCAGTGCATGGAAACGCCGTTTACCTTCCTGCCAGAGTGGTACCTATTTATCTACTTGCACTTTGGCGTGCTTTCAAACTGCTAGGTTGGCAGGAGCAGGGACCGAGCAACGGGAGCTTACCCCGTCGTGGGGATTCGAACCGCCGACCTTCTGATCGGCAAGTCCTAGGCTCTGTGGTTTAGATCACAGTGCCACCCGCGCCCCTTCAGGACTCAGGAGACCAGGGTTCAAATCCCCACTCAGCCATGAAGCATGCTGAAGCCAGTGCCTCCCTCTCAGGCTAACCTACCTCACAGGGTTGTTGAAAGGATAAAATGGAGAGGGAGGAGAGCCATGTTCGCCACCTGGAGATACTTGGATAAAAGGTGTGATATGGCTGCATAGTCACAAGGGTGGATAGCAATGGCCGCTTTTCGTATGGGCTCTGTTTGCGATCAAGGGAGGGCCGCATGCACCCAGAGCTTTAGCTGCACAAATCAACGTCCGCCCCCTTTGTGCTGCTTGTTCCTGGCCCTTTTCTTTCGGCGTTTCATCTCTTCTGGCAGAGGAGACATCAGCTTCAGCTTCACCTAGTCTAATTGACAGGCAGCTTTGTCCGTTTCTTCACACTTCCCCCCTCGCTTGTCTTCTTGGCCTTTTTCTGTCAGGGGTTTGACACTAACATCTGAACGTTTTCTTAAAGTTGCTTCCCCATCCCTTTTGTCTCCCTTGCAACCTCAAACAGCCACATCGGAATATTTGCGGAGCAGGCCGCCAATGCAGAAATGTAAGTTCCTGACCCGGCGTGGTGGAACAAGGGGAATAAATACGGAGAACAGATGCCATGGAAAACAGCGGCCTGTTAACTTGAGTGGCTATGCAGGTGCAAATTTCACCAGGTGCAGCTTTTCTTATCCTGCGGCACAACAAGTTGCACAGGCCAAAATTCATTCTTCAATACAACTATGAATGAAAATGGTCCTTTTCTGTCGTGTGCAGTTGTCCCATCAGGCAAAACTTTGGGGCTGCTGTCCAGGGTTCAGCTCAGAAGAATAAGTAGCAGAGCCCCCAAACATAGCTGGATTGGCACACTACGTTTTGAGGGAGGTGAAATAACACACATTAAATCAGAGGCGCGGATTTTTTGGGAGGGGAACAGTTAGGGCCAGAGATGCTAGCTTGAGAGGGCGATGGGGTGGGAGGGCAATATTGTGACGTCCTGACGCTGTGCATGAGCATCTCACCTCCCTCCCTAAGGAGGGCAGAAGCTTCCCAGGCTTTGGGATGGAGGCGCAAGACTTTGATACTTTAATACAGTCATGTTGTTGTTGTTTAATCGTTTAGTCGTGTCCAACTCTTCGTGACCCCATGGACCAGAGCACGCCAGGCACACCTGTCTTTCACTGCCTCCCACAGTTTGGTCAAACTCATGCTGGTAGCTTCGAGAACACTGTCCAACCATCTTGTCCTCTGTCGTCCCCTTCTCCTTGTGCCCTCCATCTTTCCCAACATCAGGGTCTTTTCCAGGGAGTCTTCTCTTCTCATGAGGTATTGGAGTATTGGAGCCTCAGCTTCAGGATCTGTCCTTCCAGTGAGCACTCAGGGCTGATTTCCTTAAGAATGGAGAGGTTTGATCTTCTTGCAGTCCATGGGACTCTCAAGAGTCTCCTCCAGCACCATAGTTCAAAAGCATCAATTCTTCGGCGATCAGCCTTCTTGATGGTCCAGCTCTCACTTCCATACATCACTACTGGGAAAACCATAGCTTTAACTATACGGACCTTTGTTGGCAAGGTGATGTCTCTGCTTTTTAAGATGCTGTCTAGGATTGTCATTGCTCAGGTTAAATATGCTTCAGGCTGAGCGTTTTCAGGTTATGCTCTGCAGCGACCCGGAAGTAACGGAACGTGTTACTTCCGGGTTTCGCTGCTTGCGCATGCGCAGACGCTCAAAATGACGTCACGTGCATGCGCAGAAGTGGCAAAACGTGACCCGCTCATGTGCAGGTTGTATTCTACTCAGGATGCGAACACGGCTCCGGAACGGATCCCATTCGCATCCAGAGGTACCACTGTACTCTAATTTACCAGGAACATTTAGGAGACTAACCTAGTCCCCCGAGTCCACTGACCGCAAGCCATTGATTAGCATCTAAAGTCTCTCGCCGTGTGTCTGAATGTTTGTGTTAAGACCATTAAGTCCTTAAAAAATAAATAAATGCATACCCTCCAACATTTCTCCGATGAAAATAGGGATGTTCCCATTCCATAATAATAACTTTACTATTTATACCCCACACATCTTATGGGGTTGCCTCAGCACTCTGGGCAGCTTCCAAAATATATAAAAACATAATAGAACATTTTAAAAAACCTTCCCTATACAGGGTTGCCTTCAGACAGCTTGGGAGTCGAATAACTCCATACAGTCCAGCATTTCTGCAATGAAAATAGGGATGTCCTAAGGAAAAGTGGGACATTTCGGGATCAAATCAGAAACCAGGACGGCTTCTCTAAATCAGAGACGTCCCTAGAAAATAGGGACACTTGGAGGATCTGAAAATGCCTGACGACACCACTGTGCACTATGATTGAACGAAGTTGAATATCATTCTCTCTCACCCACATCTTTGTGTGTGTTTATGCAAGATCAATGTTGGTTGACTGTGATCAACTGCTCCACAGATTCTTGGATTTTAACTCGCATCTGTAACCCGCCCGCTACATTGTAAGGGGCATGTACGCTGGTCACTGCATTGAAAGGGGGCATGTACGCTGGTCACTGTTTTGAAGGGGAGTGAAGAACACACACACACAAAAAGGTAACTTGTTAATTTAACGTTTATTTCTATGAGGAGGAGTAATTCTGAGGGGTCAAACAAAGAAATAATAAAAAAGTGACAAAAAAGTTATTTTTATAATAATGAGTTTTGCGGCTCCCAGTTTTTTTTCCTTCGGAAACGGGTCCAAGTGGCTCTTTTTGTCTTAAAGGTTGCAGACCCCTGCCATAGGCGCTAGGGCTGCGGGGCACCTGGGCGCCGGGCTCTCAGGGGCACCAGGCCAAGAATCTGGGGCTGCGATTTGGAGTCCAGGGATTGAAGAGCCAGGCCAGCCGACAGCCGCTGCCAAGCGGAGCAGAGCCCATCAGAGCGTCAAAGGTTTTTCTGCTGCAGGCGCTGAGTTGTTTATTTAAATTGTATGCCCGCTGTTACCTTAAAATGGAAACTTAAACTGATGGAACATCAGAATACCCAGATAGGTGGGGTATAAATAAATAATAATTATTATTATTAGCGCAGCTTGCGGATTTAACATATAGAATAAGAGAACAAGAAGAATATACGTTTCAAGAAGACTGGAAAATGTTTATTGAATATATGGAGGAAAATTGTGTACACTTGAAAACGTTGGCAGCATTAAGATAAATTCAACAGTGTAAACAAGTTTGATAGATGTAAAAATGGAATACTGAATGGCTTAGTTTATGTAAAATATGCAGGGATTTATGATATGTAAAATGAACCACGGAAAGAGAAGAAGGGAAGTCATTGACATTTTAAGGTTGTTTCAATGAATATTCTAAATTGTAAAACATAAGATTTAATAAAAAATTTATATATATATATATATATATAAATGAGAGGGAAAAATAAATGCATGAAAAGCACCCTGCCCGGTTCCAAAACTAAATATCAAAGCGACCTTGTCCCGAAATCAGGCGGCTGCGCCTCGAAGACTACATTACCCAGCATGCTCCACCGGATGACTGCCCCCCCTACCCGAGCGACCCGGAAGCCGCCCCTCTGCGCCTGCGCGACGCGGGCTGCTCAGCGGCGGGGCTGCCTTGAGGAGTGTCCCTCGTTCGCTCGCCTCCTTCCGCGCACCTGCTGCCGCCGCCGCCGCCGCCGGCAACCGCCGCCTCTTCCTTCCCCGCTTCCGGCCTGCCAGATACGGCCCTCGCGCGCGGCACGAGCAGGCCCCGCTCTCCGCTTAACCCTCTCGTCGCCTAGCCTCTCCTTTCCTTCCTCCTCCTCCTCTTCCTCGCGCCCCGAGCGGAGCCGGTGGGCGGCGCGGCCATGGCGGACACGGCGCAGAACGGGCCCATGCAGGGAGGCGCGGGCGGCGGAGCCGTGGTGAGTTGAGTCCGGCGGGGGCGGCCTAGCGCGGCCTTCGCGGCCCTGCTGCGACCCACGGCGGGGCGGCATCCCAACGCTCCGCCTGAGAGGATTATATTTTATTTTATTCGAAACCGGCCTCACGCCTCTTCAGCCCCCGGCGTAGCTCAGTCGGTAGAGCCGGGGACTGTTAACCTCAGGGTCGTGGGTTCGAGTTCCACACGGAGGGCAAAAAGGCATAGCTGTCAACTTTTCCCTTTCCTTGCGAGGAATCCTATTCGGAATAAGGGGATTTCCCTTAAAAAAAGGGAAACGTTGACAGCTATGAAAAGGATTCCTGCATGTCGCAGGGGGTTGGACTAGATGACCCTGCGGAGGGGTCCCTTCCAACTCTGTGAACTGCCCTGAGACTCCCTGGTATAGGGCGGGATATAAATTCAATTAATAATAATAATAATGATAATGATAATAATTCTGTTCTTCTGTGAGTCTATAAATGCGCTCCCATGTGGTGTTCTTTGTAGGGAGAGTTCTGATTTCAGGTCGTTTCAAATCTGTGGGTTGACTCCAGTATTGTACCCTCTTCTTGTATCAGGGCAAATCTGCTCAAGTTCTGAGATTGGGGGTGTCGTAGCTCACCCCCCCAAGCCCAGTTTTCAGGGCTACGAATGAGGCAGTGTTAATTGATTAAGTTATACACCACCTTTATCTTCCAAGTGGCTTAAGGTGGTATATGTGGTTGTCCTCCACATTTTCATCCTTCACAGCAACCCTGTGAGGCAGGTTAGGCTGAGAGATGGTGGCTGGCCCAAGGTCACCCAGTGAGCTTCACGACTGAGCAGCGATTCAAACTGTGGCCTCCCAGGTCATAGTCCCAACGCTTTAACTGTTCATGTATCAATGGGCACATGTGGGAGCAGATCGACACAACTGCACACCTCCCCCCTCCTCCATTGAGGGGTTATTCTGAATCTCTGATAGTTGTGTAGAGGAGGGAATTTGGATGTCGGCAGTGGCAGTTTTGTCACCGTGACAGTGTCCCCTGTTTCACATCTCCATTAGAAGTTGCCCTCTCTTGCCTCTTAATTGCCCTTGAGAAGTTTCAGTTCCTCTTAACTTTTTTAATCTAAAGCTTCCAGGCTTGGCCTTTTCCTCTCCACTGCTGCATTTGGCAAAGGTTTGTGGAACAGGCTGGAGGAGCCAACTCAGTGTCAAGAGTCCTAAGTTGTTCTGGCTGTTTTCTGAAACATGGGCTATGCAACAGATGTTTAGGTTACTGCACTAGTACGTAGGTATTTAGGAAGTTGTTTGATGCTAAGACCATTGGTTTCTTTAGTTCTGTATTACCTATACAGTGGTACCTCGGGTTACATACGCTTCAGGTTACAGACTCCGCTATGCCAGAAATAGTACCTCGGGTTAAGAACCCGAGGTACTATTTCAGGATGAGAACAGAAATCGTGCTCCGGCGGCGCGGTGGCAGCAGGAGGCCCCATTAGCTAAAGTGGTGCTTCAGGTTAAGAACAGTTTCAGGTTAAGAACGGACCTCCGGAACAAATTAAGTACTTAACCCGAGGTACCACTGTACCACGGATGGGGAGCCCCTGGCTTGTGAGCCAAAGTTGGCTTGCCAAGCCATTTTCCCCAAACCACAGACACCTGTCTCATGCCTAACACCATATGTGATGTTGGGTATATGGGAACGGGTGGCGATGTGGTCTAAACCACTGAGCCTCTTGGGCTTGTTGATCGGAAGGTCAGCAGTTCTAATCCGTGCAACGGGGTGAGCTCCTGTTGCTCTGTCCCAGCTTCTGCCAACCTAGCAGTTTGAAAGCATCCAAGTGCAAGTAGATAAATAGGTACCACTGCCACGGGAAGGTAAATTGCGTTTCTGTGCTCTCTGGTTTCCGTCACGGTGTTCCGTTGCACCAGAAGCGGTTTAATCATGCTGGCCACATGACCTGAAAAGCTGTTTTTGGACAAACGCCGGCTCCCTAGGCCTGAAGTGAGATGAGCATCACAACCCCATAGTTGCCTTTGACTGGACTTAATCGTCCAGGAGTCCTTTACCTGTGGGGCAAAAAGAAATGTGGTTTGATCCTTTTAGAAATCATGAATAAACTCCCTGTGCATCAGTTTAATCCTGCTTGCTTTTGGTGCAGAAAACAGGCTTGAGCATCAGCTGACATATAGGGAGTTAAATCCTGCTGGGTCACTATCTCCTTCCACTCCCGTGGGCAAATTTTGACAACTGGGTGGCCCAGCACACTGTCAAAAGTGGTCTGCAGTGTATGCAGAGGTAAAAATCTGACTCACTGGGCCAAAATTATTCCCCTCCCTTTGCACACTGACTGGTAAAGAGACTAAAAAATGTTACCTACAGCACAAGCTATTGTGGGTTAGAGCCCAGGTCATCAGCTGTTTCCTCAGTTGTCAGGTGTATATGCACGTTAGATCTAAAAGAAAAAAAGTGTAAAGGTTGGAATGAAGTGGCAGTATGATACCAAAACCATGTAGTAAATTCTTTTATGGGCTGAATCTGAGTGCATTTGGAAATTTGCAAACCAATGAACTAAAAGCATATTTTGGAAAAGGGCAGGGAACTGGCAACAGTCAAGTTCTGGGCAATTTGATTCATTTCTTGTCTATGTAGGATGGGTGTGACTGCCTCCCTGGAAACCAGATTTACCTTTCCCCATTTAGTTTATAGGCAGGCAGGGCCACTGGCAAAATGTTCAGGCTAGCTGATATTTCCACATACACATAACAACTTGCAACACCATATTAGTCATGGTGAAATGCACAAGCAGTTTCATGCTACCGGTGGTAGTTCATGCTGGGCCTGCTTAACTTGTGATCCACTAAGCCAGATGCAGACCACCAGCTGTTTATTTGGACCCACAAAATACTTGACAGCCTATTTGTTTTTGCAATCCTGAGCAGAAACCAACAACAAAAGCTTTTTATGAGCTGCTGTTTCTGGCTGATGGGGCTGCATTTGTCTTGATAGGTTTGCACAACATGTGGCCCTTCAACAGGTGCTTTGCCTTGATAGAATGTAGTTGTAGTACACTTTGCAGTATTGCATTGGTGAAACTATTAGCAGGCTGTGTCATAGCTACTTCTATCCTCTTTCAGGAAGTGTTTGAATTGGACCTTTAGATAGGAGTCATACCTGGTGCTAGATGGACTTCTGGGGAAAACACGAAACACTGAGTTCTGATAGCTTCCTTATCTTCCATAAAAACACAGCCTAAAAGTTTTATCTCCTAGCAGTTTAACAGAAGAAACCTTCTTTGGTGTTTTTTTAATCACTGTCCCACAGTATGGTGGTGACTTCATTTTCTACAGAGTACTCCTCCCAGGGCATTTTATATGGTAAATGCCTGCACTACAAAAAATGTCCTGAGAGTTCTTAAAGGTGACTGCAGCCACTGCTGTTGCCCTGACTGCTCAGAGATGGGAGGGATTGCTAGTTCAGTTAGTCACCACCTGTCCTAGCCATGAGGCAAAGTAGATATCTTCATTCTGTGAGCAATGGAGGGCTATACAAGGCTTCCTTGGAGCCTAGACCGAGTAGGGATTGGTTTTGGGATGTCCTGTTCCATTCCAGAAGGTGGTGAAGTTCACCAGAACTGCTTCCTAGCCATTATCTGCCATGGGTGCTAGCAGAGAGCAGCTGAGTTATCCGTGTGGTTCTCAAAGAGCAGATATTCAAAGTTAACCCTCTTAATTATTTTTATTTTTATTTTAATTTATTGCCTGACCTTCACCCTATGATCCCCGGGTGGGTTACAGCAGTTTAAACTGTGACATTAAAAACAGTTTTAAAAATTTACAGTTACAAAAATGCAATCATGAAACATAGGTCTTTAGAAATCTCATAATTATGTCTTCCAAATTTAAGAGCGACTGTGTGGAGATTGCTTTTTTATTTATTATTTACGCTTGCTTTTATGAGAAAGCCAAAGTTTTGCGTTCTTCGTATTGTCTGTTATCTATGTTGGTTCTGGATCTGGTCAGTTTGGTAGGTAATTGTTCTTTAACAGTGGGTAAAACAGTGGGTTGCTTTGGGAGGGTGGATGGGATAGAAATTTAATAAATAAAAACAATAAATAAATATTTATTCACTAACTACTTTTCCTTTCATTACAGCAATTTCTGATTACTAATAAGTTGGATACAGCAATGTGGATTTCCCGTATATTCACAGTTTACTGTTCAGCTTTATTTGTCCTGCCTCTTCTAGGGTATGTATAATAATGTTCTTTAAAGCAGTAGTGCCCCTGATATCCTTAGAAAGGACACTGCTTTTTTTAGCGACAGAATGAAACAGAAAACATACATTATGCTTAAAAGCTCTGTATCACATTTTATATGCATATACAGTTGTTCTAATCCAGTTAAGGTTAAGCTTTTATTACTTCCCGTCCATTTTAATACGAGATATCAATCTATATTCTTAGCTGTCCATTGGAAATCAGTGTAGTGTGTAGATGCGAAATATCAGTCAGTGATATGGGGCAGAAGATTTTCCAGTGCTTTATTTTTATGTGGGAGTTTTAACTTTCGTTAAGTTCATTAGTGACAACAAAAGGATGCCCATTTCAACTACAGTATTAGGCAAGCTTAGCAATTTCAAAGTTTGTAGCTTTGCTTACTGAATGCTAAACTAGATCACTCTCTAGGCCATCAGAAAATGTTTAAATGCTGACTGAAAGATTTCCAATGCAAATTAGCCTAAATTTGCATAGGAAAAAATCCAGGAAACCTATATCACTGACTTTGGTTAGACTTTGACCAATATTTTGCAAATATGAGTGCTTGATATTTGGTTCTGTTTAAGAACCAACTTTACACCTGTCCAGTAATCTGTACATTATATACCTTCAGATCAAGTGAGTGTCATTTATTGTTTAGGTTTTGATATTGTCATTTAACTAGATTCCAGTTACTATGTTATTATTTATCTGCCATTTTTCTCTCCAAAGAAATGTCAAATAGATAACTGCATTGAAAATACTTTTAAATGGCATTCTTCCCTCCCCCCACTCCCCCAAACTTGGCACACCTGTAGAGTTCAGTGCCAAGCGCCAGGAATGCTTCTCAGACTGAGTAACAGTTACATCTTGGCAGAGCTTAGCAGGGCGGGCTTCAGAGACTGAAATGATGATGCAATTCTCTTGGGAGGAAGACTTGAAGCCGCAACTCGGTTTGTATGGTAACCTCTCCTTTGATAATTCTCAAGGTTGCATGAAGCAGCTAGCTTTTATCAACGTGCCTTGCTGGCAAATGCTCTCACCAGCGCCCTTCGACTTCACCAAAGGCTACCACATTTTCAGCTAAGCAGGGCGTTCCTGGCTCAAGCCTTGCTGGAGGACAGCTGCCACTACCTTTTGTATTCCCTCATCTTTGTCAATTCCTACCCTGTTACAAGTATCCTTTCTATGAGTCTTGTAATACTTCCAATTCTGTAATAGTTTGATTGGGCTTTTGCTGTCGTAGAGTGCTAGACTTAAATCAGGGATTACTCCAGCTTGTACCTTTGCTCAGCCACAAAGCCTAAAGGGTGATGATGGGCCAGATTCCACCAAAACACTAAAATACCTATTAAACATTAAAAGCTTTCCTAAACAGGGCTGCCTTCAGATGTCTTCTAAAAGTTTGGTAGTTATTTTTCTCTTTGATATCTGGTGGGAGGGTGTTCCACAGGGTGGGTGCCACTACTGAGAAGGCCCTCTGCCTTGTTCCCTGTAACTCCACTTCTTGCAGTGAGGGAACCGCCAGAAGGCTCTCGGTGCTGGACCTCAGCGTCCGGGCAGAATGATGGTGGTGGAGACGCTCCTTCAGGTATACTGGGCCAAGGCCATTTAGGGCTTTAAAGGAAAGCACCAACACTTTGAATTGCTTGGAAACGTACTGGGAGCCAGTGTAGGTCTTTCATGACAGGTGTTATGTGGTCTCAGCGGCCACCCCCAGTCACCAGTCTAGCTGCCGCATTCTGGATTAGTTGTAGTTTCCGGGTCACCTTCAAAGATAGCCCCACATTGTTTTCCAATGTACTTCTTACAAATAAAAATGTTGGTGTGGGGGGAGCAAAATTTTATTCTGAAAGTGTGGCCCACAGGAAAAGGTTAGAGAACCACTGGACTGGAGTCAGGGGTGGAGGGAGGGGTACAGTGGGTGTGGGCTACCCTGGGTGTCACCACTGAGGAGGGTGACAAAATGCCAGGCGGCACTCACCGCAGGGCCTGCAGCACGCCCAAGCCACATGTCTATCCTGGGAGAGACGCGGTGGCTTGGGCGCACACAGGCTCCGCGCTGCCCAAAGGGTCCACCCGCTACCTCCCCCCCCCCCAGCTGTAGGGCGGCTGAGTGGGAGGAGGCAGGCAGACTCTGGAGGCCCCACGGTGTGCCCTGCCCTCGCCCCTCCCCAATGGGTGGCTTGCCTCCTGGGCACGCAACCCCAGGCGCCCGAGCTGCTTCCTCCGCCGCTGACTGGAGTAATCAACTACAAGGAGGTAAAGCTCAGGGGAGAGGGGAGCTGAACTCTATCTCTCCACCCCCTGCCTTATGTGTGCTTTTTGTTGTTAGTGAATTTACCACCTCAATTCCTGCTTTATATATGTATAGGGCAGTCACACAAATTAAGGCCTCATCACCTCTAGTCTCACCCTAGACAGAAGAACCACCTTTATTAACTCTTATTTATTACCTATTGATGTAAAGTACCTGAATCAAAATAAACAAGTGAGCTCATATTTCTTAGCCCCATCAATTTATTTAATAAGGTTGCAATCCTATACCTTCTTCTGCGAAGATCTGTATAGGATTTCACTCTAAAACATTGATCTACTGATTTTAACTCTGGCCCTACATAAGTTAAGTACACACAAACTGCTGGATGCCTATACTTCTACAAGTGCATACCGCTAACCACCATTTTCAAATTCCATTCCATGATTAGGACTGTGTTCTGTGTCACTAAGTGTTTAATAAAGCTACCTAACTTTAATCACCTGAACCTTAAGGTCCAAACTTTTTCTCATACAAAAGAATCTGAATTTAAAGCAAGAGATCGCAGGCTTACATGTTGACACAAGTGGACGATGTGCTTGAATATTCAGACTATAGTGTGAAATAACATGCGTGAGGTTGTAATTCTCCTTAACTTTAACTTCAGTGAGTATTTTCCCAGTTCTGTTGTTTTCTTTGCTTCACGCTGCCACCTACACAAAGAAGGTTCTTGATGTAAGTATGTTGTTAGTGTATGATCTTGTGCCCCTTACATGCCACATTGCTCTTTGTAAGGAGGGCAGGATTCAGATGAGACATGGATTTTTTAAGGGGTAAACTGAAAACTGGCATCTGGCTATTTTCTGCCACAGTTTGTGTAGCTCATCCAGTTCCGCTGCTTCTATCAAAGGGTTAGCAAGTAGGAAAGAAAAGGATACGCGTGGAGAGCCAGAGTGTTTGATGAGGACCGAGGAGACTTGGGTTCAAATCCCTATGCAACTGTGATGCTCGCTGGGTGACCTTGAACATTATTCAATGTAACCTCCCTCACAGGGTTGTTTGGGTTAAATGGGGGCAGTGGGGAACTGAAACTGAATATTAGGTTGACCGTTTCCTGCATAATAAACATTGTAGCAAGGTTTGCAAAATTCTTCAGTTTTCCTGCTTATTATTTAGACTGCCTTTCAAGGTTTATAAAATAATTATAGCATAGCTGAAAGTATTCCCAAGGTTTGACTTTGTATACATAACACAAAGTTTCCTGACATTGCTTTTTTACTCCCTTCTTTCAAGGCACGAGGTTCAAATAGTCTTCTTTTCCTAAGAAATCTCTTGGACAAGTTAAACGCTAACCAGCAAAACATCCTGAAATTTATAGCTTGCAATGAGATCTTCTTGATGCCGGCTACTGTGTTTATGCTTTTCAGGTATGAGATGAAACATTAACCTTTATTTTTATTCAGATGGTGTTCTATAACTGCTTGGGAATACAGAATCAGACTGTTTATTGTTTATCATTGCAATGTCCCTATAAGGGACCGTCTTTGCAGGGTGAAAACTAAGGTTGGGTTGTGATTTTCTCACCATCTCCTGACCCTGTGGCTGTGCTGCTCTAAGAACCCTATTTTTAAGATGCACAGGGTTTGCTTGCTGACTAATGTAAGGATGGTTTCTTGATCCTTAAGGCAAAGATCAGCATAGTCTGTTTTTGTTCCTTTGGAGAAATTTTACTTTCATGTGCATGAAGAAAGCTCTGATTCAGATGCCAAAAAGATAATATTGCATTTTAAGTGCCCGTTATTTTGTAGTATTGTGTTTTAATTTAGGGTTGTATTCAAAGTAGCATTAAGGAAAATGTTCTATCAGTGAAATAATTTCTCTTTGTTCAACAGAATGTTCTGCCCCTCTCCTCCCACCGTGCACCCCCTAATTCTGTTCTGGAGTTCCCCCAACCCTCTAGAGCAGATTTGGGGGTGGAACAGGGTGTGCACAGGAGGAGGAGAGGGGTGAAGTCCTGTTGTGCAAGCGAAACTCACTCCCCTTGCACAGTTATTTATTTAAATACCATCCTTTGTATCTAAGCCACCTTGCAGACCACTGATGGAAGAATGGCATATACTGTTAATTTATTATAATTTCTTATTTATTTATTGAATTTATATACCTCCCTATACCCAGAGGTCTCAGGGGTGTTCACAGAACAAAATCAAAATACAAAACCACAAAATATATAAAACAATAAAATAAAAACAATACCCCCCCAAAAAAACCACATTTTAAAAGGGCAAAGGATGTCAATCAACCAAAGGCACCTAAAGGTGTATAATGAAGGTGCCAGGCAAACGTCCCTGGGGAGAGCATTCCACAGACGGGGAGCCACTGCAAACTTCCAGGTACCATTGAATTCAGTGGAATTTATTTCTAAGTAAATATGCACAGAATTCTGCCACAAGGCAGCTCCTCCTAGTGCATGCTTGTCCGAGAGAAAGGTCTACTGAACACGGTGGATTTGCTTCTGAGTAAACATACACTAAAGTTACATAATTTCATTGCAGGAGGAGCAACACTAGTTCCTTTATAAGGTTTTAATGTTTCAGCCATCTTGACACATTTTATTTAATGATCTGCGGCTGCCATTCGTCACAGTGTGTGCATGTCAAATACTGTGTGAAAACATTTATTTAGTTGTAAGGGTCTTTTGCAGGTCAAAGCAGTTACTATGTGTGAAGAAAAACATAAGGTGGTGTCTTATTGCAAATCCTACACTGTATCCTTTTAAATAAATCTACCCCTCCACCACCCCACCTTTTTTCTTCTGTTCTTTTCAGTGGGCAGGGAAGCTTGCTGCAGCCATTTATTTACTACAGATTTCTTACACTCCGTTATTCCTCCCGCCGAAATCCATATTGCCGGTAAGAAACCAATTACGATTTAAAGTTGTTGTTGTCATCATCTGTAAATACAGTGCTTAAACAGTTGGCTCCTTGGTGTTGCCATATGATGGACTAAAAAGAGGAGTTAAAGGAAGTAATTAAAAACATGAAGATGGGAAAATCACCTGGCTCTGATGGATTCCCAGCATCCTTTTACAAAACATTTAAGGAACAAACACTTCCACAAATGGCCAGGCTATACAATGATATTTTAGCCGGTAACCTACTTCCTGCAACTTGGAAGCATTCAAGAATCATAGTTATTCTCAAACCTCACAAGGACTCCACCAATATCATACCAAGCAATCTCTTTATTAAATCTAGATTATAAAATCTTTACAGCCAATCTGGTCAATAGATTAAAAACATTTGTTGGCAGCTGTATACAGACAGACCAATCAGGGTTTGTTCCAGGGTGAAGAGTTACTGATCCAATAAGGAAATTATTGAACATTTTTATTTCATTAGAAAAAATCATAACCTTTAACAAGCCTCTCACTTGATATTTTAAAACTATTTGATTGTCCAGAACCAAATTATCTAATGGAAATAGTTAAGAAATGTGATTTTGGCCAAAAAAATTGTAAAGGCTTTCGAAGGCAGATATAGATATAGATGATATAGATATAGATATAGATATAGATAGCAGGCCACAATTAGAATAAATAATTCAGATTGCTCCCCCCCCCAAATGTTTAGTCATAGAACAAAACAGGGATGTCCTCTGTTGCCCATTAGTTGTCTTAATTTTAGAAACATTGGTAATCAAATTACAGAATGCCCTCTCTGGTATGGGAATGGTTTCGTCCCGTAATGTTGTGTGTTTAAATGTTTTTGTACTTCTGCAAACCTCAGAATCTCTCTGGCTATGGTAATATGGCTATGGTAATGAAGGCAGCTCTGTTTGGGGAAGTTTTTAATGACTGATGTTTTAATGTATTTTTAATCTCTTCTTGGAAGCCGCCCAGAGTGGCTGGGGAAACCCAGCCTGATGGGCAGGTTATAAGTTGTTGTTGTTGTTGTTCTCCTCTTCCTCCTCCTCGTTATTATTGATTTTGATGAAGGTTTGAGTGAGATGTAGGAGCTACTGTTGCAAAGATATTTCTGTAAAAAGTGTCTGTTATTTTCAGAACCCTCTTCACGGAACTTCGGATTGTCGTTGAGCATGTCATCATGAAACCGTCCTGCCCGGCGTTTATACGAAGGCTCTGTGTCAGCAGCATTTCTTTTATAAGCAGACTGGCACCAACTGTTGCATAGTCAACACTGGAAACATGCGTATGTTTGTCTGATGAACTTTCTAAGCAGCTGGTATTTCTGCTGGTGATTTATAAATTCTGGATCTCAGTCAAGGTTGTATGGAAACATGTTTTCTTCCAAGAGCCTGTTCTGTGAATTGTATCCTATATGTTTAAAAAGTCTTGTTTTTCAAGATGTTTCCGTGCTTTGTGGAAGATGAACGCTTGCCATCTTAGACAGAATACTTTCCAATGCAAAACAGTGGTGACAACCCTGCATTGTACAATATGGCTTTTGTGCTGTCATGTATGTCCTCTTCGATACTGAATGAAAATACTTATTCAAAAAAATAATAATGTCCAGGCAATACTAGCTGGATTGTGTCTAACAAGCTATAAGCTGTGGCTGCAACATAACTAGTAGCCTCTTAGGGGTACCTATTGAAATCTCTACCCATGCGGTACATTTGAGTCAGTATTCCTTCCATTCAGTAAATGAGACAGGCTTAGTCAATTGAGTAAATCATTGTGGTCAATACAAATCAATTGGCACCTACTTCAAATGTGAACAGTAGAACGAAGCATCAAATTTAATTGTTCTGATTTATTTAATGCTTTTGAAATGGAAAGCTCTCCACCCTTCCCTAAGCACTTTATTTCTTTGTAAAGTAAATATTTCTCTAGATCATCTCAATGCCCTATTTTTTTCCTGTCTTCCAAAAAGCAGGCTTCTTAAAATGCCACTCTTTGAAAAGTCTGAATAATAAAGATGGATGTTACATTAATTTTCAATATATATTGGAAGTGTTGCCCTTGTGAGGTAATTCTTAAAGTTCATGCAGTTAGGCTAGTTCCAAACACCATTGCATACTCATGGTGCAATGCTAAACATGGCAGTAGCTGTAAATTACATTATGACATAGGTCTGCCTTTCAAGTTTTGAGCATGAATCTTCTCTCTTCCTCCACCTTCAGTTTATATGCATGGGCATAACTGCAGATGTGTCGGACCATAATGTGATGTAGGCATGTGTCTCCTGCTCCATCCCTTTCTCCTGTACACATGGTCAGGAAACGGAGAGGATGTGATTGTGGGAACACAGCTCTGTTGCGACCTCATAGGACTTCTGTCTCTGTGGGTGCTGCGCCTGCACAGGGAAGCATCCTGCCCATCCTGCTGAAACTAGAGGAACTATTTTGTAAAGCAGAGGTGTGGAAACTCTGGCCTCCCAGATGATGTTGCTCTCCAGCTCGCATCTTCTTCAGCCAGCATAGCCAGGGGTCAGGGATGATGGGATTGCTAGTCTAAGACCTGGAGGGTCACAAGTTTCCCACCACAGGAATAAAATAATATTGCATTACCTCTTCCCTAGAGAAGCGCTCTTCCACTAATTGTAGCTTTATTTCAGTACAAGTGGGGCTGTTGTCTTACAAAGCAGAGGTAATGGGAAGTCTGGTCATTTGCTATTTCAGCATACCAAGATGGGGAAAAAACTGCACAAACTGGTTCACTTAACTTCAGCAACCTAATAGTTTTGATTCCCATGATAAGCCGGTTATTGAATGTCCTGAGGACTGAAGAGCATTTTAAACTGAGTTGCTTCACATGTGCATAACTTGCCTTCTTCTTTTTGAAGCAGAGCTGACCAACTTTTTAAAAGTTTTTCTGTAGTCAACCCACCTGCAACTGCACACACTCGTATGCACAGGTACATAGCCCATCCCTTTTCAGTTGATCCTTGCAGATCTGCTGACAAAAGGGCTGTTAGCCCCTCTCTGCTTCTGAAATGGTAACTGGGGAAGGGTTATTTTCATATCCACCAAGAGTCTGGGCAGAGAAATTTAAGCCTTTCTGATCACTCCAGTGACTACTTTTTTTTGTTTGTTTTCATTTTTTATGTCACCCCCCCAGAAAAAAATATGAGTGTGGGTGTGTTTTGGGGAGGCAGAAAAAGTTGGGGTTTGGGGGGCGGAGGGCAATCAATTTAGGCATCTGTTTCTAACCAAACACCTTGGTGTTTATTAAAATTCTTCTTGGACTTGAGGTTGGGGGTTGGTGTAGGCAGGTTGCTGTTTTTCCTGCCCCCCACTCTCCCAGTTCCTAACTATGCAGGAGTATTCAGTTGTGTGATATTTCCCAGCCGAGCTGTTTGTGTATACTTGGTCCGAATCACGTAATATTACTTGGACCACTCAGAATACAACCTGTTCCTGAGAAATACTCAGGAGAGGTTTTGCATAATGATAGCTGATGGTTTAGCGAACACATGTCCTAAACGCGCAACCCAGTCTGGGTTTTTCCTTGTGATAAATCCCCACTAAGTGTTCCGGGCTTACTCTTGAATGTGTTCAGCCCTTCTTGAGCCAGGGATAGTAAGATCTAAAAGGCATCCTAAAAAGGGCCAGGAAGTATGTATGTTACAGGCATAGTCTTCTATGATATCTGATGGAGAACTTGCGCTGGGGAGATATGTAAACTTGTGTGGTTGTGTGTGTGCATCTTCTCCTGAAATGGAAGGCACTGCGCTGTCAGCTTGTTGCTATTTATGAAGATTAAATTATTTTTTTCCCATTGAGTGCCTGCATTTTAGAATTGAGGAATTTGCCCAGGCACTATACTTACTCATTGATTCTTCTAAGCCACTTCATGATTTAGTGTCTTAACAACTGCATGAACTGAATGATACATTTAAATAATTTGGAACGTTGCCGCTGTTTTTAAAACTATGTTTCCTTGTAACTACCTTCTTTCTTTTTGATTAAATGTGAATGTCATTTAGATTGAACTCATTCATTAGCTTGTCGATAGCCCACCCTGTGCATTGCTTGCTAAATTTCCGGGTATGGACAAATGCAGCTTTAAAAATGGCTGGTACGGCTGGTTGATTGCACTCCTTTTAGCTTTTTGGCTCATAAACATCTACTTATAGGGAAGGCGCACACTAGTGTGCAGGAATGCTTCATGAGTTTTTTCATCTAGGCTCTCTTGCTTTGAGGATTTTATAAAAATTTCTACAGCAATAAAGTGACTGTTGCGGTGGTAGCCTGGAATGAAATGTCTGAACCTATTTTAACATTATTTGTAGTTGTATGTTGAATCCCGAGGCTTGGAGTATAATTCCATTAGAGGAAAAGAAACACAACAGAGTCCTCACCCCAATCCAGCTGCAACTGCAGGCAACTAAACACACATAACTGGTCACTCAGGAATGTACATCTGCATTCTTATGAATCTCAATAAACATAGCTTTGCCGATGGGCTGCTGCATCCAGTCCTCACCCACAATGCTCAGTGATCACGCTTGCCAAGTCAGTGTTTGTATGTCATTATCTATCTATCTATCTATCTATCTATCTATCTATCTATCTATCATCTATCTTTGGATTTCTTGGAAGACTGTTTTTCAGAGCCTTCAGGATTACACCCCTCCCAGAACTATTACTTAATCAAGACAACTGGTTCCTGAATATGATTTTAAATGTTGGGATTTACAGCTAACTCAATTCCATTAGCGTTCTATATTTTATAGCCTTCTATATAAAAGTTGGGGTGCAAAGATCTGTTTAGGTTCCAGCCAAGGGTCTTGCAGATCTATTACAAACAGTTTCTAAAAGTCCCCTCCAATTTCAAAGCAGTGTACTGAGCAGCAGGGGGGCAGCAGTTGAGCGGCAGAGCTAATCTTCTACAGCCCCTCCCCTGGGCTCCTAGAAGTTGTTTTGTGGTAATTGAATCTTAGCCAAAGGCCTTTGGAGAATGAAAAACCTTCCTTCATACCCTGTGCCCAGAGCTGTGTATACTCTCCGCTAAAAGTAGAAATTTGCATCCCAAAAGACGCATGTGAGGTCCTCTGAAACATATGCAAATGAAGTATATTTGCATAATTTCTCAAGTAACTCGAACATGTTGGCTGTTTTTCATAACTCTGGTATTGGTTATGGGGGTCCGACCTGCCAGCACTGCAAAATGGGTGACCCTGTTTATACTACGGACCAGATCCAAGGGAACATGTGCAGAGCATCATCTAGGTCTGTGCATGTGGGGCCTTAGCTGATGCAGGAAACAGATGGGTGCTAAAAAAGTCCTTTGTCAGCTATTGGGCAGGGAAAGGGGCTGCACTGGTATTGAATCCAGTTCAAGCAGCTGTTTTAGAAGGATTTTAGCTTCCTGCCCAGCCCCATATGTCAGATTGGGCCCACCTAAGAATAGACGCGCACAGCCCTTAGCTGAATCAAGTTATACTGGTCTGTTCACATAGTACATTCCGTATATTTCCATGCAGAAGACCTGCTCCTTCCTTGGTAACGGCGCCATTTTTAGGTGGCAGATTGCTGCTGCACCCTGGCTGGCAGGGGCTAAGCATACATTTCAAAAAACCAATTGAAAAATTCATCACTTTCCCTGTCTTCGAGGACTGAGGCACAAAATGCTAATGCCGGCCTCAGAGGGGAAATAGTTCTCCTGCATATTTGAGAAAATGTGAAACCCTTTCAAGGAAATCTAATAAACATAATCATCGCAGCCTGCTGACACAAAGGAAAAAGGACCTCATTCGCTCTTTCTTTTTTATGCTGCAATTTAGTGGCCCCTGCTGATTTACAAATTGGATCACAACCGTAAATTATCCATGCCAGTACCTGTGGAAGTAAGCGCTGAGATCCATATTTATTTGGAGTTCTGCTTAAATCAGCAAAAATGATAAATTCGATGGTCTGAAATTGGAAATACCAAGGGCTTTCTGGAATGATTGTGCAAAATGTCTCCGCTCGTAATTTATTGTGACCCTCTTTCATTCACGACGCTCTGTATGCCTAATATTTATTTCAGCGCAAATTAAATTGCACCCTCCTATGTTGTCACATCTCTGGTTTTATTGATGTTGTCAAAATCAAATTGTGTTCCCCCATACGCTCCTCACCCCCAAATTGTAAGCAGTCATAGTCACACCAGTTTAGATTGCAAAGGAGCATCTGTTATTAGAGCTTGGTTTCCCGTTGCTGCTTGGATGATGCAAGACGCGGGAATCATTGTGATGATTTTTTGGAACAGTCTTGTAGAAGTGGGAAGTAAAAGGACAGTGAATCAGGATAAGGGCATAATACTAGATTCATAGCTGATGTAAGTGCACTGATGTACATTGATACACGTATCCTGAACTGCCTTCTTTCTTACTACATTCTGGACACAATTCAATGAGCTTTGGCACATTCTCCTCCAAACAAGCCTTCTCTGCATTTCCCATTATCTCTACAGAGGTTGTGAAAATGAGGGGATGTGGTCAGGTACAAAGTACTGGCCTAAGGTTTAGTGGCGGCAGGAGAATGCCGCTAAGCACTCTAAATATTAACAAACATTCTTGGATGGTGCTGCTAGAATGCTTTCAAGCAGCGGGGAGTTGTGCTTAATTGCCGAAAAGGTGTGATGACTTAGGCCTGCACCTGAATTACAATACAAGTGGAAGTGGTGGTGGGGAAAGGAACTCTGTGTCTGCTCAGTTTTGTTTACACCTGGGTAAATATTCTATATACCGTATTTTTCGCTCTATAAGATGCACCAGACCATAAGACGCACCTAGTTTTTGGAGGAGGAAAACAAGAAAAAAAATATTCTGAATCCCAGAAGCCAGAACAGCAAGAGGGATCGCTGCGCAGCAAAAGCAGTGATCCCTCTTGCTGTTCTGGCTTCTGGGATAGCTGCGCAGCCTGCATTCGCTCCATAAGACGCACACACATTTCCCCTTTTTAGGAGAGAAAAAGTGAGTCTTATAGAGCAAAAAATACGGTATTTGAAGAAGGGGCATAGTTAGGCCCCTTATGTGATCTGATGTTGCAGCATTGCTGCAATTAACTACCTGTGTGAACCTGATCTACCTTGGATGGAAGTCTGCCTCTGCTGAAATGCCACCTGAATTTGGTGACAATTGAGCCAAGGAACAAGCTTGTTTTAGGTTATGCCTTCTCAGAAACCTGGTGGGGGTGATATCCCCCCCCCCCCCGGACTGTGCTCTAATTGGAGTGCTGTAAGAGGACTTTTCTTTTGAAGGGCTGCTCAGTCCAAGTCAGACAGAGACCAAGATGGAGACCGAATCAGAGAAATATGTGTGTCTTAAAGACCTGGACAGCTCAGTTTGCTGTCCAGGTCACAATCTTCCCTATCATAGTGAAATGTATTTCTATTTAAATCATAGCTGATTGTTTCTAAATTTGCATCCATACTCACACCTCCTCCTCCTCCTTTTTGCAAATCTGTGCCTTCTTTTGCCCTACTGTTTTGACGTTGCATCTCCTCCTTTTTTGGCAGTACCTAAATGGCTACCCTACCTGCAATTCTAAGCAACGCTTCATTTAGTCTAGGGGCTGCATGTTTTGAGAAAACTTATTTTAATCATTCTATTCTCCTCCCAAACACTGCCCTCTGGTGGTACATTATCACATGTATCTCTGCTTTTCCTAGTCATATTGCAAAGGACCATTTTTCTCCTTTCAAATCGGTAACATTATTGAGGATTACCTGTCCGTGGACAGCACTTTGAAATAATTAAGTTACGAAACAGCCCTGAAGCATTTTCACAGAGTAGGGTGTGTAGCACACTTGGATCCAGTGGTGGCAGACAATGGCATAAGAACTGGGTTGCCAGAGAATCCCTATTCAGTGAGTGGTGAATTATGTGAAATATATTAGAAGTGGGAAGGACAGAGGTGCTTAACCTTTCATTTGCCTGTGCATTCCTCTGTCTCTCCTTGCCCCCCCCCCCAACTGTCCCTCCTCAATTGTTTTTCTCCCTAGTGGTGCAGAAATAAAACTGCTAACACATTTGCAAAGCTAAGCAGGGTCTAGTATGGTTTCCAATTGGATGGGGGACCATCTGTTGAGATTCCTGCATTGCAGTTGGTTGAACTAGATGACTCTTGGGGTCCCTTCTAACTACTATCGTCCATAATCCCAACTAAACGAAAAACAGCTGTGTTTGGAGGGCATGGATGAGCACTTTTCTCCCATCTGTCCATTTCTGAATAGGAATTTGGTGTGCCATCAGGCTGCTCCGATGGAGGGGAACAGGAAGTGAAACTCTGTAAGGAGCAGCTTAGGTGCACCCAGTCTGAATTTATTAAGGCATTTCGCAAAATGCCACAGTGACCCTATTGTATTTTGAATAGGCTAGTTAAGAAATTATCAGAATCACAATGGTTGGTTTATAGCGCTGCAGGTATTCATGTTATTTCAAGTAGGAACAGAACAATCCTGCAGCTGTTCAGGATTTCAGCTACTCTACTCCATCCCATTCCCCTAGTTTTCCTCCTGCTTTGACAGTCAGTACTGCATTCCCATTGAGCATGTTCATTGAGTTGTTTTGCCTGGTCTCCCACTTTAGGGATTTTTCTCCATTTATATTTATGTGTGTGTGTGTGTGTGTGTGTGTGCTTCTGGAAACCTTGGGGCTCCCCCAAACCTGCTGATACCTCCTCTTAAAATACTTACCCTTTACAACCACAGTGTGAAAGCAGTATCATGTGTCCTACATACCCTCCAACATTTCTCCAATGAAGATGTTGTTGTTTAGTCGTGCCCAACTCTTCGTGACCTCATGGACCAGAGCACGCCAGACACTCCTGTCTTCCACTGCCTCCCGCAGTTTGGTCAGACTCATGCTGGTAGCTTCGAGAACACTGTCCCACCATCTCGTCCTCCGTCGTCCCCTTCTCCTTGTGCCCTCCATCTTTCCAACATCAGGGTCATTTCCAAGGAGTCTTCTCTTCTCATGAGGTGGCCAAAGTATTGGAGCCTCAGCTTCAGGACCTGTCCTTCCAGTGAGCACTCAGGGCTGATTTCCTTCAGAATGGATAGGTTTGATCTTCTTGCAGTCCATGGGACTCTCAAGAGTCTCCTCTAGCACCATAATTCAAAAGCATCAATTCTTCGGCGATCAGCCTTCTTTATGGTCCAGCTCTCACTTCCATACATCTCTACTGGGAAAACCATGGCTTTAACTATACGGACCTTTGTTGGCAAGGTGATGACACTGCTTTTTAAGATGCTGTCTAGGTTTGTCATTGCTTTTCTCCCAAGAAGCAGGCATACCAATGAAAAAAGGGACGTCCTATTCCATAATGATAATTTTACTATTTATACTCCACGCATCTTTCTGCGTTGCCCCAGCCACTCTGGGCAGCTTCCAACATATGTAAAAACATAATAAAACATTTTTCAAAATGTTTAGGGTCAGAGGTTTCCTTCTCAGGTTGACAAGCCCCAGCTGCCTCTTATTCCCTCCAATACATGTGCAGACCCTTGGTCTTGTCTGCTCTATCTGCCGGAGCCAGTCTTTGCATGCAGGGGAAGTCCCTAACTTGAGACCCATAAGCTACCCTCACCTACTTTTCCTGGCCAAGGCCATTCCTGGTGGGGTGGTGGCTGCAGTTGCATACTGACAGCTTCTAGGAGCCACAGGTGAGAGCAGAGTGCAGGGTGGGGACCAAAGGTGCAGAAATTACCCCAGAAGGAACATGATGTCTCCCTCTGCAGAGGTACTACCCCTCTGCTAACACCTCAAGGTAAAGATAAAGGGACCCCTGACCATTAGGTCCAGTCGTGGCCGACTCTGGGGCTCATCTCGCTTTATTGGCTGAGGGAGCCAGCGTACAGCTCCCGGGTCATGTGGCCAGCATGACTAAGCTGCTTCTGGCGAACCAGAGCAGTGCACGGAAACGCCGTTTACCTTCCCGCCGGAGCGGTACCTATTTATCTACTTGCACTTTGTGCTTTCGAATTGCTAGGTTGGCAGTAGCAGGGACCGAGCAACAGGAGCTCACCCTGTTGCGGGGATTCGAACCTTCTGATCAGCAAGTCCTAGGCTCTGTGGTTTAACCCACAGCGCCACCCGCATCCCAATGCTAAAACCTCAAACACCCCAGTAATATATATGTGTGTGTGTGTGTGTGTGTGTGTGTGTAGAAGTGATTTGAATCTCTCTTAGTACACTGGTACCTCAGGTTACAGACGCTTCAGGTTACAGACTCTGCTAACCCAGAAATATTACCTTGGGTTAAGAACTTTGCTTCAGGATGAGAACAGAAATCGTGTTCTAGCGGCGCGGCAGCAGCGGGAGGCCCCATTAGCTAAAGTGGTGCTTCAGGTTAAGAACAGTTTCAGGTTAAGAACGGACCTCCAGAACGAATTAAGTTCGTAACCCGAGGTACCACTGTATTTTAACTTTTCTTTTTTAAAGTAGGGTTATAATTTTTTCTTGATTTACTGCTTTATGTACGTATCGTAAGCCTCTTTTTTTATATAAATTTTATGATATAAACACACACACAATCTATTCAAAACATACAGCTAATTGCAATAGAGGAGGAAGAACGGGCAGCCCTGTTCCACACCGTGCCGAACACTTTCCCACGTTCACTGCTGCGCAAGGCGGGGACTCCCTCCCTACACCTGCCCGCTTGTCCCCACGTGGAGGTTGCGCGTGCGCGGTGGATCTTTTGATTTCCCCTCCTTCCGCTTCTCCTCTTTATCCCGTAGCGCATGCGTCCTGGTGCCCGTCGGCGTAGGACGGACCATAGAGGCGCGCGACGAGGCTACAGAGCGGCCCTGTTCCGCATCCGGATCCTGCCGCTCAGAGTCTGGGCCGATGGAGTCGGCTCCGGAGCCGGTGTCCGGCGGGGGCCGGGCGCGTGAATGAGGAGCTCGGCGCGGCCGCTCTTTCCCTGTCGCCTCGCGCCTCTCGCTGCTCCCGGAGGAGGAGGACCCCGCGGAGGATGCTGCCGGCCCTGGCCGCCCAGCGGAGGGGCTGGGGCTGCTTCTACCAGCTCCACCTGCTGCGGCGGAGGGGCCGAGGCCAGGCGGGGGGAGCGCTCGCCCGGGCAGGCTGCCGCGGTGAGTAGGCTCGAAGGGTTGCGAGGGACCCCGAGGGTCATCTAGCCCAACCCCCTTCAACGCAGGAATTTTTGCCCAGCGTGGGACTCGAACCCACGACCCTGAGATTAAGAGGCTGCTGCTCTAGGGCCACGATAGCCGTTTTTAAAAAGTCTGTTTGAGGTGCCACATAGAGTTGGAACGGACCCCGAGGGTCATCTAGCCCAACCCCCTTCAACGCAGGAATTTTTGCCCAGCGTGGGACTCGAACCCACGACCCTGAGATGAAGATTCTACCGAATGATCTATTCCAGTTGTCGTTGGCTCACCCCTGCTCCGCTCCCCGAGCCCGGTGGACCCTGCATCTTCTTGTAGTCATGAAGACTAGAAACTTATTTAACAGGGCACAACTGTCCTCTTCATCCACCCAAAGCTGGTGTGTGTGTGTGGAGAGAGAAAGAACCTACATCAGCTGCTCATGTCCTGGGCAAAGCTGTCAACTTTTCCCTTTTCTTGCAAGGAATCCTATTCGGAATAAGGGAATTTCCCTTAAAAAAAGGGAAACGTTGACAGCTATGGTCCTGGGGCTTGTTGGCCGCCCTCAGCATTTAACAGGCTGCGATGGTGGCATGTTGTTGTTATCAGCACCGCCAGTCCTGAATCTGTTAACTCTGTGAGCAGTTTAGGCCTCCCACGCAGGGTCGTTGTGATGATTACTGAGGTTAAGTTATATGAAGTGGTTTAAATGTATTTTTTTGTGAGGGGGATATAGCATCATTATCACTCACTAACAAGGTGCACAAGGTGGGGTGGGCAGAGGGAGGACTTTTGGGGTCACTGTCAGCAAAGGACCAGGCCATCCAGTGTTTGGGCTGGAGGCACAGAGGACTGTGACACGGTGCTTCTCCCCAGGTGCAGTGCTTTCCACTGGTGGATAGCAGCCTTTTACTTTCACATAGGATAGTGAAGTGGCATTGCAGGGGGTTGGTGTAGATGACCCTCAGGGGTCCCTTCTATGATTGTAGGGAGCTGAACATTCACCTCCTGCTTGGTCACTCCAGCCATAGTGGGTGGATTCTGCTCCTGCCTGCCTAGTCCTGCTTCTTCATCTGTGCAGCTGCATCCTGGATCCACTTTCTTGAACATGCAAGAGTGTGAAGGAATGTGGGGGGCTGACTTTTGTATGTAAGGCTGTTATACTATTAAAGGGGTAAAGGGGACCCCTGACCATTAGGTCCAGTCGTGGCCGACTCTGGGGTTGCGGCGCTCATTTTGCTTTATTGGCCGAGGGAGCTGGCGGCGTACAGCTTCCAGGTCATGTGGCCAGCATGACTAAGCTGCTTCTGGCGAACCAGAACAGTGCACGGAAACGCCGTTTACCTTCCCGCCGGAGCGGTACCTATTTATCTACTTGCACTTCGACGTGCTTTCAAACTGCTAGGTTGACAGGAGCAGGGACTGAGCAATGGGAGCTCACCCCGTTGCGGGGATTCGAACCGCTGACCTTCTGATCGGCAAGCCCTAGGCTCTGTGGTTTAACCCACAGCGCCACCCGCATTATACTACAGTGGTACCTTGGGTTACATATGCTTCAGGTTACATATGCTTCAGGTTACAGACTCCGCTAACCCAGAAATACTACCTCTAGTTAAGAACTTTGCTTCAGGATGAGAACAGAAATCGTGCTCCGGCGGCGTGGCGGCAGCAGGAGGCCCCATTAGCTAAAGTGGTGCTTCAGGTTAAGAACAGTTTCAGGTTAAGTACGGACCTCCAGAACAAATTAAATACTTAACCCAAGGTACCACTGTATTAGGCTGCAATAAATCAGTGTTTCTCTTTCCCTACGTCTGTTACATCTGTTTCGCTAGTCTGATCCACTGTTGTTACCCTACCCTCAGCCGCTTGAGATTGCTTTGCACCCATCATGGCATGTCACTTTACATTTTTCCAGCGGGTTCAATTTGAGTTCAGATTCAGCAGGTCTGTCAAGCCCCAAAATTCACTAGTGCAACCTATAATTGATGTGGAAGTCCCTCTCAGTATGGACCTATTTAACCCCATTGAGTAACTGCAGCTACATATGTGCCCTTGAGAGTAAAAGGGTAGCAGACAGTGAGCATGGCTTGTTAGCAAGCTAGAACCCTGATATCTTTTTCTTTGGTCCAAATATTTTTATTGGTTTTCATGTAAATACAAGAAGAATAAATAACTATAGTAACTTGCCCAGTGGTACATTAAGTTTCATATGTAGTACACAGTACACAAGCAATCTGTTTATTCTACCTGTTTGTTTTGGGGCACAATTAAAAGCATTGGCGATGATGTTTTAAAGCTCTGAGTGGCTTGGGAAACTTTAGGGACTGCTGTCTTGCATGCCAGCCTACGGTCTGACAGAGAGGCCCTTCTCTGCGTTCCATCTATAGTGTTTGTTTTATTGGATGCATACATTTTTGTTCAGTGCTTTTGCTTTTCTTTAAAAACAAAACAAACAATAACTGTGCGTTATGGTTGCCTAAAATTATTGCTAGCTACCATGATAGGTATGTAAGCACCAGAAGGTGAAAAGAATACAAATTCTAATATAAATAAATAGGTAAATGTGTGTGTGCGTTTAGAGGTGGTAGCTACTTATCCCTGAGGTTGAGTTTCGACAGCAGTTTATAATCCCAATTTAGAAGTCTGGGCAGGTGGCAGCCCCACATAGACAGGGCTGTCCCCATTGTAGGGGTGAGTGAGGCATTCACCTCGGGCAGCTGATGCCGGGGAGCAGCCCCCTAGCTATTCCTCCTGACGCATTGGCCAGTCCTCCCTATTAGGGGCTTTTGCATGTGGATGCCTCAGGTGTCTTGCATTTTGCCCTTTGCATCTGAGTAAATGGTCTTGCTTTGTTATTTCTGAGACCTGTGGCCCAGTGCCCTCTAAATGTAGCTGAGTTAAAAAATTTAATGTTATATTTGGTGAAGGCCGTAGCCCAGTTATAGCATCTGCTTTGCATGCGGGAGGTCCTGGGTGGGCGGGGTATAAATAATAAAATTATCATCATTATTATTATCCCCAGCATCTCCAGGTTGGGCTGAGACAGACCCCCGCCTGAAATCTAGCCAATGCCAGTCAGTCTAGATGATATTGAGCTAGTTGGACCACTGCTCTGACTTGGTATAATACTGCTTTCTCTGTTGCATCTCAGTTAGCTTGCATTCCTGAACAGCCCAATACTTATACTACTGTAGTTGCTAATGTTTCCCTTTACCCTATTTTTGTGCCACATCCTATGGCTTACATTGTGTCATGTGTATAATTGCTTTCTGGTCCTTCATGAGCTTCCTTGTTGTTGTTGTTGTTGTTGTTGTTGTTGTTGTTGTTGTTGTTGTTAGAATTTATATACCACCCTATACCTGGAGGTCTCAGGGCAGTTCACAGAAAAGATCAACATAAAAACCACAATATATATACCGGTAATCAAAATTTTGCACAGGCAGTCCAGTTGCTTTGAGTCAAATCCAGCATCCCAGTTAACCTCATGTTGCTATATTCCCCTTAAGTTCATGACAATACCCCAGCCTTGCAAGGAAATCCAAAGACATTATTAGTTAGTGCACGTCAATTTATACTAGCTTGCCTGGGCAACTCATACCAATGCTAAGCATTGGGGGCTCCTCAGCAGTCTGGAAGATAAAAGGACCAACCTTATTTCAGCTAATTAAAAACATCTGATCCTGTTTGTCTATAGGTACATCTTACTTGTCAAGTGGCTATTTACAAACCTATAATTCCTTCCAGCAGGGCTTACTGTGGCAGCAGCTAATCTCAAAGCAGCCTCTTAGTAAGAGTATAATAACGTAATCTGTGTTGTATGGAATTTTATGTTGTATGGTTGGTGTTCAGCTCAGTCTTACTCAGAGTAGACCTATTGAAAATAGTGGACCTGAATGAGTCACGTCCATTAATTTCAGTGGATGTTCTAAAACTTAGTTGAATACCAGTCTTAAGGGATCTACTTGAGAAATATTTTAGTTTTTCAGCGGAATATTTGAGTTATGTGTCCTGAACAGTTTGCAAACAATTATCTGGCTGGTGCTTTTTGTTGCTGCTGTTGTTGCCATCTCAAAGTACCCAAGCTGTTTTCTTTCCCATTTCCTTCAGGGTGGCAAGCGCCCCTTAAATTTGGCAGTCTCTTGCCTGTGCTGCCAGGGAGTCGTCTGCCGGTTCATTCAAGCCAAGTAAGAGTTTATACCTCTGATGGTCAGAAGGACCACAGTGGGGCACAAGATGCAAGCTCCTCAGCTGCCGAAGGCAGTGCGCAGAAAACAGCAACAGGTAGGCACCACCGTGTCTTAACATTTCTTCTTGCAGAAATTAGCAGAGTTGCCAGCTTTCAGCCCTGAGCTTGATTTGGTTGCAACCTTTAATTCTCCTGTGGGATAGTGTGCTAGGGCTATTTTAATGGTTTGTAGATTTTAATTGGGGGTGTGGGCAGGGGGTAAATTTGCGAGGGATGAATCTTGCTTCAAAACAGCCTGTTTACTGCACCTTACTGAAGTAAATCTTGGAGAGTGGGTGTTCCCAAAGAAGTTTGGGGTGAATTGACGTCCTGTCTGAATTACCAAAGTGTTCAGAAGCATTTTCCCCCCTTCTGTGTGCACCTCTAATTAATTTGTGCACACAGTGGCAATATTTCTGGTTATATTTCCGAGTGTCTTAAAAAACCCCAGATCAAAATAACCTAATGACTGTAGAGACAGTTTGTAATAACCTCGCACATCTGCTGTATGTGTGCGATTAATTCAAATGTTTCCACGAGGCATTTAAGCCACGGTCTGTTGCTGAACCACAGCTTGATGTGAAGATGATTGCCAAGTGAGAACAAAAGCTTCTAAAGCTGCTGCTTAAGTATTGTTATGTTGTCGATTGGCTTGAAATGGGCGTTCCAGAATCCTCCATTATTCTAAATGTTCAGATTCTAAATGTGCTTGCTTGGAATTAAAGCCTGTTGGTTTCAGTTTTTTCTGGCCCTGGTTTAAATTAGTTCTTTCAAGGCAGCTGTTTTTGAAGGTAAAAAGGCAGATTAAGGAAATGGCTTCCATAAGGAGCTCTTGCCCAATTCCCACATAAATTGGGCGCACCCTCTGGAGCAGTGTCTTCAAGCCTGGGTCCCCAGAAGTTGTTGGACTGCAACATCTTGGCTGTACTCTGTTTCCAAGGTCCAGCAACAATTGTTGGGCTACCCTTCTCCTCCATCCTAGCCAGGACAGCTATAATCCAAAAGACCTAGAGGATATCAGCTTGGAGAAGGCTGCTTTAGAACATGTCCCAGAATTCTCTGCAGTGTGCCAAGATTCTTCAGCATGAACTGACCTGGACCTTACGATCGTCATCTGAGGCCCTTCTTTATGTACACTCGATAGACACAAACACAAATAAAAGACTAGTTGAGATGCAGTCCACGGAAACATGCAGTTCTATTTGTAGTAGTATTTATTACAGTGGTACCTCTGGTTAAAAACTTACCATATTTTTCGCTCTATAGGACGCATTTTTTCCCCTCCAAAAATTAAGGGGAAATGTGTGTGCGTCTTACGGAGCGAATGCAGGCTCCTTGGCTTCAGCGATAGCAACGTGAAGCCTCCAAAGCGCAGAGGGAGTGCTCCGGAGGCTTTGCGTTGCTTTCGCTGAAGCCTGGAGAGCGAGAGGGATCGGTGCGCACCGACCCCTCTTGCTCTCCAGGCTTCAGGGATAGCCGCCTGAAGCCTCTGGAGTGCAGCGGGAGGTCCCGCTGCGCTCCGGAGGCTTTGGGTTCCTTTTGCTGAAGCCGGGAGAGCAAGACTCTCCTGGCTTCAGCAGAGAGAGCTGCGCAGCACCCCTTCAGCCAAGCGGTAGGAGAAATGGAAGGGGCTCCGTTTCTCCTCCGGCTTCGCTGAAGGGGCGCTGAGCAGAGAGGGGGAGATTTTTCCCCCCTTGTTCTCCCCCTCTAAAACAAGGTGTGTCCTATGGTCGGGTGCGTCCTATAGAGCGAAAAATAAGGTAATTCGTTCCGGAGGTCCGTTCTTAACCTGAAACTTTTCTTAACCTGAGGTACCACTTTAGCTAATGGGGCCTCCCGCTGTTGTGTACTGCCGCCGCACGATTTCTGTTCTCATCCTGAGGTAAAGTTTTTAACCTGAGGTACTACTTCGGGTTAGTGGAGTCTGTAGCCTGAAGTGTCTGTAACCCGAGGTGTCTGTAACCCGAGGTACCACTGTAGTTGCTTCTCATAAAAATGACTCAAAGTGACTTAGAAACAGAAGAGAAATAAACAAGCGTAAATAAAAGACAGGTCTGAAGCAGGAATTGACAACCTATGGCCCCCGATTCTGTTGGTAGAGCTGGGCAATATCTGGTTTTCAACATTGTGTTATATCAACAGATGTTGGTGATGATTATTATTATACCCGCCCATCTGGCTGGGTTTCCCCAACCACTCTGGGTGGCTCCCAGCAGAATAGTAAAAACACGATAAAACATCAAACATTGAAAGCTTCCCTAAACAGGACTGCCTTCAGGTGTCTTCTAAAAGTCAGATGAATACCTCAATATGCTGATTTAGCATGATGTCTAGAATGTATCTTGGCTGTTTTTTCCTCGCCCCCTTAGACAGAGAAGCAGCAGCCCAGATACATCGCTCAGTCCAAGCCACAACGCCTCTCTGGCTCACATGAGCCACAGAGGCATTGGGGCTTTGTTAAACAGCTCAGCTGGGGGGTGGGACGCCGCCTGCCCCTCAGCTGAGCAAGCCCCCATATCTCTCCGGCTTGTATAAGCTGGGAGGGCAAGGGGCTTCCTCAAAGGGGCAGGCAGGCAAGTAGACGGAGCCCAATAAGGTCCTCATCCAGAACTTTCTCATGCTCTGCCTGCCTGCTTGCTTGCCTGCGCCTTTGCCATCTGCAGGCAATTCAAGCTGGCGTGATGTCTTGTCCGAAACTGGTATCGCGATCCGAACCCCGTACCAGTTTTAGGCAATTTGCCAATATATCGCCCAGCTCCAGCTGTTGGACTCCCAGTTCTTATCAGCCCCAGTTCCCACGCCAGCTGAGGGCTGATGGGAGTCCAGCAGCCTCTCTCTGGCACCAGTTCCCCCATCCCTGCTCTAAAGCTTTTCAGAATTCCTCAAGGAGAGGAGAAGATCAGGAGTCTTGGGCATGAATCCCAACTTCCCCATAATTCCCAACTTTCCCCTTCAGTGTGTAACTTCAAGGAAGAGCTGAGTGTGTTTTAGATCAGAGCTCCCCAAACTCTGATCTGTCGGCCACAAGCTTCATTCAGGTGGCCCACGGCATGTCTGCGGGTTTGTCGTTGAAATTGTTTTTATATATGCATTTATTTTATATATGTCTTTATTGTATTGTGAAGTCATTTGAGAGGCTTTGTAGGAAGCGTGATTCATAAATTTAATAATAATAATAATACCACTGAACTATGGCTTGTCCTCCCAGCCCCCGCAATGGTACAGTATATCCATATTCTACAGAATAACTTGCTCAAGGCTTTAAACAGTATCATCTTGACCCACAGAACAGGGAATAGGTCAGTTTCTGCTTAATTCCAAGTACCGTGTTTTCGTCAGGCCTCCTGGCCACTGTTACCCAGTATATATATATTTTAAAGGGCACATAACGCTGCCTGAATCTCCAGTAGTAAATCTTGACATTTGAGATGTGATTATTTTCCCCTGATCAAACTTTATGACTTAACCTTTTTATTAAATAATGTCACCGTGTGTCCATTTTACAACGGGCGACGGGAGGGGAAAGGAAAGGAGGAATCATTGCTACAGGCAGCGACTTTCGGCAAACCTTGGAGAAAATGTGACCTTGCCAAGGTATATCAGTATAAATACAGCCTTCCAGCCCAGGGCTCTGAAGATAAGGAGGAAGGGGGCAGACAGGCGTAACTTTGAAACAGCTTTTGCTGGTGTCTGTTTTTAAGTGTATCAAAAAAGAAGTTGCTGCTGTGTATTCATTTAGGCCTTCTCTGTATACATTATAAATGGAAAGCCATTATCCAGAGTTTCCTTCTCTTAAGGAAGCAATTTACTTTATCCCTGCCCCCCCGTTTTTGTAAATTAAGGCAGGAAGAACTAATTGTTTGATTCTTTTTTTTTAAAAAAAAAAAGTTGCATAGACCAAGAGTGCTTTAATAATACTTAACTTTTGAATAATTCAAGCCACTTGCCAAGCCTTCTCTTAATAAAAACACAGCTCCCTTTGTAGCGTTGTCAGGTTCGGAAGGCTAATCCTAATGTCTTCAGTTTCAGTAAAATTAGCTTCTCTTTTACTGGTAGCGGATGTCTGGCGAGCATCCAAACGCCAGAGAATAAAGCTTCAGTATATTGGCTGTTGTTATTGAAGTCATAAGAACTTAATTCCATTGATATACTTAATTAAGACAGAGATGTGCACGGCACCATCTGCAGGCAAGGCAGATTCTGTTCCTAGTGGGGAACACCTATGGCAGGCGTCTGCAACCCGCGGCTCCAGAGCCGCATGTGGCTCTTTTACACCTTTGCCGCGGCTCTGGGGCGGATACTAGCAAGGGGAGGAGGCGCATTGTGCGCCCCGACACTCCCCACTGTGGCGAGCGCTGTACTGGCTGTGGCGTTGCACGGGGGCAGTGCATGCGTTAGTCACGCACCGTCCCGATGTCACCTTCCCGCCCGCTGTCAGATCGCGGCTCCGGAGATATATTTGTTTTAAATGTCGCAATGGTTTGCGGCTCCCAGTTTTTTTTCTTCAGAAACGGGTCCAAATGGCTCTTTTTGTCTTAAAGGTTGCAGACCCCTGACCTATGGCTATCTCTCAGCCCCACCCACCTCACAGGGCTGTTGTGAGATTAAATGGAGGTGGGGGAAACCATGTGAACTGCTTTGAACGCCTTGTAGGGAAGGCAGGATGTAAATGTTTCTAAATAAAATCTTTAGCTTAAATGTGCTTGGATTTATAACACCATATAACACCGGTCTTGAAAGACCTACATTGGCTCCCAGTACGTTTCCGAGCACAATTCAAAGTGTTAGTGCTGACCTTTAAAGCCCTAAATGGCCTCGGTCCAGTATATCTGAAGGAGCGTCTCCACCCCCATCGTTCTACACTGAGGTCCAGCACCAAGGGCCTTCTAGCGGTTCCCTCACTGCGAGAAGCCAAGTTACAGGGAACCAGGCAGAGGGCCTTCTCGGTAGTGGCGCCCTCCCTGTGGAATGCCCTCCCACCAGATGTCAAAGAGAACAACAACTACCAGACTTTTAGAAGACATCTGAAGGCAGCCCTGTTTAGGGAAGCTTTTAATGTTTGATGTATTACAGTATTTTTTGGAAGCCGCCCAGAGTGGCTGGGGAAGCCCAGCCAGATGGGTGGGGTATAAATAATAAATTATTATTATAACACTTTTTGAAAACCAGAAGTTAGGTGTCTGCTTTAAATTATTTCAAATGTTGCAAAAGCAATAACAACTTTGACTTCCTGTCTAGCCCCTTTGCATATATTTTATCTTACAATCGAATGTACACAAAACAATAAACGTTTCTATATAAATTTTCCAATACATTCTGAAAACATAATAAATCCTTAATTGTTATCCACCTCCTTTTAGTTCCTTTATCACTCGAATGCTAGGATGGAGTCAAAACTATTATTGTATTTTTGATCATATTTCTATAACCATCCCATTTTTCCGCATATTTTTGCTTTGAGTTTCCTCTGAGTTTACTAGTCAATTGAGCCGTCTCCACCATGAAGAAAATATTTTGGAAGATAAAAGGGGAAAAATATTTACTTTCATTATTATCATTTTGTGTGCGGGTGTGGGTGTCTGCACATATGTGTGTTTTTGTATGGAATGGGAGGAAATAAGACGGTAAATAACAAATAACAAACTAAATATTGATTTATGTAATTTTTATTTCTTAATTATATTTAGTGGTAGTATGGTTGTATTGTTTTTTGTAACATAAAATCATTCAATAAAAATTATTTAAAAAAAAATAAAAATCAAATGTCACAAAAGGCCAAATTTAACAGTGGGCTAACACATGCATTATTTTTTCCCCTTTAAGCAACAATGGCAATTTCAAATATGTACTCCTCCCCCCCCCCCATGGCTTTCTGTCTTTGTCTTGGAAAGCAGTAAGTAGGATTTACTCCGACTAATAATTAATTGTTGTTTTTTAACAGCTAGCAGTCAAACGCCACCTTTGCCGCAAACTCCGATTCAAGTGAAAGGTAATTATTATGACATAGCTTTGCACTGGGGTGGGTGGGTGTGTATAGAGGTTGCTGCATCCTCCGTGTAGCAGTTGCTGAAGACAGACACCTGTTTGGATCAACCGCTCTCATGCCAGCATCTAGAGTCATTGGGTTGTAGTCAACTAAGTATTACTCTGAGAACAGTGTGACTGGCTGAGCAGGCGATGGAGGCGGGAGAAGCCAGAGCTGCAAGGCCATTGGGCAGTGAGGAAGAGCAGTGCCCTTGAGACATTGCTGTGGGGACCTCCTTGTTTCAAAATACTTCCTTTCTAAACAGAGTAGGCCCATTGAAATCAGTAAACCTAAGTTAATCATGTCCATTACTCTGCGTGATCAGATCATGTAGTGCATTCATAGAGTGAAATATTCTCAAAAAAGTCTGTTTTATAAATGATTTAATGTTTGCACTATAAGCTGCTGCTTTAACGGGTAATTATCTATAATTCCCACATCTCCAGTTGCTATGTGTATGTATCCAGCTTGCCATTCACTTCTTGAGCTTACCATTTGCTTGTCTCTGCAATGATTTTGTCATGTTCGGTGTCCGTTACCAGATTTCAATTGAGGTGAGACGAATAGGTGAACGCCTGTATATTTTCATGCATACTGGCTTCTCCGCGGTAGAGAGGTCCTTTGGTGGCGCTCGTAACTGAGTCTCGCCCTTTTCCTCCCCCTTAAAGTGAAAGCTGTACTTAAAAAGAGAGAATATGGACCAAAATACATGAAGAATAACTTCATCACTGGCGTCAGAGCAATAAATGAGTTCTGCCTTAAGTCCAGGTATGATCATTTCTTTCTTTAAAAATTGGACTGAAATTCTGTAACAACTGTTGCGGTGTGTCAAAGCTAACCGGTGAGATATGAAGTAGCCAGTGGAATGTGAGGAGGATCATGATACCAGACGTTATGGGTAACATTTTGGGTTTGGGGGGACAGCTTTGTGCTCTTGGTTACCAGATACTTTTCACTGGGGTTGAGAGTGGTCAGCTTCATAATAAAGTTGGCACCACCTAGGGACTTCAATGTTAATGGGTACTGTGAGCGCAGTTCCATATTATGTTGACGTTCTAGGAGAGAGGCTCAGTTCAGCTATCATGCCAGACAATGGCTTGTGCTAACTAGAATGAAGAATTCACCATGGTTTGAGCAAACCATGGTTTAGCGCTCCGTGTCTGTATTTCTGTGGTGTGCACGGTTTCTGGGATATCTGGTGGCACAATGACTCATTGCATTGAGCCCCTACACACGAGTAGGTGCTGACATTTGAATTTCACTTGTTGCAGAAAAAAAAAGACTTAGTGGCAGGGAGGAAAAGTGTGGCCCTGCTCTGCTGCCATATTTTCAAAAATTACATTTATTCCCTCGCCTGAGCTCTTCCACCACCTCCGTTTTATTTTCACAACAACCCTGTGAGACAGGTAAGGCTGTCCTCAGATAACCCAGGGAGTGTCATGATTTAGTGCAGATTCGAACCCTGATCTCTCAGTTCTTAGTCCAACGCTAGTTACTACACCGCATTGCCTCTCTTGGATAGGGCTGTGCCCTGAATATGAGCAACATGTAAACAGCACTACTCGATAGCAGGGCCGTGAAATCTGTAGCCCTCCAGATTTCGCTGGAATACAACCCACATCATCCCTGACCACTGGCCATGTGGCTACAGAGAATGCCTTTTCTCTCTTCCCTGTCAACCGAGCCTCTGCCAAAGCAGAGAAGAGCCTCTTCACCAGATCGTAGGCAGCTGGCAGATTGGTACGGGGAATGAAAAGAATTGGTCTGTATCTCTTTCTGACTTTTAATACGAGAGCAAGCTGTACGTTGAACCAGGGGAGGTTGTAAAATTGCCGCCTGAGCCAGAAATCGCATATTGTGACGACCGCTTTACTTTTCAGTAAGTAGATGAATGCCTGGTGGTAATACTGCCTCCCTCTCCACGAAACTGTTTCTGTTTTCCCAACAGTGACCTAGATCAGCTCAGGAAAATCAGGCGGCGAAGCCCCCATGACGACACAGAGGCTTTCACTGTGTTTTTGAGGACGGATGTGGAGGCAAAGTAAGAGCGAGTCTGACAACATTTCCCGGGTTTGGCTATCCAAAATATATACAGTCGTACCTTGGATCCCAAACGCCTTGGTACTTGGACGTTTTGGCTCCTGAACGCCGCAAACACTGAAGTGAGTGTTCCGGTTTGCGAATGTTCTTTTGGAACCTGAACGTCTGACGGGGCTTCTGGGGCTTCTGATTGGCTGCAAGAGTTCCTGCAGCCAATCAGAAGCCGTGCTTTGGTTTCCGAACGTTTTGGAAGTTGAATGGGCTTCCAGAACGGATTCTGTTCGACTTCCACAGTACGACTGTATTTAACTTCTAACACTTTCCCATATAGATATATATTACAGTTGGTGGTAGTGCCTTTGCCATTCCCTCTGTTGCTAGAGGTACCTGGGCTTAGATGATTAAGACCTCATGCCATATTACTGTGAGAAAATTAATTTCACCAAGAACTTTCAGAATCAGCAAAGCCTCTCTCTTCAGTTCAGCTTGGGGTGGTGTCATACTTCCACACCGACCTGCGTTTAAAATTGCAAGAGGCAGAAAATGCAAATTCTTTGCTGTTTCATTTTTTTTCCATAGTCAAAAGCTGGCTTCCCTGACTTGGGGCAGATGGTTTGGTCTGGTTTACTGGCTGGAGCTGATGATAGTTGCAGTTCCAAACTACAGGTTGGGGTCAAAAGCAATAGAAAACAAAGTGTATTATTTCATAAAGGATCTTTTAACTGTGCTGGAACCCACCCAGAGGGACTGGGGAAAACCCAGCCAGATGGGCGGGGTATAAATATAAGAACAACAACAACATATTATCATCATCGTCATGCAAGTTAAATGAAGTTTTTCTCCACTTCCTATCACTTTCTCTCTTCCTTCCTCCTGGTACAGGTCTTTAGAAGTTTGGGGGAGCCCGGAAGCTCTTGCACGTGAAAGAAAAAGGCGTAAAGAAGCAGAAATAGAATACAGAGAGAGTAAGTGTGGAATACTACCAAAAATAAAATAAAATTAGTGTAACAGTTCTTACTCCTATATAGTATATTTGATCAATGCATGTTCTGTAATGTCACCTCTGGGCTTGTGTGTTGTTGTCATCACGAATAATGGGGGTGGACAAAGTCTTGAACATTTTTATTTTCAGCTCAGGTTTCAGTTTGGCTGTGAACTATTTGTGGAAAGTTTTGCAATGCACCCCCCCCCCCGAGTCTACATTTGACAGAGCCCAGCAGCCAGTCTCCATGCCGTACCTCATGTACAGTGGTGCCTTTGTTCTCCAACTTAATCCGTTCCGGAAGTCTGTTCCAAAACCAAAGCGTTTGAAAACCAAGGCGCACTTTCCCATAGAAAGTAATGCAAAACAGATCAATCCATTCCAGATTTTTAAAAACAGCCCCTAAAACAGCAATTTAACATGACTTTTACTATCTGTTGAGACCATTGATTCACAAAATGAAAGCAATAATCAATGTACTGTACTATAAAGCAAATAAGACAGTATTGTAGTTGATAAAATTTAAATTAATCTTTTTTCTTACCTGCACTGATGATAGTCATTGTTTGGATGGGGGGCTTTTATCCATTTCCGCAGTCACACAGTCAATCAATCAGTAGCTGAACTGGGTTCCACACAGTCACAAAAACAAATTAACCGAAAAAGCCTCAAAAACAAAAACGCAACATAAATAGCAAAAACAAAAGCGCCAAGCTTAATCCATTCCGGAAATCCGTTCAACTTCCGAAATGTTCAAAAACCAAGGTGCAGCTTCTGATTGGTGCAGGCGCCCCGGAAACAACAGCTGACAGCTGCATCGGATGTTCAGCTTCCGGAAAAGTTTGAAAACTGGAACACTTGCTTCCGGATTTTCGGCATTTGAGAACCAAGGTATCACTGTACCTGTTTATCACATGTTATATTTTTACATGTACTTGTGAAATGTTTCACAGCTACACCTCGAAAGAGGCAGTGGCGATGTAGACCGAGCGCAGCAGTGGGCAGGGAGATTTTAATGTGTCTTTCCAGCCCAGCACACCCTGATGGGGATGTCAGTTGTTCCCTCCCCAGCCATCAAGTGGCTCCTTTGAGGGGCAATAGCAACTTCCTCCTCAGGTGATCTATGCAGATTGCCTTGTGTGTGCAAGCGTGGAGTGGCAGACAACCTGTTGCTGGTATAGCTAAAGGTAAAGGGACCCCTGACCATTAAGTCCAGTCGTGACCAACTCTGGGGTTGCGGCGCTCATCTCGCTTTACTGGCCGAGGGAGCCAGCGTACAGCTTCCGGGTCATGTAGCCAGCATGACTAAGCCGCTTCTGGCGAACCAGAGCAGCGCCCGGAAACGCCGTTTACCTTCCCACCACAGTGGCACCTATTTATCTACTTGCTCTTTATGTGCTTTTGAACTGGTAGGTTGGCAGGAGCAGGGACCGAGCAACGGGAGCTCGCCCTGTTGCGGGGATTCGAACTGCCGACCTTCTGATCAGCAAACCCTAGGCTCTGTGGTTTAACCCACAGCGCCACCTGCGTCCCTGTTGCTGACATACAAGGCTCCAAAAAGATGGTCCAGGGTGTGAATGGTCAAAAGCAGGAAGGAGCCAGCATGAGCCTCGGATTCATGAGCTGCATTGTTGCTGGGAAGATGACTCTTGGGATGGACTTGCCATGCCATACCAGCAACAAACTGGTTGGCTTAGCGAGCCAGCTTCAAAACCCATAATTCGAAGCTGGCGTGGCTTGAAATTTACCAGGGTTTCTTTTAAGCCATGGTGCCTATTTTGTACATAACAACAAGCCAGGGTTTATAGAACATAGTGCAAAACTCTGCAGAAATTATCCACGCCATACAGGTTGCAGAGGAAGAAGTGGGCTGAGGAGTGTGGCTTGCCCTGATGCAGATGCCTTGGGACGCTGCATAGTTTTGTGTATTGTATCAGGAAAAAAAAGGGTCTATATTCTGCTGCTCTCTCCACTCACACTGCCCGCTTCATAATTATGTATCTTTTCAGATTTGTTTAGAAACCAGAGGTTGTTGAAGGAATACAAAGATTTCCTAGGAGAAACTAAGGTGGGTGAATAATGTTTTCCATCTTTGCTGTTCCTTTATAGGCAGAAGCTGCAGTTTTGTGCATCTTGTGATTTTGCAAGAGTACAGAAAAACACACAATAGCCTGGCGAGCAGGGATAAGTTGGTTTAGGATGAGGGTGAAGGTAAAGGTAAAGGGACCCCTGACCAGTGAACCCCCTTGGGAAGCTTCCTCCTCAATATATACATGATGATTAAAGGTAAAGGGACCCCTAACCATTAGGTCCAGTCGTGACCGACTCTGGGGTTGCGGTGCTCATCTCGCTTTATTGGCCGAGGGAGCCGGCGTACAGCTTCCGGGTCACGTGGCCAGCATGACTAAGCCGCTTCTGGCGAACCAGAGCAATGCACGGAAACGCTGTTTACCTTCCCGCTGGAGCGGTACCTGTTTATCTAATTGCATTTTGATGTGCTTTCAAACTGCTAGGTTGGCAGGAGCAGGGACCGAGCAACGGGAGCTCACCCCGTTGCGGGGATTCAAACTGCCAACCTTCTGATCAGCAAGTCTTGCTCCACCCCCTCCTCGAGTGCTTTTGCCTCACTGCAATGTGGCCTTGAGCTGTGATTAGGCACCAGGTTTATTTTACAAAGCACAAGTACTCCCCAAAAACTGAGGTGACAGGCACCTCCTTAGAAAGAGCATTCCTCCTTTCTCTTTCTTTGCAGGAAGGAATGTCACTTCTAAAATGCTGTGTTCCTTCATGAGCATGAGACTCTTAATCTCAGGTTGTGGGTTCGAGCCCCATGTTGGGCTAGAGCTTTCTGTATTGCAGCGGGTTGGACTAGATGACCCTTGGGTCCCTTCCAGCTATATGATTCTGTGACTCATCTAAAAATAAAGTTAATCTGTAAATAAAGCATGGGTGGGATATAAAATAAATTCAGTTGTAGATGCATTGAGACTTAATTGAATATCCATAATTAATTGCAACTCACACATAAACTTGCTTTAAATTTATTTAACCTGGTTTATATCTTGTAGGACTAGCTATTATACAGAGGTAGAACTTAGCATTCTACATATATGGTTTTCCATAATGCAATCAATGAATTTTAAACGGTGTACTTGTGTTTAATTTAGCCACGTTCCAGCACATCAACTATGTTTCTGAGTGGACCAGGAAAAGTTGTCATGGTTGCTATTTGCATGTAAGTTTTTATTTAATTTTTAGGCATACATGTTTCTAGGTTCCGGCATGCAGATTAAGGTTAATTGGTGGTGGTGGTTTTTTTGTTTCAGTTGTGGGTTTTGCAGTCATATCCTGGAAAGCAGAATTTCACTTTTATAAGGAGATATCAGTTAGCATATTTGCTAGTAGCATGCCCAGCTTTAGATGTACATTTTAAAATTTGTGGTCTCCAGTCAATTTCTACTTCATGACTGCAAAGTTACCTTGATCCATTCTAGCTGTAACTTTCCGCTTGGACATCAGGGATGTGTGCTGTAGATGTGCCCTTCATCCTTCCCTCTCCAACACAGATTGGATCTTTCCAGGGTTTAGCATTGGTGTCTGCCAACAAGTTCCCCCCCCTCTCCCCCCCCCACACCACCTCAGACCCATAACTAGCTATTCTAAGCTTGATGATGGGGAAATCTTGTAAATACCATTTGTGGTTAATGCTGATGCAGACATAGTGCTATACCATGACGAAAGCAACACATGAAAGGGAGAGGGAGCTTGCAACATGCTCCCAGTCCCCTACATCCAGTTCTGATGTACTGTTCCCTGTATCGGCTCCCCCAACCTCAAACTAACCCCGATAGCCTGGTAATTTGGACTGTTTATTCAGTCCCTTCTTTCTCATAAGATAAAGGCAGCGATTATAGCATTTTAATCTTAGTATGGTGCTTAGAAAACTGTCAACACATTATCAATAAGGATTCCCCCCCTTTCTCTATCCCCAGAAATGGCTTGAATTTCTTTTTTAAGCTCCTTGCTTGGGTTTACACGGGTTCTGCAAGCATGTTCTCCGAAGCCATCCATTCTTTAGCAGACACTTGCAATCAAGTGAGTATTCTCTATTTTATTGGCCTTTTCTCTGTCGGACTTATATGTTGACCCTTTTGATCATCAGCTGCGCTTCCCACTATAAGTGCAGCGAAGTGTGAAGCGGAAATGTGTATTTATAAAGTGGCCGGGAGACTTGCCAGGAAGTGCAAACGGGCCACGGGTTGCTGGAGCCTGTCCATTGCATTTTTGTCTCTGTTTCGCAGTATTTTGTATTCCCTGCTACGAACGGTGGTCTATATGCAGCGACTACGCTTGCTTTGTCAAGTATTTAATATAATTTTGTGTCCAGGCCACTTTTCAAAACAGAAATATCTTCCAAGGTGTATGGCAAAACAGAGTGTTTACAATGAATCATAGTAAAACAACTATTTTATTCGAAAACCATTTCATTCTTCTCCCACAACTGCATTCAACGTGTGGTTGCTGCACACGAAAGCTTATACCAAGAACAAACTTAGTTGGTCTCTAAGGTGCTACTGAACAATTTTTAAATATATTTTGGTTGCTGAAAGAAAAAGATGAGACACTGGGGGCGGGGCCAAGAACACGACTCCTCCTGTCACTCCCTTATGCCCTAAATAGGGATAGAACGAATAGGAAAGGGTAACTGAAGATAGCGGGGAAAACACAAATCACTGCCTTGCCTTTTCATATATGTTAGTCAAGGCGGGTTGGCTTGCAAATTTAGATAAGAACATCCCTGCAGTTTTAAATAATGAAAGACAACCCCAACACCTAAAGCTTTAAGGCTGCAATGTCATTCTTTCAAACAATTGAGAATTTGAGTTTGTCTTCACAACGTTTTGGTTTAATTCTCTATATGGGTTTGGCCCTTGAAGTAGTGAGGCGTTTGGGTTAGCAGCAGCCTGGCCGAAGCTTTTTTGCGAATCTACGAACGGTTTCCTTCAGGATTTCAAGCACACTTTCTTTCGCAGCTAATCTGCTATTTACTGGAACGGAGACATTTGCACACCCGCCAGGGTGGCTTAACATGTTTTTGTTTGAAACATTGCGCTTTCTATTAAAAAAGCATAGCCTCCTTAGGCTGTAAAATTATAAGGCCAGTTCATTTGGCATCATCAGACGTATTCTAGTGAGCCGCCCAGCTTTCCAACAGTGACTGGTACTGGCACTATCTGCCAAGCTGCAGGGAGCAAAATACGCTTGGGCAAAGCCCCTTCACGTCCCAATTGCTGGTGTGATGGATTGCTGTTTTAAAGAGCATGTGTACTGGAGAGACATTTCTGTGGCGTCGCACATGCATGCTGAGTTTTTTGCTTTTGCTGAGACGTTCTGCCTTGAGCGCAGGTAGAAATGAGGTTTGTTGAAGCATCTGGTGGGCTGTGTGGGGCCTCTGGCAAGCGTGTGGTGCAGGCCACCTGTGCCTGCTCTTCTGAATGAGATGGATGTCTTCTTTACGTAGTGACAAAGTAGTGTGCCACCAATGTTGTTCCTCGATGCCTTGAAACCACAGTGGTTCACAATGAACCTACGAGCGTTTTCCTGGTGGGTTTTTGCCAGGTTCTGTTTCAACTAAAATTTCCTGATTTCTTCCCCAAACATTAAAATTGGTATTATTTTGTCTGCAGTAAATCTGAGTTACTAGAGTGGCATTCTCTCTCTCTCTTTTAAAAATATTTTATTTTTTGTTTTTTTAAGACAATATTCTTATACATTCACATCCTTTTCAATTTCTACATTTCTGGGATTACTCAGATCCCTTGGATCCCCCCCCCCCCCCGGTTTCCAATTTTTCATTATTATTAACAATAATCTCCTTTTTTACCTTAATTCATATTACATTATAAGTGTCACAACAATCCTGCTAATGTTTTTAATAATATAAAGTGGTCTTTAAGATAGTCTATAAACTTTTTCCACTCTTGACTGAATTTCTTGTCATCTTATTGCCTGATCCTCACGGTCATATTTGCCATTTCGGTGTATAGAGTGGCATTCTCTGTTTAATCTTTTTCAAAAACTTTTGATGATTTTGAAATTGTCCACTTCTGCTTTCTTTTCATATCCAGGCTTTACTAGCATTGGGAATCAGTCAGTCGGTGAGGACGCCAGATCCCAGTCATCCGTATGTTGTCTTTTTTCCTTTTTAGTTTTAAAAGTCCCTAACTTCTAAAGTAGTTTAGAATGTCTTTCGAAGCCCAAATCGGACACCTTTTCAATGTTTCCAACTTAACGTTGCGACGTATCGCTGCCTACGTTCAGGTTCCAGGTCTGATGAAAACAGCTGGTAGTTTGGGCTTTTCACATGTAAGGTCAGTTTTGTCCATGTGCTCCTTTCTTTGGCACCTGCCAATACTGGAAAGCGATTTGTGGCAAATGACAAGTTCTAATGTATTGTGTTTCAATGATGGACTACAGTCTTTGAGGTTTTCCATTTAGGTTGTGTTAGCTTTTGTATAATAATAATAATTAATAATAATAATAATATTATAATATTAATAATAATTTATTATTTATACCCCGCCCATCTGGCTGAGTTTCCTCAGCCACTCTGGGCGGCTCCCAATCAAGTATTAAAAACAATACAGCATTAAATATTAAAAACTTCCCTAAACAGGGCTGTCTTCAGATGTCTTTTAAAAATAGGATAGCTGCTTATTTCCTTCACATCTGAAGGGAGGGCGTTCCACAGGGTGGGCACCACTACTGAGAAGGCCCTCTGTCTAGTTCCCTGTAACCTCACTTCTCGCAATGAGGGAATCACCAGAAGGCCCTCGGCGCTGGATCTCAGTGTCTGGGCAGAACGATGGGGGTGGAGATGTTCTTTCAGGTATACAGGACCGAGGCCATTTAGGGCTTTAAAGGTCAGCACCAAGACTTTGAATTGTGCTCGGAAACGTACTGGGAGCCAATGCAGATCTCTCAGGACCGGTGTTATGTGGTCCCGGTGGCAACTCCCAGTCACCAGTTTAGCTGGTGGATTAATTCTGGATTAATTCTAATTCTGGATTAATTGCAGTTTCTGGGTCACCTTCAAAGGTAGCCCCACATAGAGTGCATTGCAGTAGTCCAAGCAGGAGATAACTAGAGCATGCACCACTCTGGCGAGACAGTCCGCGGGCAGGTAGGGTATTAGCCTGCGTACCAGGTGGAGCTGGTATACAGCCGCCCTGGACACAGAATTAACCTGCGCCTCCATGGACAGCTGTGAGTCCAGACTGACTCCCAGGCTGCGCACCTGGTCCTTCAGGGGCACAGTTACCCCATTCAGGACCAGGGAATACCCCACACCCCACTTAATTAGGGTTTTGTTTTTGTTTTTTTAAACACCCGCAAAATACATGAGAGCCGATACGATTTTTAGCTACCCAGTGGGCTCCAAAACATGGGGAGACATCAGGTTTCTGCTTTTTCTTGTAAGACAGGGACAGACAGCCACGTTGCTTTCAAGGCTGATATATGACAGCAGGTAATCAGGGGGTCCCATACCGCAGGGCAAGCCAGACCCAGCAGTGGGCAAGTCCTTTGCTGGAGTCCATCGCATATCTATTTACATACACGTTTTAACACAGAAATGCGCACACAGGCACACACCTTCCTCTCCTGTGCATGTACACACAAACTCGCCCTCCCCCTTTCTTGCACAGACACACTCTTTAGCCTCCACAGCGACTGTGATGCAGCCAAGATTACTGAGAATGGCATCACGGAAATAGTGGTTTTGGGTGCGTTGGTGTCCGGGACTGGGCAGAGGAGGAATGGTGCATTTTAAATAAAAGGGCACATTCTTCTCATGTAAAAACACACTGATTCCCCGACCATCCGCTGGCCGGAATTAAAAGGCGATTGGGCTGGATCCGGCCCCTGGGCCTTTGTTTGCCTACCCATGCCCTAGAGAGCTGGCTGCTTTTCAGTATAGATACAGTCCAGACTTAGGTTGACCCAACGGTCTGACTCCATACAAAGGAATTTTGTACGCAAATATTGCATGCGCTCTCTCTCTCTCTCTCTCTCTCCTCCCGCTCCCAAATCTCCATCCAGATATGGCTTCACAAACATGCGCTACATTGCATCCCTGATCAGTGGCGTTGGCATTTTCATGATGGGCGCAGGGCTCTCATGGTATCACGGCATCATAGGTCTGATGAATCCTCAGCCCATAGAATCTCTTCTTTGGGTGAGTTGTCATTGTCTTTTGAAAATTACAATGCTTTAGTGAAGTTTAATATCGTTAGCCCGCTGTGCTAGCAGAACAGCAGCGTTGGACACAGACAGTGGGTAGTTTTTGTGGAGCTTGCCTTGCTGTGCTTGATAACTTCTTTTATTTTGGGGGGGAAGGCAGGGGAATGGGTAAACTGGCAGCATTTGGGCTGCAGAAAAAGCAATCCATCTTGGTCTTGAAGTAAGTATTGCAAGAAGTAGGGCATGTTTTCAGGCTGTAAAGACAGAGACCACGCCTTACTGCTAGGTCTCCTCTTTTTTTTGATGCAATAAAATTTTGATTTTGGATGCAATATGTCAGTAGTGTTGCATATTATGGTATGCCTGAGTTACGTGTGCTTCAAAACTAGGAAGTCACTACTGCTACAGAGTATCACCATAGTCATAGTCTGACCAGTTTGGCAAAACACAGTCCTGGCCCTTAGCCTATGAGTCAGGAGACTAGAGTGCTTCTTGAGATTACTACAATTTTAATATTTTGGCTCTTCTGCTTCAGTCTTGTCTCACAATATAGGAAGTTGTTTTTTATTCCTGAAAAAAACACCAAACTACTGTTTCCCCCCAAGGCATTCTACTGTATAACTACATTCTCCCCTATTACTTCTAGGCTTATTGTATTTTAGCAGGCTCACTGGTGTCTGAAGGAGGTATGTATTCCAGTGGGAAAATGCATTATTACTTTGCCATTACTTTGCTGATGCATTAATAGTTTTTTAAAGGCTTGAACTTGCTCCTAAGTGAGCATACAAAATTAAGCATATAACATTTCAAGCTACAGTGGTGCCCCGCAAGACGAATGCCTCGCAAGACGGAAAAACCGCTAGACGAAAGGGTTTTCCGTTTTTGAGTTGCTTCGCAGGACGAATTTCCCTATGGGCTTGCTTCGCAAGACGAAAATGTCTTGCGAGTCTTGAGATTTTTTTCCGCTTTCCCCCCCCTTTATCTAATCTGCTAAGCCTTTAATAGCCTTTAATAGCCTTTTAGCAGCTAATCCCCTAAGCCTTTAAGCCTTTAATAGCCGCTAAACCGCTAATAGCGCTAATCCGTTAAGCCGCTAATAGGGTTGCTTCGCAAGACGAAAAAGCCTCTAGACGAAGACTCTCGCGGAACGGATTAATTTCGTCTTGCGAGGCACCACTGTATTATAGTTTAACTCTTTAGCATGCAAATCTAAAGTGCTCTGTGTGTGTGTGTGTGTGTGTGTGTGTGTGTTTGTGTGTGTGTGTTTGTGTGTTTGTGTGTCCTAGGGGATGAAACTCCTGCTTGCCTCACCCACCTAACTTCTGACACGGAGGGCGTTTTTTAAATCTATAAATAAAACTTGTGATTTGGCATCTAGGTGTGCTGATCAAATCACTTAAGTTAAAGAACTTGATGCAAAGAAACGCACAGCTGGTGCTGTGAGAGGGGATTTTTGTTGATGGGCTTCTCGGATTGCACAGCAAACATCTTTTGAAAGAGACCAGATGAAAAAAGCAAGTCTCTGATATTGGCATGGAAATCTGCAATTCAGAGGAATAAAGAAGGGTGGTTTCCCCCAAATTCTTAGGCTCATCTCAAGTCGGCCTTCAAGTCACAAGCAAGAATTGGATATAGAACCTTAGTTGCAGGCAGTTAAGCCAATCTGAACTGGATATCTTAACTCACTTAGTCTAGAGCAGTGGTTCCCCAACTCCCCCCTCATTTGAAAGTTTGCTGATAGTGGACCACTTAATTATTATTATTCGCCTGTTGAAGCAATTGCAGTGCACTGTATGCTGTATGATTTTTACTCATGTTTCCATTGCTTCTTTTATTTCTTATATTGTATTTTCTTTGCTGTTTTACCCGATATCATTGTCTTTTCATCAGGAGTTGAAATGTTTCCCTTGTGTTCTTTCTCTTACTGAAACAATTATTTCACTGCTTTTATTCCAGCTACTCTTCTTGTAGCTATAAATGAAATTCGAAGGAGCGCTCGAGCCAGAGATGTATCCTTCTACCAATATGGTATGTAACATGAAATGAATTTACTCATTTTGTAAAACATAGCAAGAAGCTGTTCTGGTTTTGTTTTTACTTATTTTGAATTTGTACAGCTTAATGTCTCCTGTATTGTTCATAAATGGGAAGAAAAGCCTTTTCGTTCATTAGTGCTTCCTGAAATTTGTTGCTACCAAGGAAATAATAACTACTGAACTCTGAGATGTCCGTAGAATCATATTTTAAAACATTATCAACATTTAACTCTACTTTGCAGCAAACACTTTATTAAAAGCTTTGGCAAGTTTTCATTTGTTTAACTCTTGTGTGGCTACGTCAGTGCCTCACTGTTGCACCCATGTTCAATCTTCAGTTATGCAGGCTCGTGATCCCAGCACAAATGTTGTGTTGTTAGAAGATACCGCAGCAGTTCTGGGTGTGACGTTAGCTGCTACTTGTATGGGTCTGACTTCTCTCACAGGTAAGCCTTTCTATAAGTTTGAGTCCTGGCAGAATTTTCTTCTAACTTGCAAGTAGGGCAAGTTAGAAGAAGCTAATCTTCTTCTAAGGCAATTGGCAAAAAACCCCCAGTAATAGTCAAGTGCTTAAAACAAACTGAGGATAAGTAGACAAAACTTTCTTGGACTGGAGTGCTGCAGGTTGGAGATTTGAATCCTGCTTCTGTAAAACCCTTGCACATAGAAAAATTGTACGTTGGGGGTCAAGGCTAGTCTAGAACCCCACTGATCTTGTGCAATCTTCTAACAGCATGCTAGTTTTGCTCTTCCATTCTCATGCATTTTTCCTTTTTTGTCATGACTTTTAGACTGTAAGTCTGTGGGCAGGGACTATCTTGGCTGTGTATGTGTTTTTAAGCATGATTATTGATCATGATTAATACAACTTTTTCTCCCTAACAATAATAATAATAATAATAATAATTTATTTATACCCCGCCCATCTGGCTGGGCTTCCCCAGCCACTCTGGGCGGCTTCCAACCAAATATTAAAATACAGTAATACATCAAACATTAAATGCTTCCCTAAACAGGGCTTCCTTCAGATGTCTTCTAAATGTTTGGTAGTTGTTGTTCTCTTTGACATCTGGTGGGAGGGTGTTCCGCAGGGCGGGTGCCACTACCGAGAAGGCCCTCTGCCTGGTTCCCTGTAACTTGGCTTCTTGCAGTGAGGGAACTGCCAGAAGGCCCTCGGCGCTGGACCTCAGGGTCCGGGCTGAATGATGGGGGTGGAGATGCTCCAAAGAGCGGGTTAGAGCAATGTTAATTAAATGGAGACCTTAATTGGCCATTTCTGCTTCTATCTACCTTAACTCCCTCCTCACTCTTCTGGTTAGTGATGACTTCTATATGTATGAATTGCATAATACTGTAACTTATATTCGTTGCTCTTGTCCCATCCATTACGTGGCGTTGGGAGCAAGCCAGCAGTAAATCACACTGTGCAAGTTGGAGTTAACTTTTTTTTAGCAAGAATGCAGTCTGCACAGACTTGTTGGGGTGTCAGGTCTAATGACCACGGAAGCTCATCCCCAGTAGGTCTGGCCCCTACTGGGCAAGTAGGATCAGTTGCTGAGAGTGAAAGTCCCCACCTCCACACAGCCATCTAAGTTCCCTCCTCTCCAGGGTTTCCTCCAAGCAATTGGAGACTGTGCCTGTATGAAGCCAACCTCTCCTCCACCCATTTCATGACTCTTCTGGTCCTGGGAGATAAGTGGGGAGGGGAGCTTGTTGCAGACACCTGTGAGTCTTCACCAGCCAGACTCCCCTCTGCCTCTTGGCCTCCCTCCTCCTCTGCTTCAGCTTCTGCCTCTGGTTCTGGGCTCCTCTCTGCCACATACTCTCCCAGCTCACTAAGCCCTGTTGCCTCTTCAGCTTCCAGTACCTCTTCCCTCCCCAGTCTTTTCCCTCTGCCCACTCATCGTTCTCCCGCCACTAGTCCCCGGGCTCTGAGCCATAGCTGTCAACGTTTCCCTTTTTTTAAGGGAAATTCCCTTATTCCGAATAGGATTCCTCACAAGAAAAGGGAAAAGTTGACAGCTATGCTCTAAGCCTTCTTGCCTTGGTGTTTCCCCAGCTAGTTCTTCCCATCATTCCTCTGCACCCAGCCAATCATAGCTGTCAACTTATAGATTTGAAAATAAGGAACCAGCAGCCTCAAAAATAAGGGGTCAGCAGCCAAAATAAGGGATTTTCCAAGCACAGGTATGTTCAACCTCTGAGCTCCTCCAAGCCAAAGGCAGAAAGCCCAGCCAGCAGCCAAATGAAGCCTCAAGTGGTGGTTCCCACAGCGCAGCAATCTGGCAAAGGGGATGCAACAAGGAAAGCCACCGTTTCCTCTCCGCTGGGAAGCGCTGAGCAAAGGCGAGTCCCCAGGCAATGCGGCCGATGTGATTGGCACAAGGCATGCTAGCTCCACCTCCCAGTCGTTCTTAGGCTCCTTATTGGGTGAGCAACGCAGCCAAGCAACACAGCTGGAGCCTCCCTCCTCCCTGGCTGGCAGGGAGGGAGGGAGAGGAGCTGCTTCCTTTGAAACCCGGGAAATTTAAGGGACATCATCAATAAGGGACAGCAGCGGGACACAGCACTGGGATAAGGGACTTTCCCGCCAAATAAGGGACGGTTGACAGCTATGCAACCAATCCACGACATCAGGTTACGTAGCGAAAAGTGTGAGCGCAGCATAGTGTGGCTAGCTTCATCCTAAGTGATCATCTCCACCAAGAGAAATGGAGAAGGCACACAACAGCAATCCCTTTTGAGAAATGAATTTGTGTCTGTGTGTATCCTTTCAGGTAACCCATACTACGACAGCCTGGGGTCCCTTGGTGTGGGGACACTGCTGGGAGCTGTATCAGCCTTCCTTATTTACACCAACACTGAAGCTCTGCTGGGAAGATCCATCCAACCTGACCAGCTACAGAAACTTACAGAGTTACTGGAAAGTGATCCTGCTGTAAGGTAAGAGAGTTGGGTGGGGAAGGACCTCTTTGATGGCAAAACCCATCGACAATAAAGAGCATGCAATGGGTGGAATGATGAGTTCTTCTTTCAAGTTAACTTTGGAATTTATTTATTTTTATGGGAAGAAAGTCAGTTTTGGGTCATGTGGCCGTTTGCTTGGGCAGCTCGAAACACCTAATTGTTTTTGCTTTGTCCCACCACATCCTACAAAATATTTATCTCAGAGCCATTCATGATGTTAAAGCCACAGATATGGGAATGAGTAAAGTGAGATTCAAAGCAGAAGTCGACTTTGATGGACGGGTTGTTACTCGGTCTTACCTGGAGAAACAAGACATTGAACAGCTGCTACAAGTATGCATAAATACGCGTGGTTGTTTTCAGTAGTTTTTCTTAAGTGCACTTAAAAAACCCCAAATCAGTGGTGTATGTACTTTGTATTTATACACAATTCCTCTATAAAGTTTATAGGCTGTATACAAATGTGCCTTATGGGCTTTCAAGTGGAAACCTGGCGTAGAACTCTTTTGACAAGTACAGTGGAACCTCGGTTTTTGAATGTAATCTGTTCCACAAGACCGTTCGACTTCCAAAACATTCGAAAACTGAAAGCAGAAGCCTCAGTACAAATAGGGAAACTCAAAATGGAAGCTGCGTGGCATGTTCAGCTTCCTAAAATCGTTCAAAAACTGAAGCAGTTACTTCTGGGTTGTTGGCGTTCGAAAGCCGAAATGTTTGTCAACAGAGACGTTTGACAACCAAGGTTCCACTGTAAATACAACAGGGAATTATTCACAATGTAGCTTTACTTCACAGCTCACAACAACATAAATGAGGAATTGTTTAATCCTACGTTAATAAGAAGGGTATTATTTTTTGGCTGAGCTGATGTGATGCCTTAGAATGTTCACAGACATTCAGCTCTAGGAAAGTTAAAACAAATGGAATGTAAAAGGCTAACTTTTGCCTGGATCGTGTCCTTTGTATTTAGTTATGCTCTGATAATTCAGTTTTTAACATGGTATGGTTTTCATTACCATAAAACTTATCCTTTTTTGTGTGTGTGTGTTTTTAAAAGGAAGCCCTGTTAACTTCTAAGAAGTGTGTTCTTAAAAATGAAGGATATTGTAAACGGTGTATAATAATGGGGTCTACTTGTAACATCTAGTTAAACAGAAAGCTGTGCTCAGCTAATTCATATTCTGCACAGAGGATTCTGCAGCCTGAGTGAGTAGTGCAGTTTAAGCAAGTTTGTGTTCCTCTTCTTAGTGGTTGTAAGCATGTTTCTGCATTTCTGGAGAAGGACAGCAAGCTGCCCATGCTTTATCATCTCCCTACCAAAAGTTCAAATAAAATTCTGGCTTTGGAGATTTCACCAGGCGATGCCTGTAGACTTTGAAGCTTAACCTTGCACCTGTAAGCATTAGAAACCTGCTTTTTTAAAAAAATAAATAAAAGCCTGAGATTCTCAAGGGTCCTTAGCTCTGTGGATTTTCTGCACCTGCTCACAAACTTGGAATACACATAACATGAATATAGCCAGTTAATAGATATCACTGCCTGCTGACAGTCCAGTTCTGTGCCAACACTGAGTTTAAGCAGTTAGTGAAAATAGGTTCATGCTCCCATTTTTTGAGGCATGGCATGATTCGTTACATGAAAAAGTCTTTGCGTTTACAAGATAGGAAAGCATATTTGTTATTTCCCCCTTGCCACTTTTTAAAGCTTGCTTGCTTAACTTCACGGCAGGAAATCCAGCAGGTGACAACTCCTGAAGAATTAGAGAATTTCATGCTGAAACATGGCGAAAATATAATTGACACGCTAGGGGCAGAAGTCGACCGGCTTGAGAAGGAGCTGAAGGTAAGAGTTTGGCTGCCAAACCAGCCTTGGTGGAAAATGCTCTCCTTCTGTAATTGAGGCTCTGTTAGGCTAATAGGCCCATTTCAGGTTCACGGGTGGTTAAAACGTTGTAAACAAAGACCCAGAGCAGGGATGGGAACCCTGTTTCTGCCCAGGGGCTAACTTTCCCTTATGGACAACATTCTGGGGGCCGCACATCGGTGGTGGGCCAGATGCAAAAGCAAGCTACCGTATTTTTCGCTCCACAAGGTGCACCTGACCATAAGGCGCACCTACTTTTTTTTAGGGGGGGAATTCAAGGGGGGAAAATTCTTTAAAGGGAGCACTGAGCAGAGCCTGTATGCATCCCAGGCTCTGCTCAGCGCTCCCTTTCATGAGCCGCGTGGAGCGTGTGTGCGGCGCTTGCGGCTTTTCCCCATGGAGGGAAAAGGGCAGCCCTCCTCGGGGAAAAGCCCCCAAGAGCCACACACACACTCCGCGCAGCTCTTTAAAGGGAGCATGGCTCTTTGGGGCTTTTGCGGGAGGTGAGAGAGCCTTGCTCTGTCCCTTCCCCCACATCCCGCAAAAGCCAGGGATAGCCACACGAAGCCTCCCCAGGGCAGCAGGATGAAGGCTCCCCGCTGCCCTGCGGAGGCTTCGCGGGCTACCCCAGAGCTGCTCAGGAGCTTGTCGGGGCTGGCGGGGGAAGCCCGGGTTCTCCCCCGCCCCCCAGCCCCAAGGACCACACATTCGCTCCATAAGACGCACAGACATTTCCCCTTAGATTTTAAGAGGAAAAAAGTGCGTCTTATGGAGCGATAAATACAGTAGTTGCCCTACCTCCAAAAGCCAGGCAAAGAAAGATGCATGATCAAAGTTCAGGGACACCTTCCAGCCAGGCAGAGAGTACAGAGATGGTGTGTGGCCTGGGAAGAGCCCTAAGGTACAGAATGAGAGAGGCCCAGAGGCTGGAGGTTCCCCATGACTGGCCTCAAGGCTCTTGTCTTGGCTTCTCTGGCCACCTCATTTTGGGAACAGCCTCCTGAAGAAGCCCCACTGCGATGGAAGGAAACACTTCAGAAGAAGTAGCTGAGGATGCCTACATCAAGAATTTGTTGTTCACGTTCATGGGGGCTTTAGTTTAGATTCCCTTCCAACTCTTCTATGATTCTACTTGCCCAGAAATGTAATCAGCAAGTCCACGAGGACAAAAGTGGAGCAGTGAGTTGAGTGTTGAATTTGGAAGGGGAAGACCTGGATTCAGGTCCCTGCTCAGTTGTGGAATGTGTTATATGGCCTCTGGTCAGTTGTTATCTCTTCACCTCGCAGGCAGTTTTTCATGGTAATGTGAGTGTCCAAGAAGACCATGGAAAGCACCCTGAGCTTCTCAGAGACAGGATGGAATAATAAAATATTAAATCCGAATGATTTATTTTGCATGTGCTCAGTACTGATCACACGCTTCTTCCAGGGAGCTCGGGACCGTGTACATGGGATTCTCCCTTTTTATCCTCTCCTCAGCCTGGGGAGGTGAATCACTCCAGGCTGCCAAGAGAGCCTCTGAGCAGAGCTCTGAACTCGGGTCCTTGCCTCAACTCAAATCCAAGATTTGATCCATGGTGCGGTGTTGACATTCTTCCCACGTGCTTGTTTAAAAGCATTATGGTTTTCGTTTCAGAAATTGAATCCTGAGGTGCGCCACGTGGATCTGGAAATACTGTAGTCTTCACGGAAGCAGCTTTTAAAGTCTTCCGGATCGGCCGAACTGAGGAACGGAGCAGCATCTGAAACTGCCGGGATCTCAAAAGATGTCATCACATTTCAGCTTTCCGATTCTCTCAGTGCTGGTTTTCCTCCCAGAGTGAACGGCTTCCTTTGAACTGGTTTTCCAGGACAGCTGGTTGCCGCGTGAAAGCGTAGCGGGGAGGAATATTTGGGACTAGAAACTTTTAATTTAAATAAGTTATTGAAATGTCAGTTTCTGAAAATGCACACTATATATTTGCTGCCCTAGACCAAGGTTTTGTATCTCATTTGCACATTAGCTCTGATGCAGCTGCTATTCTTAAGCGTATATTAGAGTTCTATGCCCAATTTTAAAGGCTTCGCCCCTCCTTGAGTCAAATGGCTGTGTTCCAATTCTGTAGCCTTCTCTGACTTTTCATGTTATGAACGTAATGAGAATTCTGTCCTTTCCCCCAGTATCATGAGCTGGTAACCTTCCTCCTTGTAGTGTTTTGATGGTTCTTGACAATTTGATCAGACCCACTTGAGTGATCCAATTCGTTGTTCTAGAGCAAACGTGCAGAGAGTGTATGAGTAAATAGAAACTTGTCATATGGCTCCTTCCTTACATTAGCGTTGTGGTCCAATAGTTGCTCCCAGCAAAGCCTGCAAATATTCTACCCGTGAAATCGGGGGAAATGGCATTGTTTCGTAGCCACTGCTGTGTTGCGTCTCCCTAATAGTTCAGTCTAATCCCCTGGATGAAAGTTGCAGGTTTCACTTGGAATGGTGTGGGGGGCAATTGTGGGGTGGCATCACCTTCTATTCAGAATCTTAGGGTGGTATTGTTTTATTATCCATCTGAAATGGAACATTTAGCATGCTCTAAAATGCATTGAGGCTATTTATAAAGAGGCTCCATAATCCAAACAACTTGTGCAACCAATTCCATACACCTAGGATGACTTGTGTTTCTTAAACAGCAAACTGTTTTCAAAACAGAGGGTAGTTTATATATATATATATATATATATAACAGCTCCACAATAATTTAATGCCTCTGCTTTTTGAAGAAGAAGAGACAGTCCAAAATCCCTCTAGAACAGCACGAAGCAGAATTGGAAGCAACCATTTGGATTCCAGCCAGAATATTTATTTATAACTTGCACTGCTTATGTCGCTCTGAATGGCAGGCTATGGTTTATAACATGAAACTTCTCGTCTGTGGGGAATAAAACAGTGACAGTTCACTTAAACGTAGAAAGTTCAGTACTGGGGCTTTGAATATTGTTTGCAGTGGGAGCCAGGAAGAAGCAGGAATCCAGATTGTAAACTCTTGAGGCTGGATGACAATCCTGGCACTATTTAACTTGGACAAATTTTGTAAAAGTCAGAGGAAATGTACTCTGAAGGTAAGTGGTATAAGAGGACTGTAACCTTTATCGTTAGCAGAGGCTAAAACTGAACATGAATCATGCAGGTTTGGGGCTGGTTCACACAGACATATATTCAGCACTCAGTGTGTAAGCTGACTTTCTTGCTAGGTAATGTCATGCAATTTTATCCATCTTTAGTCCTGGATCTGTGATGACTTTTATAGAAATGTGTCACCATTTGATGTCTGCAAATGTGATGTGCACACATGTGCCAGCCAGCGAAACTTCAGTGGTAAAGTTGCGTTGTAAGGGAGGTACTTTTAAAAAATAAGGAGTTGCTTATTGGAATGACTTTGGCCTGAAGGCTGAATCCCCAGATTCAGTGGCCTTGATAGTGCCGTGGAACAACAATACATAAACCTGCTGTGCAAAGCAAGATATATGGATAATAATAATTTTTAAAACAACTGTGCTGGAGACTAAAATGGATCAGCATTGGCTTAATTTCTAAATTTAAAATGTTGCATTTTAAAGTAAACGCAACTTATGCCAATAAAGGCCAATAACAAAAGTAAATGTAACTTTGAACTAGCAGGCCTCTTGACAACATGAAAATTAACAACAGCATGCATTTTTATGGTACTGTTTGGATTTTAGGTTTCAGAAATGTACATATTGTAATTAGTACGTAATGATAACTTTATTACATAAATTTAGAAGTAAAGGCGCTCTTTGGTTTTTTAAAATCTTGATTTCTCAAGGGCAATTTCTTAGTAAATGCTTAATTGCAGCTGAGGGTCCTCCTCACCCCCAAACTATATTATGGGCAACCTGTTTTTCAATCATTTGCACTTCAAACAGGCATCTTCCAGCATACAGGGAGCTTCTCTACACACACCTCTGGTAGAAGCAAAGGTTAAAGAGGTATGCACATTAAAACAGAGATGTAACATTCCGTTACGTATGCACATCTATTGCATGGTTCTGTCTGCTGAGAGCATCTTATGGATCAAGAGAAGTATAGGGACATTAATTTCAAGGGGAGCTTTGTTTCCTTGCAAAGTGTGCTTCGGGTGGGTTTGCAAATGGTCACTCACTTGGTTACACATGGCAAGTAGGAATCTCCTCTAGGCAAATGGGCAGGGAAACTTAAAAGAAGCTGTTTGTTTTGGGTTCCAAGCTTCCAAGTAATTGGAGGCAGACCAGGATGAATTGTCTGGGCTTCTACCCTTTGCAGACTTACTTGCAAGGCTGGCTTTAGACTTCATACTAGATTAATAATACAGTTACAAATGCGTTTGTTGAAAATGTAACTTAGTGCTCTGTTTAAAGGTAAGGTGTAAATATCTGTATAAACTTTAATAGGCAGCGAATTCTCATTTGTAGTGCACTTTGATCTCATCAGTAGTGGCCTTTCCTTTAATCTCCTGCTGGCGAGTGGTCTTCTCCTGAGCTTGTGAACCTGGTGCCCTCTAGATATTTTGAACTGCATTGGCTCCAGCCAGCACAGCATGTTCTGATCTGTAAAGGTTGGTTCTTCAGCAGTTCTCCAAGTGTGGGGCAGGTCGTTCTTAGTGATATGCCTGAGCAAGGGTGTAAAAAGTGCCTGGGAGGGGATAGGATTGGGAAGCAGTTAGAGCAGGGTTTCCCAAACTTGGGTCTGCAACTGTTTTTGGACTACGGTTCCCATTATCCCTGACCACTGGTTGTGCTAGATAGGGTTGATGGGAGTTGTAGACCAAAACCAGCTGGAGACCCAAGTTTGGGAAACCCCTGAGCTAGAGTGTCCTCCTTGCATAGGCCAAGACTAGAGTGGGCTGAATAGCTGTTGAGATGAGGGCCACCCTTGACTCTCATTGGGATTATGGGATAAATGCTCCTCTCTTGTCTCAACATCTCAACCTGCCTTGGGAAGAAGAGAGTCTGCTTGGGTAGAAGTGTCCCTGCTCATTCTATCCCTATTCTAATCTGTTGGGTAAAGATTCCACTCCACAAATCCTTGCTTGCAGTAAAAAGTTGCACACAACTGCATTTAGGTATCTGCACATGCCTCACCGTGGAAGAGATTGTTGATGTAGTACTGACATCTGAATGAAACAAACAATAAGGGGGAAACCCTCTGATATTTGTGAACAGCAATCTTCTGATGGTCATGCGTCTCATGTCCAAATCACTGTGAAATAGAAGTTTGCACATATATTTTTTTTGCAAATGCTGAGCAGTCATGATACTGGCAATCCACTTTTCATGGAATTAATTGTGTGCCGGCATAATAATTGAAAGAATGTTTAATTGGGATTCTCTTGAGTTGTCGTTCTTTATGATGCACAATGAGCACTGGCCCAAGATCTACAGAATATTTTTTTATAGACTGTACGCAGAACTAGGGTTGTATTTGGTACTCGTATGTTTGTCTTGTGCTTTGTGGTCTTAGCTCTTTGAGCTGTTAAGGTGTGGCCCTTTTTGCCTACCTTTTTATTGATGCCATGGATGGTTCTGATGTTGCAGAGCAAGCAAGGCTAACCTGTGGTCCTCTAGATGTCGCGGAATGCCAACACGCACCATCCCCTGCCGGCGTGGCCAATAGTAAGGGATGAAGGGGGCTGTAATCCAACAACGTCTGGAGAACCACACATTCCGCATCTCTGTTATAGAAGCCTGAAGAGCCTTGGGTTAGGCAGCAGAATGTCAAGTGGGGTAATGGCGGAACCTGAGAATTGGAATCCTGAAGGCCATGATCAAACGCAGCTAAACAGCATAAATACTGGCTCAATGCCATGAGTTTTTGAATGACACCTTGTGAGCAGTTCTGGAGATTTTGGATGGATGATACCTGAAATTTTTGATACTGCACGTCACAGCGTAATTTCTCTTTCCTGGGTATAATATTTTAACAAGATATTTCCGAACCGTCTGTGAAAACCGTTAACGCCCGTTTTCGTGCGGTATTGTAGTTAGTATAGTTAACTAGATTGGCAAGTTTTTGTGCTTTTGGTTTGAAAACAACAACAGAGAGTCCTGTGGCACTTTAAAACACATTATTATAATGGCTTACCATTTCATGGACTCTAGTCCACTTCACACATTTTTGGTTTGCTTTCATGAATGCATTTGATGTGGTTTCTATGCAAAAGTATTTTATAAAGACACACCTTGATTTTTCTTTTTCTCCCATCTGTGTACCAATCATGGCAGCCAGACCAAATTTCAGGATATGTATTTATGTTTTTTAGCCAAACAAGCTTCATTTGGTGTACTGAAGACATGGAATAAAATGGTGAATCTGCAGATATATTTTTAATGTTGTAAAATCGACCGCTGATGAAGTCTGATGTGCTTGACACCTGCATTTACAGAACTCCCGTTCATTTTCCAAGGGGTTGCATTGAGTGTAGTTGTGCCGTACTTGTGACAGTGAGTTTGGACAGCATTGCACAGTATTTCTGAGCTGAATTTGGGGGAAACCTAGATTTGCACCTATACAGATAAAAATTAGCATGTACACATTTTATGCAGACCTGGGAATAACTAAGGGGTTAACTTTCTGGATCAAATAAGTCCCCTCGGATCAGTCTCTTGACCTGTCCCTCCCTGGTATCTTTCAAATGGCATTATGTTAAGCTTGCTTTTGCTTCCAGCTGATTCTTTTCTGCACCATTTTCTTCCTATGTCTTGATTGCCTCTGTGCTATAAACAACTCAGGGTTCCCCATTTTGACTTGTGTGACCTTGGAGGGATCCCACTTGGCCTTTGTCAAGCCCTAGATATCTCAGAAGCACCCCACTTTACCATGGGTTTAGTCAGAGTCCAATGCACATGCATAACTCATGCTTGAGTAATGAAATAGCATTTCCGACAATTGATTTGCTCATGTTGTGGCAGCCTCTGTTTGGGCTTCAGTGAATAGCCTGAGCCCACCTGAGCTCAGATACCTCCCTCTTTCTGCAAAAACTTGCTTACTGAGGAAATCCCCTTAAATTATATATTGAACTGAATAGAAAAATTAGTATGTGGTACTTAGGCCATATGCAGACACCCCCATAAGGAGATTTTGGGGTCTGTACCTTTAAAAAACACTTTTAGACTGTGTTATTGTGTTTACTCCCAGCAGTCTTGCCTCGGTAATTGATAGGATGAGAATCAACAAACTGAAGCTCAGTCCAGATCAGACTGAGGCACTGTTAGTGGGTGGTTCCCTAGACCAGATGGGTGGGAGATCGCCTGCTCTTGATGGGGCTACACTTCCCCTGAAGGAGCAGGTTCGTAGCTTGGGGGTCCTCCTGGATCCTTTGCTGTCCCTTGAGGCTCAGTTGGCCTCAATGGCCCAGAGTGCCTTCCATCAACTTCGGCTGGTGGCCCAGCTACGCCCCTATCTGGACAGGGATAGCCTAACTTCTGTTATCTATGTTCTGGTAACTTCTAGATTAGATTTTTGCACCGCCAAACCTTGCAGGGGACCGTTTGCCACCGCTTTCGAGTGAATTGGACAACATTGGGATGCCTCTGATGAAGACGGTTCGAAAACCTCAATTTGAAGACCAGGTTGGGGCAAGATGGTTTGAGCATATTGCACCAATCCTGCCCCAACTGCACTGGCTGCAAATTAGTTTCCAGGCCCAATTCAGAGTGCTGCCTTTGGCCTATAAAGCCTAAATGGTTCAGGACTGCAATACCTCAAGGACTGCCTCTCCCCATGTGAACCGACCCAAACCCTGTGATCATCATCTGAGGCTTTCCTTTGTGTGGCTCCTCCAAGTGAGGTGGCAGCGCGAGAACGGGCCATTTCCGCGGTGTCTCCCCATTTGTGGAATGCTTGATAAACATTCTGCACACCAAACACAAGGCAGAGGCTGTTTTTATTTTTATTATTATTATTGTGCACTCTTATGCAACAGAACAAATGGAGGCATGTAGTAATAAAAACCCAATATTTAAATAAGAGTTAACACTTGAAATAGTAAACTCTAGTAACAAATGTCTCTTTATAATCAAAAAATATTCACTGTTTTTAAAAAGTTGTCTAAACTTTTATGCACTTACTTCCTTAAAAGAAAGGTGTAGCCTGATGTCACATAGAAAACAATTCACACATCCTATAGAAATCCTCACCAAAACATACTAGCCTATATTACACTATTCACTTTGTACAGCATCAGGAATTTGTCTATCCCTAGGTCTCATTTACTTGACACAGGACAAATTGTTAATAGAATTGACAACACGAGAACGAGAGGAATATTAGGAGTAATGAGTTCTTGGTCACAGTATGGCCACAAATATTTTGTCATAGAAAACAGAGCAAAGGCATGTCGGCACTGGGGTCCGTGCAGAAGTGATACACAAGCTTCAAAAGCTGCTACAGAAATGGGAGGAAGATTCAGAAAGAATAAGGCAAATGACATATTTCCCCAGAGGCCATTGGAATTGCTATGGAATTCAAACCCAGGAATTGCTGTTACTTGTATGTACAGTAAAGGCTGCCATGAAAGGGTAGGGCAATCAGTCAAATGTACTGGGAAGAAAGGTGGTAGTTGTGGGTGGAAGTAATTTGAGGTTTTTTATATGTATATATTTGAAGTGTTGATAATCGAAGAGGTCCTAGAGCAGAGGCAGCCATCTTGCTCTGTTGAGGACTACAACTCACCTCATCCCTAGCTACTGGCTGAGACTGATGGGAGTTGTAGTCCACAATATGCCGGCTATCCCTATTCTAGTGAGGAAGCCCAAACCAGATGTGGTGCCGTAAAACAGAAGGCTAAATGTGGTTTAACTGAGGTAATATTGCTGCAGAATGGGGGGGGGGGGGAACAGCAGCTCAACACTGTAAGTTGTTCTGACTTTGTCAAGTAGTATGTAAGTGGCAAAACTGATCTTGGATGGTATCATTTCAGGTTGTAGGTGGGGGACTTCCATGGTTTCCTCCATACTGCAAATGCACATATGACTGAGGAGAGGATTTGGGCAAGGGCCAGTTGCTAGGGCATCTTCTGCAAAGGCTTTAGAAAGATACCTGCTCCCAACCACTCCCCCGTCCCGCCGTGCTTAATGCTCACGGGGCTGCCACTAGGGTAGGTCGCCAAGCTTTTGCCCTTCTTTCCAGCCTATTGGCAGGTGGTGCCCTGGGCACTGGCAACTCATGCTACGTCACTGGTGACAGCAAATGATTGGCTCTATAGTTATCCTATTACAGTGGTACCTTGGGTTACATATGCTTCAGGTTACATACACTTCAGGTTACAGATTCCGCTAACCCAGAAATATTCCCTCGGGTTAAGAACTTTGCTTCAGGATGAGAACAGAAATTGTGCTCTGGCGGCATGGCGACAGCGGGAGGCCCCATTAGCTAAAGTGGTGCTTCAGGTTAAGAACAGGTTCAGGTTAAGAACGGACCTCCGGAACGAATTAAGTACTTAACCTGAGGTACCACTGTACTATTTGCGGGCTCTGAGGCATCGGGATTGCGTTCTCAGTGCAAGGCCTTAACAGTGAATGAGAATATATTCTGTGGTTAGAATAAGGAGGCAAGAGTCGTTTTGTACAAGATGAGCTCCAAAAGAGTATTTTCTCGTGTCTGAGTGTGTGCATGTTTACACTAATGTTAAAAGAGCAGAGCCAAGACAGCTAAAGGAGTGTCAATGTTCAGACAAACTGTTTAAAGGGTGGAGCACCTTAAATGAGAGAGAAGTAGATTTCATGGCCAATTTTGACAGTAAAACTTTTGAAACTGCTCTCCTACTGAGGTCTATCACTTGCGCTGAATTTTCAAACTTTCACAACAGTGAATCCTTCAGCTGGATTAAACACTGCCCTGCTTATACTGCCAATTTAAATATCGTAGGCATTCTACCTTCAAAAGATTTTGAACGGAGTAGCTAGCATTGCTGCAGTGAGGCTTTGGGAAGCAGGCAATAGGTTTTATCGCTACAATTTTCTGCAATACTGGAAGCGGGAGTGCATGGTTACTGTCCAAACGAACGGTGCTTTCCTGCACTGCCTCAATGGTGTGGAGGCTGGAATAGCATGGGCTCATTCAGTGACAACCTGCCAACATCACACCATGGCCCCACTTCCCAAGAAGGGATGGAAAGGAGCTGTATCTTTGACTCCATTTACGTGGCCTAGTTCTGCTGACATTGCTGGAGCCTTGTGGGAGGAGCACACACTGCTAAAGTAACACTTAAAGGATCCTTTAGATCTTACTGTGTAGAATGTAGCAGCTGCTCTAGCCTTGCCCACAAAAGTAATGTCTGTTGAGAGTATTCACATGGATCATATAGATCACTTGCCCTCATGGAGTGAAAACCCTGTTGTGAGACGTAACCATCTCTCTGACTTGACCCAAATGGTTCCTCTTTATAGATGTTACTATGAGGCTAGGGATGGATGGATGATCAACCTATGTCAGTTTTGTGCCAGTTACACTAACACTAGGCCAAGGTCTGCTCCCTTCCATTTTTATGGATATTGCAAAGACTGCACACAAAAAAATACCTGCATGTAAATCGCATGCACTCCTTCCATCAAATGTGCATTTTTTCCCCATTGTACCACAACCCTTTAAATGTATTTCCTCCTAAAATATGTATCCTCTCTTTTCGTCGTTGTTGAAGATGCATATTTTTGTACTTTTGGGACCAAAGCTGCAACACAAAATTCAGAGAAGTGCATAATCTAATGGATAGGTTGCATTCCCAGCTGTCAGGAAGCTTGGGGATCTCAAATCTGGCAGCAAAAAGCAGCTCAAACCAATTCCTCGCCCACCCCCAGTTAGGCTACAGGGAAGCAACTTCTGTGTGGCACTTCACAATGCACGAGTGGGGCCCAAGTAGAAATCAGTAGATTACCCTTCCCATTAAAATAGCCAGGCTTACCCGTTGCCTTAGCAAACCCCAAATGGTATTGCTTCAGTGAGGTCTGTTATGTGAATCTGGTGTGCATAATTCGAACAAAACACTTTTACTTGGATTCATACACAAATATTGGATTTCACACTGCTTATTACAAAAATACACTATCATGAGATTATACTGTAGACAAACGTGGACTCATGCATTCCATCTGACTTCTTTTTTCCACCAAAAAGATCAGCAAGTGTCACCACAGGAAACATACACCAAGGCCTGCACTATGTTAGCATTGTGGCAGCGGATGTGTTACATACAACACTATACAAATAGGACAGAAATGCTGTAATTTTTGAAGGATGGGAGTGTTTCTCTTCTCATCAGGCCACCTGGTGTCCTGCTGATTTACAACAGATTTGTCTCAGAAACGGACGGCACTGAAATGTTGATTGTATGTTAATAGGCAGAGATGGCATCGTAGCCAAATAAAATATATAAACGAAGGATGTGAGCCAGCTAAAGCTAAGCTCAGTTTTTAAAGTCTTACAGGTTCCAGTGGAAGAAAGCCGTGTGTGTACAGTGATACCTCAGGTTACATATGCTTCAGGTTACATACGCTTCAGGTTACAGACTCCACTAACCTAGAAATAGTACTTCAGGTTAAGAACTTTGTTTTAGGATGAGAACACAAATTGTGCTCCGGCGGCGCGGCGGCAGCAGGAGGCCCCATTAGCTAAAGTGGTGCTTCAGGTTAAGAACAGTTTCAGATTAAGAATGGACCTCTGGAACGAATTAAGTACTTAACCCGAGGTACCACTGTACTTGACACCCATGAGGTTTAAAAGCGCTTAGCTTTCGCATGCCAAGACCCCGTAACCCTGCAGCAATCCAGCAAAGGCAGGCAGAAGGAATGACCTCCAAGTCAGGCCTCAATTTATTCCCTGCCATTGGGAACAGGCCCGGCTGGTGCTGATTGGCCAACCAAACCTGCCAGGAGGAAGCCTGCCCAAGCCTACCAGGACCCAAACCAATGACTTCGATTTACAAGGAAGAAGATTCTGATTCGCCACCAAGAATAACTTTCTGACAGTGGAACGGACTCCCTCAGGAGGTTCTGGACTCTTCTTCCTTGAAGGTTTTAAAGCAGAGGTTGGGTGGCCATCAGCTATGGATGCTTTAGTCGAGATACCTGCATTGCAGGAGATTAGACTAGAAAATTCTCAGGGTCCCTTCCAACACTATGATGGTTCAGAGACCCTCTGGAATGGTGTTGGTTGTCATGTGGCAAAGGGGGCTGCAAGAAGAGGGAGAGATATTTGACACAAATCGAAGGTGGTGGTGTCAACCTTACTTACGAAAGAATGTGTTTCTTCTCCTGCTGAGCGCCTTGTGAGGCAAATACACTTCCGAGGAAGAACTTGAAACAACAAAACCCCAAAGTAATAACGAAAATAAGCTATTTCTAGAAGTGTTATACATTTACAGATTATTCTTTTAAGACTCCCAAGCAGCAGCTCCCAAACTTGATATTGCAAGATCTGACGTATTTTTAGACTGCTCTTTTATTTCACACAGAGCAGCTCTGAACTGTTTCAAGTCACCACCATGAGGGTCTTAGCTCTTTGGGGTTTTTTTTTGGGGGGGGGGGGGACAGCTGCTCTTTTGTACCTCGGACCCTTCCACTGACAAGCAAATTGCTGAGGTGAATAAGCAGAGGACTCCCAGAGTGCAGGACACTCAGAGAGAGACTTGTTTGGTCTTGACCTGTGGGACTGAGTCGGTGACACTTCTTCAGCTTAAAATATGAAATGTTAACATTATGCCACCTAGGGATGTAGGGGCCACTGCACACCTGACAGAGAGCAGGAGTGTATTCCTGAATTAGTGATTGTACACAAAACTGCGTGGCACAAGCAAAAGCAAGGCTATACAGAAAACATTTAAAGCAACAGAGAAAGCTTGAAAAGTAACAAGTTATCTCTTGGAACATTTATTAATCTATTAGCAGTATAGACTAGTTCCAGCATCTTTAGGTGACATTCCTGCCCCCGCCCCCCAGAAGAGGTAGGAAAACTTCCAAAATAAAATGCAACATGTCAAAGCTCTCCCTGATTTAGATGCCTTCCAGATTTAATGAAATGTCACTAACACATTCCTAATCCCTAAAATTGCACATGAACTCAGAAGTGTAAAGTTGTGTGTCAGTGGGGGCTGCGACTGCATTTGACCACTGTGAAGATATATAGAGCTGTGAGACTGGTTTTCATTGCCACACGTGAGGTGGGAAGATAAAACCGCATCTGAGTTTTGTGTGTTAAGATGGCAGGTGGAGACTCGAATACGGAAAATACAGGAGAGGAAATCCTTCACATAAAAAACTGACATGTAAGGCAGACTCTTCCTAGCCTGGCCTGTTTCCTGACGTGCCAACTTTCAAGGTGTGTGTGGCGGGGTTATTATTATTATTTTGCGTGGAGGAGAATTCTGCTCCCCACCCACTCAGAAGTAGGTTTGCGTCCTTATATTGTGTTTGAGAAGTCTGGGCTTAGACACTATGGGATTTCAAAGGAAGGCCTTGGATGAAACAAGACTCTGAACATGCTTTGGGTTCTTAAGTCACGTCAAACAGCACATCAAACACACAGTCTCTTTCACTGCCCCAATACACACATGTGTGTGTGTGTGTGTGTGTTTCCTCCCCTTTGCCATCAGTCTCCAGATCCATCGTGGATGCCCCTGTTGAAGAGGTCGTCTTGCGAACTATGTTGCTCAATCCCTTCGTAATACGAGTTGCCGTTGTGGAGGAACGTCCCCACCGCACGACCTTGCCGTGCATGTCCCACGGCATCACTGAACACCTTGTTTATCTGTTCCTCAGAAGGCATCCACCAATCAGGGTTGGACGTGCAGTGCATCCTAATGAATTCTGCAGGAAAACGTGGAGTTAGCAACAGCGGCCCACTGGCACCATTAGCTCTCTCGCAAGCTGGGCAGTGGCATGCGGATGCATCGCATTCATACGCCGGGTATATATTCTTGGAGGCAATGCTAAGAGAGCCAACCCCATAGCTTTAACTCCCGCAACATGTGATCCTTTCTCCAGCTCCCATCAGGGGCTTCAACACACCGTGAGAATTAACACAGTTTGTACTGGACAGCTGCACAGTGTGGGTTTCCAAAAGCATTTCTGGGTTAGCAATTGAGGTGTTTGGGAGGGAAAGGAGTGATGGGATGCGTGGGATGTTAAGGAACAGCAGCAGGAACACAGGAAAAAGGGGTAGAAAACATCTGCATTGGAAACAAACCGTCTACTGACCAGGACAGTGCTGATTTCATACTAAATAAATTAAAATACTGCACGGAAAAGTGGACATTTCGATTCTGTAAAATTAACACAGGGAGAACACACTGGCATGACTTTTCTTATTTTGCACAACTTATTCACCAAGTCAAGCTATTCTGAACAATGTTGGGCAGAAGATTCCTGCATTGCAGAGGGTTGGGCCCTTGTGGTCCCTTTCCAACTCCACAATTCTGCGATCCTTGTTTTGCTGCTGATAGGGCATGTGGGATGGAGTTATGCAGGACTCCCAAGACAGAGTGCTTTCTTTGCCATTTTAATTTTATGCTCCTTTGGATATTTTTTTCCCAGCTGTTACTCATAGCCATTGTACATACGCAACTGCAGTTTAATGAAGTTTTCAGAATTTTCAGTGACTCTTACTGTGAAATGCTTCAAGATGTTTTTTTAAATAATATGTTGTCCAGAAATTGAGTTAGAAAGAATGAAATTAACAAGAGCTGTAAAAGGGGGGGAAAGCCACACAGAGACGTAGCCTTCTACTCTGCCTGCACAAACTGGCAGGGCTTAGGAAAAGGTGGCTTTCTCCCTCTCCCTTCCCTGTAGGATTCCTTCGTGTTCTAGAAATATAATCTATGGCTAACAGCTTGGGCCCCATTAAAATTAAAACTCCTCCAACATAACAAAAAGCCTCAGTGAGCCATTCAGAGCAATAGGCATAATGCCAGTAGACATCCACTTCAAATGTTGGGTGCTTCCACACGGCACCCTCCTGTGGGGTTTGTGCTGAGCGAGATTTGCCCAGTGTCCATGCAATGCCCTCAGCAAAATGCTGCCCATTTAATACATCACCTTCCCATTTAATGTGGATTATTGTTTCCTGGGAAAATCTGAGATGTAAAAATAAAACTCGCAGAAAGAGTAAATCCAGATTAAATGGGACAGAGGGTGGGGTGGGGAATATGGGGTGGCATTTTGATGAAGACGATGTGCAGACACTGCGAAAAAAGGGGAAAAAATTGCATGCAGAAGCCATACCAAGTCTACTATCAGGGACTGTGTGGAAGCTCCCTTCAGCAGTGTCAAATGCTGGGTAGCCACCAAACCAACAGAGATGTGTTCGAAACTCTAAGTTATGTTTTGCCTAATTCTCCCACTTAATGCTTGCATGCTTTGACTGGTGAGGTATATATGCAATTTATGTGCAAAAAGGCTTGCCACCTGCATTTTTATTTAGTGTGCAATTGAGCACCCCAGTGCTGACATTTAAGGACGGTCTCGATCCAGCAAGGGATGGTTACCAGCATGCAGAAGCACACTCCCGTGCCTGTGTGCAGCCAGTGCAAGTTGTGCACCTAGATGCAGATCCACAAACCGGGCCCCACTGAAGCAGATGGATGCATCTTTCAAAGTGCATCCCATTCGGAGCCCAAGCTGCCACTGCACTCACATCTGCTGCTCCTCAAGCCTCTGAGGGACGATTCTGCTGCAATAACCCATGCAGCTCAGCAGGTGCTAATCTTCCTGAGCTGTTAACAGTGCTGCTTCAGGGCAAGCCAGCTCTCAAGCAAGCAGGAGCTTGACAGCTGCAGCAAGTGTGTCTGTCAGGCAACCGAGGTGACAGCAGTCACCTGAGGGAGGGCACACAAGGTGTCAGCCCTGCAAGGGATACCTGGGTCCTGCGAATGCCAGTCAAATGCCTAGTGCTAATAGCAGGCCTGCCAAAGCCACTAGTCCTTAGCGCTCGACTGGAGCCAGTGTGTTTGGCATTTGAAAAGTTCCATTCTGGTGCCTCTACATTTAGATGTCATAAAGGGGAGGTGGAAGAGAAAGAATGTTCTCTCTTCTGAAACGATCTGCTGCTTCACATGGCTATAGTGTGACACAAAAACAACACTGAAATAATCTTGCCGTTGCTCTTTGAAGGTAATAAAACCCATTACCGTATTGACTCGAGTCTAATGCGCATCTCTTTTTTTGCCAAATTAAGCTGCGAAAAATTGGGTGTGCATTAGATTCAATGGCAGAATTAGACTCAGGTAAATACGTACCTCACTGCGAGCTCATGCTAGCTGGCCATGAGGTGCAGGTTCTGTCCCACATCTCCATTGAGGGGTGAGCAGCTGCAAGCCTCAATGGAGCAGTTTAAAAGCTAGCGAGAAGACATGCAAGATCCTTGCAGAGGAAGCACGTTACATCCGCCAGCAAATACTTTTTGTTGTTGTTTCAAGGTTCTGAATATTGAGGTGCGCATTAGATTCGATGGCGCATTAGACTCGAGTAAATACAGTACGTCCTGACCTGTCAAGAGAGATCTATGGGTGGAAGCACATTGACACATGAGCAGTTGCTGCAGAGAAACCTCTGCAAGGGCGTCATCTATGCCAGTCATCCATCTCTCCCTGGTATTGCTGGTTGCATCTTTTGCTAGTTGTTGTGTACAGTGAGTTGTATGCAGCCACGGCTAGACTGTGGCCATAAGACCAGGATATCGTCTGTTCCATTCCGTTACAGATGGTTTCCATATCTCATTAAAAATGGACTTCGGAAACAATTCTATCTCTTATTCTGAAGACAGTGTATTGATTTCAATGAAGAACCACATTTCATTCAATCAAGGATTGAAGAAGGGACAAGAAAAGCCTCCTGAATTTTTTTCAAACAGTGAATCCAAGTAATTAGATTTAAATGTGTAGATTAATCAACCTGAATCTATTTTATAATCAAGTTTAATTTAAAGTCTGATTAAAGTTTTAGTTGATTTGAATAGGCAGGGTCAATTATAAGCAACTGGATTGCATTTTGATGAGAGGGGCTTGGGTAAGAACACTCTTTTTGCTATGGAGGCTGTTTTAATTTTGGCTTCCTACGATGTTGGAGAATGAAAAAGAAAATATTAAAGATGGCCTTGTCATCTAATGAGCAGCTGCTTGGACTTATTACATAGTAAATTAGTGCAGGAAATGCTAATTATCTCCAAAAGAGGACCTCTTTTGAGGTTTTGGCGGCGGGAGAGGGGGAAGAATGCTTCTCAATGCTGCTCAAACTTTCTATATTTATGAACACTTTGCATTGTCTACTGAGGAACCCTTTAGCAGGCTACAGTAAATTCTGGGGCATATTCTTGTCTAGGGCACATGCTCTGTTCACATGAGGCCAGTTGGGACCTCATTGTCACCTAGCAACAACTGAGCGCGCTTCCTTGAAAACATCTTCACATCTGTGCACTGCAGGTGAAAATGGGTGGTGGTGAGGAAGAGCGGAGGAGGAGTAGGAAGAGGCAGTCTTCTAGAGACACTTACCAACCTGTGCTAATTGTCTTAGTGAAGAACCCTTGAGTTCCCCAGACCACAGTCTGAAAACTGCTGGATAAACTGATTAGACAGGTAAGTGATCAGTCAACCCATCTCCCATCGATTAATGGCGGAACCTAAGCCCCATGAACCCCATGTTTACAGGAAGCTCCCTGTTCCTTCTAGACCAGACATCTCCAACCTGGTGCTCCCCAGGGGTTTTGGACTACAACTCCAGTCATTCCAACCAAAACAGGTATCCTGGCTGGGGCTGATGCAGTTGTTGTCCAAAGGATTTGGAAGGCACCGGGCCACATGAGAGAACAGGAAGCTAAGCCTTCTTGCCTAAAAGCCCAAAGCCAATGCGGTGAAATGGAGATTGCATATGGTGGACACCGAGTGAGAAGATGTAGTACCTCTGAGACATGTTACTTTTACTGGATCCAGAGGGCGTCTTTCAGGACCAGTGTCTCCTGACTGCACTGACCTTTTCCTTTTCCCAAGGCCGCACGAGTACTTAAGCTCATCGGTGGTGAAGACAAATCGGATGAGGTATCGAAGGAGCCTCCGTCCATCTTTCTTTGAGGAGTTCACTGCCTCGTCCCACTGTTTGCTAGTGATGTAGACGGGATAGTTGTTAAGCAACTGTTTGCTCCCCTAAAAAAATAAGAGAGAGAGAGAGAGCAGAACAGTTTCCTGGTTTTTCAGCAGGCTAACAGGCAGAGAAGATGAAGTCAGTTGCCAAATAAAATAAAACAGAAATTAGGCAGCTGTGAAATGCTGACAGTGAAAACATAGGCTGACGGGAACAAGGACTTGCTCATACTGAGAATGAGCATTAAAAAAAATAAGAAATCATTTGCATTTTCTATAACAAGAACCAGTGAGGTATAATGAACACCTTGAGAGGAAAGAAGCTATTTATAATGTACTTTCGCAGGTAGGTTAAAAAGTGTCAAGATCCAGTGATTGGGAAAGCTATTTAAATATAATTTTCTTTCTTCATCTATTAGAATGTGCAAAAATGTCTTTTGAAGAGTGTGATCAAACAGGCCTTTCAATGGCAGCTGATGGATAGCTACTTCAGACGCTACTTTTTATAATAATTCCATTTACATAATTAACGTATTACCTTTTGTTTAACACCCTTAGAACCTGACAGCAGTTAAGTTGCAGGGGAAACTCTAAAGCAAATAAACAAAAGTTACAAACCCTCAGTTCCCAGAGCTGCATGACTATTAATGAATTCTACGTAAAGGCAGATGACAGCTCTGTGGGGTGGACAATTCGCCCCACAAAATCTCTTGGTTGCCATTTGCTTAGCATGCCCAGCTAAGGAGGCCCATGAGCAGGCATTCACCCTAATAGAAACATCTGGGGTTCTGTGGAAACTTCAGGTGGGGTTCCTCCATGAGACGATCGGTACAATGGCTTGCACTCAACCGCCAAATATTTTCCTGCAACCCACAGTTACTAGGATGTGCTATGAATATGTTATTGGACACACTCTTAGGGAACAGTTGAAGAGAAGCAGCAGTGAGGTCCACCAAGCCTGGCTCAAACAGCCTGTGTGACTCAGAACGCAGCTCAGAATCCTCAGCAGCAGGTTAAGGGTCCATGCTGGACACGAACTAGTTCCTCAGCAGACAAGTCAAAGCAGAGAAGGTTCCATGTAGAAAGCAAATATACAAAGCCAAGGGGTGTTGGGCCCCCATGAACTACCCTGGACCTTGGCCTCCCTTTCTTAAACACAACAAGGTAAATCCTGACACACACTAATGATTCAGGGTAACGCTTAACTGCAAGTGGACCATGCGGCTGTGGAGAAATAGTTATCTCCTGAAGCTCTGGTGTGGGTCTAACTGTAGGTGAGGGACACTGGAGGGAGAACAGGATATTCCAAGCACCTGGAACAAAGTTTCACTCATTTCAAAGGAGCTGAATTGGGTGGCATTTCGAGTCTTATTGGGAGTTTTGTTTCCTGTACAAAGCAAGTGATGAATAGGTGGGCTTTGGGCACTGGAGTTGGAGGCACTAAGATTATGTTACTGTGGATCTCGTATAACCTGCACATTTCTTCCTACACTCCCATACAAAGCTGTTCAACCTATATATTTGTAAAGTGTAAACCAATACCATCTCATGTGGCAAACATGTAGTCTGATCCTAAGGATGCCTGATCGGTAGCAAGACCCACAGAGTTGAATGGGACTTGCTCCTAGGTAAGCAAGATGTCTAGAATTGTCGCTTTGTATTTCGCGATTTGGGAAGGGGAAAGTGTGTGAAACATTGATGTTTGCTTAACTTTTTCATGTAATGAGTATGCAGCAAATTGCCCTCCTGGTCAGCACAAGATTTAGGTCACTTCGCCTGTGGACATTTAAGCTTCAACATGTAATGTAAAACCCTATGTCCATATGGCTTTTGGGGGAGGGGTGTTCAGATCTCACCGCTTTTTTTTCTCGGAGAGGATATTAAAGTTGACCTAATTACAAATGGCGCTACTCAAATATCTCCCTCTTTTAACATTCCCACCCCTCAATTATTGTTGAGTGTGTGCACAGTGATCTAATTACAACTTGCTGCACAGCACTCTAGACTTAATGGCACTGATTTCTGTAAGTGGTGTGTTTCTGGACACAATAACCCTTTGTGAAAAGTATGCTGTGTTTTGGCAGAAATTCATGTGATATAGTTAACCAACTGAACAAAGCACATTTTAACCTCTGTACCAGCATATGATGCTATCTATCCATAGAGCCAGACAGAGACTTACAAAACAGAATGAAAAACCTTCTAACACAATGTTATGTGGAAATGTGTAAAAAAAGGCAATGTTCAGTTATGTGCCTCAGAGAGGCCTCACCTACACTGTCAATTTACAGTGCTTACGTATATATTTTGGCAACTGTCACAGCTTCCTCTAAAAAAATCATGTGAACTGAAGTTCGGTTAATGTTGAGTGTTTGCTGCTGCAGATCCCCAAGAAATGCCTCACCTAATTACAATTCCCTACAAAGAGGGAATCGCTGTTAAATTAGCCTACAGAGAGGGCATGGACCAAAGGCTGCAATTGTTCACCACAACACAGCAATGGAAGATGTTTAGCTAGTGCTACCATGCTAGATGTCTCCCATAGCTGCAGTGAAAAGGGCTCATTTCTGTAGGACCATCTCAAATGATGAATTCAGCCAATGGCAAAAGCACATCATCAGCTAATCCTATGTGGAGAGAAGTCCGGATGACAGCTGAAATGGTCACATCAAACTTGTAGTTCACACATGGACTGGGCATGTAAGTTTTACAGGTACAGTCAAACTTCGGTTTCCAAATATCTCAGCTGCCGAAAGTTTTGGAAGCCGAATGCCGAAAACCCAGGAGAGAACGGCTTCCGAGGCGCGTTTCTCATTTCCCCCCCCCCATTGACTTTGCAGCCAGCCCTTTGATCCTCGGTTTCAGAAGTCAAACGGACTTCCGGAACGGATTGCGTTTGAAAACCGAGGTTCCACTGTAACAGGGAGTAAGTCTCAAGTTTCTAACGCTTGTCCACTGTATGTATAACCTTTAACATCAGTTGGGGCCTATTACACAATAATGTCCACAATGAGATGTTATCATTCGTGTTAAAGTTTATAATGTTTGATGTTTTATTGTGCTTTTAATTCTGTTGGGAAACCCAGCCAGATGGGCGGGGTATAAATAAATAATTTTTTTTTAATTATTATTATTATTATAGGCCTGGTGGAGGAAGGACATGTAAACGGCAAATCTTGCACCAGGGTGTGTATTATCAATGTACCTAGGCTGAGAGTGAATGGTTCTCAGTGTCTTGTAAATTTAGTAATGCACTGCAGAAGATAAACGAGAGTTTTGCTGTTACACATTTTTTTTTAAAAAGTAAAAGGCATATTCATTCAGCATTGAATTATTTCCCTGTGCACACTTGCCCACTGAAGTAGCCAGGCTCCAGGCACTTCTTATCACCCCTGTACAGTACCTCTGCTGGCTGCTCTGCTGGCTGAGGAATCATAAGCTGATTGTGATGCTGAAGAACAGCCTTCAAGTAATCTAAAACAGTCTGGCAGGGCACTGTAGGAAAAACAGGGGAAGTGAGTGTACATCAGCTGCTTATTATTAAAAAGGCAAACATATCAGCGAGTCAAACACCATTTCAGAAAATCCCCAGAACAGTTTTGTTTACTCTTCCTTCCTGAGGTTTGCTCCTTTGTGATGTGCGAAGAAACCCTCAGCAGGACAGCTCTCCCCAACCCCTCCCGGGATTGTTGCAAGACTAAAGAAATGCCTCCTTTGGAAGAAAGGTGGGGTAAATATTGGACAGAAATGTAAAATACAGGAAGGGCGAGAAGGGAGAAGAGAATACAGAGACCCTTAAAAAGAGTCAGAGATGTCATGGGAGGAAATGTGGATCAAGCATGGGGAAGTTGCTTGCAGCCAGCCATACTGTGCATGATTTTGATGGGCTCACCCATGTGTCAATCACAAGGCCACCTCCCCCACCTCTCATAGCAGCCCCTAGATCTCCAGCATGAAGCATGCCTCTTAATTTCCATCATTTGGGGTGGATATGGACAGAGCAGTTACACCTAGCAAGACCCTTCAAGCTACATGCAATTTAGTAGATGGGCATGTCACTAAGTACAGGTGGGTGAGGAAAGCCCATGCCAAATAGCACTGAGTGAGCAGTTCAGGGCAGGCTATTCATGCCAGCTGCCAGCAGGAGTACCCAAACACGGCAAGCAAGAAAGGGAACGGATAATGAATGCACCAGTAGGAACTCTAATAACGTAAGACGATGTTTGAAGCAGGAGTAGGGAGAAGCAAAGGGGAAATGTGAATGGCAAGCGGGGTGGATAGAGTTACATCACTGCACGTCCAATTTAGCAGGGTCAGTCCATTGCTCAGTCTAGCTCAATAGACTGGTTGGCAGTGGCTCTCCAGGGCTGCAGGCAAGGGTCTTCTAGAACAATGGTGGGAGAGTGAGAGAGGGCAGAAGGCTACAAAATGCTACCTGGCCACTGACACCTTTTCTCATTAAATAGGGGTCTTGAGATGCTGATTCTAAAGGATGAGAGTTATCAGAGCATTGTCTATATTGGGATGGCCAATGCAACCAGGGGTGATGGGAATTGGGAGTCTGACACCACCACCCTTAGTCTATGTTAAGTCATCTGAGGACACAGGTTATGCTAACTAAATGTGCTGGAGTATACTTACGCCTGTCTCACTGGAATTTGTAGGAGGCTAAAGGAAACTAGCTAAGTAAAGGTTTCCAAAGGGTGGGTGCTACTCAAAGAGGCGCTGCCATCCAATTTGAGAAGGAGGGAACAGCCCTCTGGACTTGAAAAAAAATAGATATTCCTAGCCAACCTTTCTGTTGAACTATAGTACTGATAGTATATTAACCCATTTATTTAATCATGAAGGATGACGTTTTTCAGGACGGAACACTTTATGTTGGTTGCACTACTGCAAAGTGACAAGTAACAATATCCTGACACGAAACATGTTTATTTGGAACTATGCCTCTGCATTCTGGTACATCAAACATCCATGGTGGCCTTGACCCTTAAACCAAACAGCACAAACTGATGTTAACAGGATTTATAGATGGTAGCCATTGGGCCTTGCACCTTATATATCTACAGCACTAGATGTCTCAAATGGTTCGGTTAGGATTACCTGGAATGCTCTCCAGCTTCCGTCGGAGTTCCTCGTTTTCTTGTTGCAATGAAATTACCTCCTGCTCCAGCTCTTGGCAACGAGGACAGTAGCCTTCCTCTTCCTCCTCCTCCTCCTCTGGAAGCGTGGAAGAGGATGGGTGGCCATGGGACTCGGAGGTTGCTGGGGATGTCCATCCACCCAACGTGTGCACTGGAGAGGTTGAAAGTGGATCCACGTCGGCCAAATGGCCAAAATCACTCAACGAGGAAGCATTCTGAGATGGAAAGCTTCCAGAAAGCAAATAGTTTTGAAGGGAATCAGTAAAGACTCTCAGAAAAGCAGAGGTTTGCTGCTTCTTGTGCATGTACTGTAGCTCTAGGTCCAAGTTGTCTGACGCTTGGCTATGGACCATTTTCCCAATCTGGCACTGCTCTGGTCTTTCACTAAAGCTCAGGCTCTCCTGCTTAACACAGGAAACCAAAGACTGAGTGCGGCTGTTGTCCAGAAGTTTCCCACCACAGTTTAAAAGACTAAGAACCCGGCTGCACTGCTGGGCAAAGGCATCCAGAATCATACGGCTCTCTGAAACAGAAGAGGAGACAAATCACAGAAACCCAAAGTAGAGACAGTCTAGTTGGCTAGCTGGATAGAATGAGGAAGTAAAGGTAAAGATAAAGGGACCCCTGACCATTAGGTCCAGTCATGGACGACTCTGGGGTTGTGGCGCTCATCTCGCTTTATTGGCCGAGGGAGCCAGCATACAGCTTCCGGGTCATGTGGCCAGCATGACTAAGCTGCTTCTGGCGAACCAGAGCAGCACACGGAAACGCCGTTTACCTCCCCGCCGGAGCAGTACCTATTTATCTACTTGCACTTTGACGTGCTTTCGAACTGCTAGGTTGGCAGGAGCTGGGACAGAGCAACGGGAGCTCACCCCATTCGCAGGGATTCGAACTGCTGACCTTCTGATTGGCAAGTCCTAGGCTCTGTGGTTTAACCCACAGTGCCATCTGCGTCCCGAATGAGGAAGTAGATTACAGCAAAAATCCAGAATATATTATGGATGAAAACAGCAAGACAACATCACACAAACACATTAAATTCACCAAGGTCCTGCATCATCATCATCATCATTACTGCCTCTCTGCACATGAACCAACCCAGGCCCTGTGTTTGGCACCCAAGGCCCTCCTATTTGTGCCCCTTCTGAAGGAGGTGCAGATGATGGCAACTGAGAACAGGCCTTTTAAGTGGTGCCTCCCCATTTATGGAGTGCTCTCCCCAGGGAGCTATGCTTGGAGCCATCACTATCTACTTTCAGGTGCTAAACAAACACATTTTTCTCTAACCAGGAAACTGGCCCTTAATTTGAAGCATTTTAGATATTTGTGGCCCCTTTCAGTTATACCTGCCTTTTATATGCATGGATGTGTTCTTGGCATCCCTCACTCCCCAAATACTTGATGAGGAGAGGTCTGAAGCCTGCTTTCTAAAGGTAGGAAAAAAGCCAAGCAGGTCTCTTATGGGGTGGGAGAGGGGGGACACATGCCATCTGCAATGCTTTGGTGCAGGAGGACAATCTTAACTTTCAGTAGGGGACATGTGTGTGCAGAACATCCATATGACTGGTGTATAGCATCATCGGCATGTTGGAGAGGAATAATGGAACTTTAAAGACATTATCTCAGCCCATGTGGAAGCTGCTTCTCCATGACAAGATCCTGTGTGGCAGAGAAGACTCTTAAATAAGTCAGCCACACAAGTAGGGCTGATCACATAGTTCTTTTGGATAAGTAGTTCTCACTTGGCTGGGGAAAGTATCTAAAGAACATTCCAAAGAGCCAGAGTGATGTGTTGCACAACATGATGGCTTTGGGCTGGGAAGGCTTGGGTTCAAATCCCTGCTTTGGCCATGAAGCTCAACAGGTGGCCTTGGGCAAGCCCCTATGACTCAACCTCATTAACTTGTTTGCCGCAACAATCACAAGCAAAATAAGGTTATGCACACCCTATATGAAGAAAAAGGAGAGGACACAGATGCGGTAGACAGAAGCATATGAGAGAGGGAACTGTCCCCCAAGCGGCAGCCCTGCATGAACATTCAACACATTTCATGCATGCCCTGATCCCCTTGCTGACAATCAGTGTGGTGATGGTAAATTTTGGCTCGCACCAGCACTTGTTCAGAGGGACCACGGACCAAAGGTGGAGGATACCCAACTGCAAAAATGCCATTTTCAATTCCATTTTACTGAACAAATGGAGGTAAGTGTTGTTAGTCTTCCACTCGGATGCAGAACTCTGTAGATCTCACACATCTGCAGCAGTCTAGTCTACAGACATCTGATGAAAACTTCCATAGGGAGACATACACCTGCAGGGTAAACAATATGACTAATGGCTAGTTTGTCCCCCTTTCAACCAGTCATTCCTCCAGGCTGCCTTTCCTTCATAACCAACCCCACCCCATGTGAATGTAATGTCTACTTTGGCCCAGGTACCCATCCAGATGTAAGACACTGCAGGACCATGGAGAGCTCCCAGGAACTGCAGAAACTCTATTCCTTATTCTAGCCCTGATGGATTCTAAAGCTCTAAGGCCACCACCCAGCATGCTGTCATTTTAGACTCTGGAATGTGTCCAGGGGTGCCAACAGATTTTAAGAGTCCAATACATTGTATGTAGCTTAGACCCTCCAACCCACTCACCAAAGAGGACACAGATTTGCATAACATTCACATTTGCTCTGCGTCATATGCAAATATGTGTCCTTTTTTTGCAGGTGGTTTGGAGGACCCAAAAATAAAATAAGTTGTTTCACACATAATAAAATGTCTGACAGACAGAATGTGAACAAATGAAACTTTCCAAGCTCAGCCTATTGAATTTCTGCCTGCCACACCGTTGTGAAAGGCAGATGAACCCTGCTTTCCCTCAATGCCAACCCTAAACCAAAGCCCACCTGACAACAGACAACTCTAAACCCATCCTGGACACATTTGGTGGAAGGAAGCTTCCACAGGAGTCACACAGCTCTAGAGAATGAGAAAACAGGAAACAAAAAACTAACGAGAGACTCCTGCTAACATCATGATCAGATGATAAAAGAATAATGAAAATGTAAATATCAGTATCAGCCTCAATATAAGGTTGCCTTCCCTCATTATTCACTCACTCCATTTCTCTTTTGAAAAATATCAAAGGAAGATATTGATTGGAACTTTGTAATTCAAATACACAGCAGTTTTTCATCCGTTTTAATCCTATAATCAGATTCTAGACCTGAAGCTGTATTTACTGTGCGCATTTTAATCAGGATGATCCCAAGTTCTCAGAAGTTCTCTGCCTTTTGTATCTCCCCTGCACCTCCTCCATCCACAGAAGAAGAAACATATGAATGGAGACTTCAAATTACATTATATATGCTGCGTTAAATATTATGATTTCCCCTAGATTGTAGGCATGATCTACTTTTGATGCCGCAAATTTAAATGTAAATGACTTATCACATTTTAAAATCAGGAAAAGATAAATTTATAGATATGGTAAAAGGTAAAGGTAAATGACCCCTGGAAGGTTAAGTCCAGTCAAAGGCAACTATGAAGTGCGGAGCTCATCTCGCTTCAGGGCGAGGGAGCCGGCGTTTGTCCACAGACAGCTTTCCGGGTAGATATAGCACCAAATGAGTAAGGAAGCTGTAGCTGTCCTGAGTCTCTTTTATTTTTTACATATTGCAAAAATGATACCACTTATAGTATCAGACTATGCTGGGTATGTTCCAACCAATAGCTTCAACCAGGGATGACCAACATGGGACTCTCTAGACACTGTTGGGCTCCAAGGGTGTTTCCAGTCTCTTCCTATTTTCAGCTGGGATTCAGTCACATTTTGGCAAATTCAAGCTGTGCCATTATAGTTGACTGGAGGTTCTGCACAAACAACATGTTTCCCCGTAAGATCAGGCTTTCTTTGATAAGGAAATGATGGGAAAACACACTGAACAGTGTTGGTGGCACTTGTTTTGACACAAGACCATCTAACCTCCAGACAAACGAATCAGAATAAATGCTCATGAAATAAGCGATGCTGTCAAACCTTTCTGCAGAGTCACCAGGGTGGATGTGCAATAAACAGGGCATCTGGAAGAACCCAACTCTCACCAGCTCCACTCATCATGGTAAATGATTGGGGATGATGGGAGGTGAGATCCAGCAACATCTGGAAGTAACCATGTTGGCTGACCCAGCTCCAATTGTTGCAAATCTTAAAACCCATGTGCATCTCTAGCTATACATTTTGCAGTGGTAGATGGACCTAATGGGCATAAGTCACGGTAAAAGAGCAAGCATGAGCACGCACACACACATATATTTATATGCAGCTTGATCTATTTACATTCATTAGCCAGACAATGCATGTTTATTTCTTATGAAGCAACCGAGTGGAATATCTGCATGTTTTCTTTTGTAAGAGGGCTAGTAAGAGATTTTATTTGAAGAAAATTGACCAAAGGAACCCAGAACATTTCCCTAAGTGTCATATCCTCACAGGTCCTGGGGTGATATTCTTAGGAACAATTGTTTATAGCAAGACTCTTAAATCATGTACCAGTGCATCTTCTCTGAAAACTGCAGGTGCCCAAACAAAATTACAGCTTGTGGTGGGGAACCTTTTTGTCCTACTGTAGGAATGGCACCAGCTGGTACAATGAAGGAAACAAGGCGGAACTTAAAACAGTCTTGGGTAGTTTCAGCAACATTTTACATACCAAAATCCCTCAGATCTTAGCCTCAACTGGATGCTGGATAACAGTTCCAAATCCAGTGCTATTAACAACTGTGTGGGTGTAAAGGTTCACAAAGAGAACATAAAGAGGCATGGTGTTTATTTACGTGCTTGGGTGCACTGTTCTGATTCAAAAGGATTATCTTGCCAAAACTAAAACTGTAAAATGAAGACTGAATGTTCACGTAGGAGAAACCTACAGAGCAGAAGGTTTGAGAGTTAGCCTTTCACTTACTGAAGAGGCATTTTGCAACCCTGCTCAAAACGTGCAGAAAAAAGGCACATTCCTCCTTGAACTGAAAATTTTAACAAATCAAAGAAAAACTACTTGCACATGGAAAGTTAATACATCAAGCAAGGCTAAAACCCTTTCACCCAACTCACTAGCCTTCCACATGCAGGGAAGTGGCATTTTGTTTTTAAACCCCGGGGGGCTTTCAAAGAGGCAATCCTTGCCTTGATCGTGGTTGGAAGTCCTACAGGTCAACTCAACACCTCATGAAAATAGTCTCTTCCTGATGTCATGAAACAAATAAGCTCAAGGTGGCTTTGCATGTGAAGGCAAAGCAAGCTGGAGATTCACACTTCCTCCTTTTGAGCCTCGGGGGTCATGTGCAAATGGTGAACTTGTGAGTTTCTCATGTAGTACAGTGCTCAAGATATGGAGACAACTCACAGAGCTTACAGCAGAGAATGTGTACGTATTCCCCTCCATATGTTGCTTCAGAAGAACAAAAGGCAGTCTTGTGCTGAGCAAGAGGGAACCCCAGCTGATGAAGTATCTCAGCCCCAATGACAAAGCATGAAGGTATGTGTGAGTTCAGCAGAAGGGTAAGGAGGAAAAGGGGAAATCATTCTTCCTCCCTCTTATTTGACCTAAGAGTTCTGAAGTACTGGAAGCAGTATGCCTCTGTGCACCAGCTGCTAGGAATAACAAGGGGGAAGAGTGTGGTTGCGCTGAGGTAGGTCCTGCTTGAGGGCTTTCTATAGGCATCTGGTTGCCACTGTGAGAACAAGATGCTGGACTAGATGGGGCTTTGGTCTGATCTTTTTATGCTCTTAACATGCAGAGCTGATCTCGGACTTTAAAGGTAAAAGTAAAGGTAAAGGGACCCCTGACCATTAGGTCCAGTCGTGACCGACTCTGGGGTTGCGGCGCTCCTCTCGCTTTATTGGCCAAGGGAGCCGGTGTACAGCTTCCGGGTCATGTGGCCAGCATGACTAAGCCGCTTCTGGCGAACCAGAGCAGCACACGGAAACGCCGTTTACCTTCCCGCCGGAGCGGTTCCTATTTATCTACTTGCACTTTGACGTGCTTTCGAACTGCTAGGTTGACAGAAGGGACCGAGCAACGGGAGCTCACCCCGTCGTGGGGATTCGAACCGCCGACCTTCTGATCGGCAAGACCTAGGCTCTGTGGTTTAACCCACAGTGCCACCCGCGTCCCAACATCTCAGACTTGACACCTGGCTAACTAGCAATAGGGAGAAGTGCAGCTACTCTTAGCTTTTTCAACATACATGCTTATTTTACATGGCGTTAGTTGGTGGCAAAGGTGTGGATCTGACTTCAGATGCCACTACAGCCCTGTTAACTAGGCAACTGCAGAAGCTGTCATAAAAGACAGATGGTGTGATACAACCATGTGTCCAATGAACATTCTGGTATGGTAACAGTACTAACTTAGGGTTGAGGCAGAGGCGATATTTGTCATGTGGTTTGCCATTTCTGTGGTTTAACAAATAGCCAGAAAGAGGTTGGGTAGGAGAGATCAAGCCAGATCAGGACCACGGAGAGAGAAAGGCTTTAACCCAGTGTCTCAACTGGAATTACCTTGCATGCTTGCAGTTTGCAATGAGAGGAAAGTTCCCATTGGTACCATATTGCAAACATGCAGGGGGATTCGAACTAGAACCCCAATCTCCTGGTCCCAATCCAACCTGGCACCCCACAAAAGGAAACATGAGATGACTACAGTCACAGGGATTGTCTTTCAAGAGGCTGCTTTGGGTTTATATAGCTCATGAGTTGTACACTTCTAGCAATACCCCTCTAGAATTTCATGTGGCAGTCTCTTGTTGGGAGATTCCAGGGATTGAATCTGGGATCTTTGGCATATGAAACAAGTACCTTTGCCACTGCCCTCCCTGCCCTGCCCACTTCTAGGTAAGCAGCAGCAAGGCCCTTATTAGGAGGGTGGATCTATGCCTATATGGGCCACTTTTGAAACTGACTCAGCATCTCATACGAGCTTTTGGCCATCGGCCACTGGAAAGACAGGAAACAAATAGTACAGCAAACAGCATATAAAGTAAAACATGCAACCCAGCTATAATGCAAGATGAACAAACTGGAATAAAAATCACTGGGTGATGGGGTGGCTTAGTGTCATTCGTTAAGACAGGCCTGTAACGTTAAACCATATTTTGTGCAACAGCTCTGTGGAATGTTTGAACAGGGTGCACACACCCTAAAAACTAACGTTGTTGTTGTTTAGTCGTTTAGTCGTGTCTGACTCTTCGTGACCCCATGGACCAGAGCACGCCAGGCACTTCTGTCTTCATGCACAAGTCCAAATCGTGCCATCAGTTCTCTTCCCTCCTCCCTTCAAAAATATTTTTGAATCTACCTTGTGATTTGGCCTTGCGTGCATTGGATTTTGTGCAGGCAGACCCTGTGCAAACATTACAGTGACATGGGCTGTTCTGGAGGTGCTGGAGATAGGACAAAAGTGGGAATGACAGAAGGGGCAATCTCTGCCTCTCACCATGCATACAAGGAAGGTAGGGGAGAGCAACTTCTGAAACGCACACTAATCCATCACCTGAAAAAATCACAAGGTATCCCTGCTTCAGCTCCAAAACCAAGCTCTCCCTATTCTTCAGGTCTGTGTAACTACTCTCCCTGTGGGTTGATTTTCTGGTGCCAGCAATGGTTTTATATAATTAGGTAACTCTCTGCCTGAAGTGACTAAAATGTTTGCATTGTTAACAAGCCTCGTTTTGTATACAAGTCATTCTTCTTTGAAAAACAATCCTGCAATGCTGAAACATCTGTGTCCCTTCAGAGACACACACACACACACACTGAAAATTTTTAACAGCAGTTGTACAAAAGTGAAAAATCATAACAGCAGCTTCAATATTCAGCTGGTGTGCTGCTGTTTTGCTGCTACTTTCCACAGCAGCTCTGCATATCTCTTACCTAAGCGTACCTTCCATTCTCTTAGACTAATAATGCAATGACATTCTGTATCCAATCATATTTACCAGACAGTTAAATGCCTTCTGAAGGGCATTCCAATTCTGCAAAGACAGCACTGGTGTTTTGATAATGAAACAATATTCTGATCCCTCCTTTCGACCCAGTCAATCTGAACTCCCTCGAGGACATGAAAAGCAGAATAGAAATAATTTACAAGTTTAGAAGACCTGTTTATTTAATGTACATGGGGGGATCTACACAGAAGATGTGACAGCGAATGCGGATATTCAGAAAGCTTTATTGGCAGGGCAGAAAGAATAATCACATTTTTAATCATTTACTTTTTCCATTCTGCAAATCAAAGAGATCTTCATGGGATCTGCAGGAACTGAAGAAAGCAATGAGCTATATGAACTTCATAACTGTTGAAAATGTTTGCAGCTTTTTGCAAAAATTATTGGGAACTGTAGCATTATGAAAGTGCAAAGAATGCTTGCCAATCACCCTTGAACTGTGATTCTGTTGGGAAAGAACGACTATTACACCAGTTTATATCTGTGGTGTAGATACTCCCTGCGAGAACAAGAGAGGAAATTGATAGGACTGTAAGCAACAGAATGGGTTACACACAGATCTCTGGAATGTGATGATGTGATGTGACACAGCTCTTTGAATTGCATGTCTTGGTCCTACCATGTGTAGAACACCCTGAGCAATCTAGGACGTTCTTCACAACACACACATACTGCACTCACATGAAGCACATGACTTCCGACGGTAAGAGCTGTTTGGCAGCGGAACAGACTCTCATGAGTGCTGGTAGCTTCTCCTTCCTTGGAAGCTTTCAAGCGGGGGTTGGATGGGAAAGGGTTTGGGGTACACCTGTGTAGCAGAGTGAGAGGTGGTCCCTCTCGCAGAGCAGTCTCACACCACAGGGCAATTTGTGCATGCACATGGGCAGGCAAATCACAGGAGTGCTTATTGTCAACCTCCCTTCCAGTCAGGCAGTGAAAAACTCCTCCATATTATTAGCCCCACCAAAATGGTTAGTTCCTTCACACAAATTCCCCAGGGGCATGCAAAGGAGGCCGCTCACAGCACATACAGCTTGCACACTAAGGGAGGGGCATCTGATGGGTGCAATGAATTTGAAGGAAGCAGCCCTTTAAAAAAAAACAAATGAAAAACCATTGCATTTGCTGGAAAAAGGCAAGCAGCCATCAAAGCGACCAAACCAGGCTTTCATACCCCCCACCCCCCCACTGCATTCTCCTATATAAATAAATAAGCAAAGGCTGTGTCAAAATGAACAGATGAGTTGAGATGCCCATTGCTATCAAAACCAGATGGTTGCCTCCCAGTATTCAGCCTGCTCAGTCAAACCCTGACTATTTTCTTGGACCCTCAGTATATAAAATGGGGATGCTGTTATTTGTGATGGCAAACAAAAGCAATCATGCCTGCCAAGCACATACTATAACAGTCAGCCTTTCAGCTCTGCTAGACAGAAAGTAATTAGAATGCTTTTAATGTCCAAAAGAATGATGCTGATAGGCTGCCACAGATGTGTAGATTTATGAATATTTATACGGTGGTTTATAGCTGACACTTTTATCAGTTGAAGAAGATAAAATATCTGCCTGACTCAAAAGCTTGACAGTCAGGTTAATAAAATCTCATTAAAGAGAATGACCTATGCAATTATATAGGATTTATTGTAATTCATTTTTGATTGTAGTCTGCTTAAAGATGCAATTTCCCATTTCCTGGTGCCAAATTTAGGCTGCATATCAAGAACTACGTGAGCTCTAACACCAAGCCATCAGTAGGAAAAGGAGAACAGAGAGAGGGATAGAGAGAGGGAGAGATGCATTTAACATCTTAGTAGGTTATACCTTGAGAGAGAGAAAATATTTTGATCTACATCTCAGTTAACACTCCCACACCAAGGCTCAATAAATTTATTTATATATATGTATATATTTTTTAAAAAATCAAAATCTACATGCACACATCTATTGGGGGGATTTTTTTAAACACTCTGTTTTCTGCTAACAGGCTGTATCTAGAGTCTGTACATTTTACAGAAAGCCAGTCACAGAAGAGTGAGCTGTCACTCCAATGGTCATTTGTGTCCTGTGTTTTTTCTCACCTCATTGGAGAAGCAGTGTGCCGCTCTCATCCAAAAGATCAGGTCACAAAAAAGCAATAATCTTGATCACAAAGCAGTGGCAATAAGAAATTTCTATCAAATGCTAACCCATTTTCAACAGAAAGGTTGAGGCAGGGCATGGAAAACTTTGTTCAGAGGCTGTCTTAGGTTGTTTTTTTTTAAATGTTTATCTAGCAAGAGTATCTACAACAGTTATTACAAAATGAAGGAAAAGTCCCCTTTGGGGGCAGAAGTCATATGTGCACAATGGAGACAAAAAGTAATATAAGAAGCCTATCGTATGAGCCTGTACTGTACACTTAGGCCATGTTGAGATTTTTGAAATGCAAGGGGTTGGATTACAGGACACTTGGGAATCGCTTCCAACTCTACAATTTTCTGATTCTATGACTATTCCTGTTGGTAGCATCTCTCTAAGGATTCAGGCTAAGCTCATCCCTATTTCCCAAGAACCGTTTAAGATCTATTACTATAATCGTTTACAAGAGCACAGCTTAGTTTCTCCTTTTGCCAGCTCCTCCCACACCTTGAACCCTTTGACCTTTTTTTTTTACATCCATATTTTAAGTTCTATCCTATTACTCACCTGAAGGTCAAATGCGCACCAGGGGAGTTAATTTGTTAAATAAGATCCAAAACAAGATATGCAAGCAAGCTTGTGTTTGTACTTTTGGTAACTGATGAGCATGTTTAGCCTGGAAAAGAGAAGATTAAGGCGGACACAGGATAGATGCTTTTAAATATCTTGAAGGGCTGCCATGTAGAAGGAGCAGACATAATCTGTCGCTCCTGAGGTGGGTTCAGACTGCAGGGAAGCAGAATCTGGCTGAACATGAGCAGAAACTTCCTAACGGCAAGAGCTATTTAACAGTGGAAGAGGCGACTTCAAGAGTAGGTTGTCCTTCTTGGGAAAAACTGAAGGAGACCCTGGACACCTGGATGCTGTAATTGCAAGATTCCACAAGACCAGACCTGATATGTATCAGAATGAGTGGGGAGGCGACTCCCAGGCATCAGAGTAGATCCTGGTAGAGGAAGCGAGATAAACTTGAATGGGGAAAAAAGCCCAGTCCTTCAGCTTTCCCCTGGTTGGCTCTCTATGGCAGTGCTTCTGAAAATGTGGATGGGTCCTCTTGGGGATGTGGAGAAGGTCCAAGACTCCTAGAAGGCAGGTGCAAATGGTTTTTTTGGGGGGGGGCGCACAGGGGGACATGGAAGGAGGAAGTCACACAACCAACAGAGAGACTTTTCTTGCTACCGCCCAGACTGCTTTGCTAACCATGGGAAGTAGCAGAGATGAGCAGGCATCAGATGAGGACTTCTGGCTTCCTTCTTCCTCTCCTGCCTCCTTTCCAGGCTGGTTTTTAGAGGGAATCGGAGGCCCAGCCTGAATACTATATGTTTAAGGCAGTATTATACCACTTTAAACAGCCATGGCTTCCTCCAAAGAATCCTGGGAACTGTAGTTTGACAAGGGTGCTGTTAGGAGTTGTTAGGAGACCCCCCTGCAACTGCCACAGTGGTTTAACTATCAATCCCTTTCCCCAGGGAACTCTGAGAATGGTGGCTCTGTGAGGGCAATAGGGGGTCTCCTAAGAACTCTCAGCACCTGTAACAAACTACAGTTCCCAGGAGCCATGACTGTTTAAAGTGTTCTGGTGCTGCTTTATGTGTATAGTGCAGATGGGGGCATGTAGCGGCCACCTAGCCCACTTCTAACACAGAGTGCCCCCCAAGCCACAAATTCTTACAACCACTTGTTTTGCAAAGATTTGGTACACTTATCTGGGCACACAGTCAAGAAAGCCTTTTCCAAACTCAGTGAAAATGGTCCAGAATCCTGCTCAGCAATTAGTATCGTGGAAGGGAGTATTGTGGACAGCAGCAAGGACTGGTCAGAGGAGATCAGGGGTAGAGAACTGAGGGGGAACACTCCCTTTTGGGGAATATGGGCACCCACTGTCCCTACCTTCCACTGGTAAACCATAATCCCCCAGGTCCCAGCTTCCATTTAAAAAAGAGAAAAAGTTTCTAGCATTTGTAATATTTTAGGTAGGAGACAAAATGTGCACACAGCATTCTCAAATTTTTTTTGTGAGAAACTAATCTGCTGCAGATCAAACCTATCCATTCTTAAGGAAATCAGCCCTGAGGAAGGAGAGATCCTGAAGCTGAGGCTCCAATACTTTGGCCACCTCATGAGAAGAGAAGACTCCCTGGATGTTGGGAAAGATTGAGGGCACAAGAAGAAGGGGACGACAGAGGACGAGATGGTTGGACAGTGTTCTCAAAGCTACCAGCATGAGTTTGACCAAACTGTGGGAGGCAGTGGAAGACAGGAGTGCCTGGCATGCTCTGGTCCATGGGGTCACGAAGAGTCGGACACGACTAAATGACTAAACGACAACAACAAATCTGCTGCCCACCTTGAGTGTTTTTACTCTCTCACGCCTGAAAAATGCCTGCTGATGCCCATCCTGGGCAGCAACCTTCCTAAGGCCACATGCCCAGGGGGGAAAACCGGTGGAGCAACAAGTGGGCTACTTTCAACGCACATTCACACACCCCTTTCTATCCTTCATCACACAGGTGAACAGAAGGCACTGTCAGAGTTCAGGAGGCATTTCGGCCAGAGAAGAGGGCAAAGCAGGGTCTGTGAGGGGCATGGCTTTGGAAGAGAAGGTGTGGCATGGAGAGAGTCCTGTGGGATGGACAGAGAGGCATGGAGGACTGCATTTTGACCTTTTGGCCTGAGTTTTCTCACCTCTAGATTAAGTCCTGCTGCTACAGTCGCCCTCCATGCCCTTCTTCCCTCTGGGCTAGCAGTTGTGCGAGGAGAGGAAAAATGGTGATACTGAAGACAGCAGATTGAATCCATATGCGGATCCCAAGACCAGGAAATGTTCCCCACAATTAGGATCTAAAGCACCCCACAATCTGTAGGGTGTTTTGCACACTCCCTCACAACAGAAGGCTGGCTGACAGGTAACTTGCAGTCCCCAAAGGCTACTCCCTAGCTTTTCCCAATTTATTCATTTCTAAAGGAAGAGAGTCAAGACTCTCTAGCTTGTAAAACCCTTTATGCAAATTCTTGGAGAGGGTGGGTGAGATGCAGGCTGTGGTTATTCATCAGCAGGCTTAAGGTGCTTTGTGCATGGGCAGAGACTCTTTTTCCATTCTGCTATATATTATCAATGTTTGCCTTCCGGCACTGGAAATTTTAAACCAGTTCAGAGGGTGAGCAAATGTGAAAAGCTTCTGAAGGGTTGTGGGTTTGAGCTGAAGTTGGGGAGGGAGAGGACCTTACCTCTAATATTTTAAGAACCCACCTATGTGGGATACTCAGACTTACCTCCAACCACAGTTTTGAACCTTCAGCTTCACTGATCTCTCTTTCGCGCACCTTCTGTCAAATTATAAACACTTCTCCCCTCTCCAGCTGTGGGGATGCAGCTATATCCAAAGAACCCTACAGCTTTTAATAGCAGGACAAGCAACTCAAAGCCCAATAGCCAAGATGGATCATAGTCAGCTTGCCTAACGCTTTGTCAGCTGCAAGGCCGTTTCCAAGGGATGTCCATCAACATGCAACTCAGCAGCGACATGACGCCTAAACGCAGAGGTGACCTCCTTGGTGTGTGAACCAATGGCACCAGTTCCTCATAAGGACTGGTGTAGGGCAGTTGCCAAGAGCATTAGCTAGGGGACTTCCAGTTCCCATCTCACCTGAACAATGAATTATTCATCTCATTCTCAGTTCCCTCTTTGATCTGCAGTACTGTACAGGGACCCTTGGACCAGCCTATACTGTTGCAAGGCAGGAGTCAATGCCTAGGGCCCAAGGTCCCTTCAACACCCCTCAATAAAATATCTGAGGTGGCCAGACCCCCTTCCGAGTTGATGGGCATTGATATTCAAATGGTGTGCCTGCACCACATCATGTGATTGATTATGCGCATCATGTGATTGATTATTTCCTTCAAGTTGGCACCCCTGGTCGTTAAAATGATGGCTAGCGATCACTCTGAGCACTGCAAACGCGTTCCTCCCGGGTTATCGTGTGCTCTGCACATGCCCAGAGGCACCCTTGCTACTTTGCACAGCGCCCTTCAGAATAAGCTTGGGCGTGTGCGTGTGTGAGTTAGAGAGAGGAAGCTGAACTTCTCTCTCCGCGAAGGCGTGCCAGAAGAGGCACCACACGCCCACGACCCTGGCCAGCCCCCTCGGCCAAAGTTGGTACCTGCGCTGAGCTCCAGGCTGCCGCTTCCCTCGTTGCTGCTGCTGCCGCTGTTGCTGCTGCTGCTGCTGCTTGCTGCCCCCTGGTGGCCGTGGCCGTACCTGGCCGACGAGGACGACGACGAAGCGGCGGCGGCAGGAGCCGCTGCCTGGTGTCCCAGCTGCGGAGCCGGCGTCCGGGGCGGGTGGCCCTGCGAGGCTCTGGCGCCGGGGTAGGAGCCGTGCGCCTGGTAAGGCAGCGGGTGCTCGCTGAGGGACGACGACGACGAGCCGACGGCGGGCAGCGGCTGGAAGTGCTGCTGCTGCTGCTGCCCGACGCCCGCCCTGACCTGAGGGATCTCCACCATGGTGGGTCTCTCGTAGCGCTTGCTCAGCGCCGGTCTCCGGCTGCTGGGGAAGGTCTTGAGGGCGCTGTAAGGGCTGCGCTGCTGCTTGTAGATCTTGGCCACGCTGGGGCCCTCCTCCGCCACCGCCTGCATCGCCTCCTCCATCGGCAGCGCCCGCTCGCCCGCCCGCGCTCTCCAGAGCCCCGTCTGCCGCCGCCGCCGCCGCCGCCTTCGCGCTCCGGAGCCCCGTCGTGCGGCGCTGGGGGAGACGCGGGCGGGCGGGGGGGAGTTGGCGGCTGATTGACAGGCGGCCTCGCCAATGCCTGGAGGGAGAAGGGCGGCGAGGAGCAAGCGAGGGAGCCCCCACCCCGCCCCGCCCGCTAATGGGAACGGCCCGGGGTGGGGAGGCGGGAGCGCCTCAGGGAGCGCGGCGCGCGGCGCTGCTGGCCGCGCCTCAGGCGGCGGCGGTGGCGGCAGCCGTCGCTTTGCCCGAGAAGCCCGCGGGGGCGCTCGTCGGGCGGGCCACGACGAACCCGCTCCGTTCCCTCTGGAGTCAGGGCGCCGCCGCCGGCGCCTCCTGGGGCAACTCCGCGGGACTCCCGCGTAAAAGCGCGCCTAGGCTGGCGCAGCGCGGGAACTTTCCCGCGCTCCAGGCAGGCACGTTTCCTCAGAGACAGCGGCGGGGGGGGAGGGGCGGGCTGAGTTTAAGGGCGCAGAGGAATCCTGAAGAGGGTCCACTCGCGCGCAACTTCATCGCGTTCTAGCGGGAAAGGAAGTTTGACTCCTCCAGCTGCCGCCCCTTATGAACGCGTGTTTCGGTGGTGAGGAGGGTGTACACGGGTCTCGTTTCTCCCTCACGGGACCGGGAACACGCAGGGATCTTCCCGACGACCTACTTTCCATTCACCCCGGAGCCTCTCGCGTCTCTCTCATCTTTCCTCCCTCCCCCCCCCGCCTCGATTTCGCGCCCCTCGGGTCCCGTGTTAGCGATGGGATGGAGGCCGCCGAGAGATAAAAGTATTCGGGGGGTCCAAGGGAACCGCCAGGGCCGCCGAGAGCGCGGCGCAGAGGACATTTTGTTTCTCATTATGCCCGAGCCGTTTCCTGGCGAAATCGGAGAGGCGGCGGGGCTGTAACTCAAGCATGTCAGATTTCCAGGAATCCGAGAGATTAATCACGTCGCTCGACGTGATTTGCACAAAAGGAGCAGGAGGAGGGAGGGAAGAAAGCGCGCTCGTCTTCCTTGGCCTGGCCAGGCGAGGCGAGGCGGGTTTGGGTTTGGTCTTTTCTTTCTTCCGAAACTCTTTCGACTGGGCGGGACACGTGGCTGCCTGGACCCCCCGCCCGGATCAGGCTGAACTCCCAAGACCCGAGAAGAAGAAGCGTCGGCTCTCCGGATTTGTTTGCTGAAGAATAACGGAGATCTCTTTATATGCCTGTTGTCTTTGTCCAGGGAGTTTTCTTGGCAGGGATACTGGAGTGGCTTGCCGGTTCCTGCTCCAGGTGGATCACGTTTGGTCAAAAGTCTTCACTATGACCTGTCCATCTTGGGTGCCCTGCACGGCATAGCTCATAGCTTCTCTGAGTTATTCAAGCCCCTTCGCCACAGCAAGGCAGTGACAGTGACAAACCTAGACAGCATCTTAAAAAGCAGAGACATCACCTTGCCAACAAAGGTCTGTGTAGTTAAAGCTATGGTTTTCCCAGTAGTGATGTATGGAAGTGAGAGCTGGACCATAAAGAAGGCTGATCGCCAAAGAATTGATGCTTTTGAATTATGGTACGGAGACTCTTGAGACTCTGGACTGCAAGAAGATCAAACCTCTCCATTCTTAAGGAAATCAGCCCTGAGTGCTCACTGGAGGGATAGATCCTGAAGCTGAGGCTCCAATACTTTGGCCACCTCATGAGAAGAGAAGACTCCGTGGAAAAGACCCTGATGTTGGGAAAGATTGAAGGCACAAGGAGAAGGGGACGACAGAGGACGAGATGGTTGGACAGTGTTCTCGAAGCTACCAGCATGAGTTTGACCAAACTGTGGGAGGCAGTGGAAGACAGGAGTGCCTGGTGTGCTCTGGTCCATGGGGTCACGAAGAGTCGGACACAACTAAACAACAACAACATAGCAGCTCCAGCCTGGGGATAGACGGCCCAGGGAAGAAAAGGAGCCAGACCCAAACGCTGGCTCTCCCGATTTTCAGCCACGCAGTCTCATGTGCATGGTCTGCATTATCATTTCCTGTCTCTGCACGGGGGGGTTAGAACTTGAATAAAATATTGGGGGGCCCAGGGAAGCCCTGCCTTGCATAATCAATCACATGTCACAGTGCACACACACCATTTGAATGGCAATGGCCATCAACTGGGGGGGGTGATGGCCCCCTCAAATATTTTATTAGGGGGCCCAAAGAGACCCATCGGCCCCTAGGAGTTGGCTCCTATGCTCTACACTTACACACTCCAACATCCCCCCACCTTTATTTCACTGCTTTCATTTATCAGGTTCACAATTAGCCCCTTGGCTTTTGAAAGTCAAACCACAGGCTGCCCAACTCCTTGTGTTGTTCCAGGTGTTGCCCCGTGGTGTTTGCTAACCTACTTCTGTGGTGGAATCTCATAGGAATGTAGAAAGTGGCCTCACACGGAGTCAGACTGCTGGTCTGTCTGGCTCACTATTGTATGGTGGAGACTCTAAGCTATCAGAGGGGAGGGATCTCTTCCAGCCCCACCTGGAGATGACTGGGGCATTCTGCATTCAACGGGGATGCTCTAACAATGAGCTGTGGTCCTTCTCTTAGTTCAGCTAATTCTAGTGGTGCAGCCATGCTAGCACATTTGCAAAACTAAGCAGGGACTGGTGTGGTTTCAAATTGGATGGGGGAACCACATGCTGAGATTCTTGCATTTGTAGGAGGTTGGTCCCATCCAATTCTATGATTGGATCGAATGGAACAATTGATTCTATCCTGAGCTGTGCCCATTCTCTTGGGTTCATCTAATTCCGATTCCTCTAGCTCTTATGGAAGAATTGATTCTGCTCATTTAGGTAAAGGTAAAGGGACCCCTGACCATTAGATCCAGTCGTGGCCGACTCTGGAATTACGGCGCTCATCTCGCTTTATTGGCCGAGGGAGCCGGCGTACAGCTTCCGGGTCATGTGGCCAGCATGACTAAGCCGCTTCTGGCGAACCAGAGCAGCGCACGGAAACGCCGTTTACCTTCCCACCGGAGTGGTACCTATTTATCTACTTGCACTTTGACGTGCTTTCAAACTGCTCGGTTGGCTCATTTAGGTAGGACCCAGCTAATTTTAGTTCCGCTGACTTCTAGGGAAAGCAAAGGAGGTGCTTAAGGCTGCAACCCTAACCCCATTTATTCAACTATCCTTGTTACACACAAAGAGAAACAAAATATGTGTTTTTTGGGGGGTGGGCACTGTGGGGGGGGGTAATGAATTCCTGGCCATTCAAAACTGCATAGCCAGGCAATAAGGGCTCAGTGACAATACTCAACAGTAAAGGCACTTACATTTCAACCACAGTTTCCCAGCAAGTTCAGTCTCTACAGCAGTGTAAACCAGGGCCTTGCCAGCGAAGGAGCTGCTTGCAGGGATGGTGCCACATGGGCAGAAAAATCCCGGCGGGCACTCACAGGGAACCGGTGTCCAAATGACCAGCAAACCTGTTGATGTGGAAAACACTGAAGAATGTACATGCCTTAAGTACTATATTGTTACAGCTGACAAGTGGGATGACAATCTTTCCATCTAGGCTTTTTTTGCTTGTTTTTCTTTTAGCCCAAAGCTAATGATGCTTCAGTGAACCTTGACAGCTGGATGATACTTGCTTATATGACCATTCAGGGGTTTTGGTGGCCAGTAGCTACCATTTTCTAGGCACACTACACTTGCTTGGATAGACGCTGGAGTGAAATAGTTTGGCAGTAGGACTAGAGAAAGAAGGGGGCAGGGTGGGAAGGGACTTAGAAGCTCAGCAATGGATTGCAAGAATTGCCTTGGTGTACCAAAGACATGCTGTTTACTTTGAGGGGAACTGATGTGGCTTTTTGCAAAGCAAGTGAACACCTAGACTGTCACGGTTTTAAAGGTGGAAGTCAATCACATACTAGAAAATTCAAGTTGCACAATTATAAAGTTGCACCACAACCCTGCTATCCCTTTAAATAATAACTTTTTGCAATAGGGAAAGCGATGTGGAACGCTCTGGAAAGTGTGGGATAACAACTTCCTTGAATCAACATCCCTGCCAACAAATCAGTTGAGTGTTCTAACATGCCTGCAAACTTTGTGCAAACAAATAAGTATGAATCATTAATAAAAAGGTAACCTGGAAGTGACTTAGCAATGACTGACTGAGTCTTTTTCTGTCCCCCCCCCCCCGCAATGCTCAGCTTACAAACGCACCCTACCCTAATACTCTACTCACAGGGAAACTGTGTAATAAACTTCTCCTGGAACTTCCTTTGATTGGGAAGCCAGGAGAGCTAAACGATTTAAGAAGAATTGGGGGCAGGATTTACATCTTATGATGTAAGAATCAGCCATAAATAGACTGGGGGAAATTATGGAAAGTTGATTTAAAATTCACCGCATGTACAACTCTGAACGAGAATTATATGGAAATGATGTACCGATGGTATTTAACTCCTGTCAAAAATGTATAGAACATGTGCTAATAAGTGCTGGAAGTGTAAAGAGAAAGAAGGCACGTTTTACCACATGCGGTGGAATTGTAAAGTAATTAAAAGTTATTGGGAAATGATATATAATGAACTGAAGAAGGTGTTTAAAATAACCTTTGTTAAAAAACCAGAAGCTTTTCTGTTGGGTATAATAGGACAGGAACTACCAAAAGAGCGGAAGAAGTTGTTTATGTATGCTCCAACGGTGGCTTGGATTTTACTATCCCCAAAATGGAAGGACGGCAAGATACCAAAGGAAGAAGAATAGCAAGTAAAGCTTATAGAATATGCAGAAATGGCAAAACTTACGGAAAGAATCAGAGACAATGATAATGAAGAATTTAAAAAAGACTGGGAACCTTTTATGTCGTATTTACAGAAATATTGCAAAGATATGGACTCACTAGCAGGGTTTGATTAAACACAAGAAAATAAGATCAAAGGTTAAGTAGGGACAACATGGA